CTCACCTCATGAGTATTCATAGAGACTAGTGTCTCATTCTGAAGAGGCTCCATCATCGAATTTATTAACATATTTTTTTATTCAAAAAAATTAGTAAAGTTTTCCAATAGTTTGGTATAACTTAAAAATAATCCTCCAATAGTTTAGAGAATAAAAATTATTTTTATTTTTTTATTATTTTTTTGAACAACTGATTTATGAAATTTCTCAATAGTTTAGTGGATTCTATAAACTTTAAATTCATGAAAATTCTCCAATAGTTTGATAAAATTAATGAATTTATTTTGGAAGGATTTTTATTTGAAAAAAAATTGTTATATTAAAAGGATTTTTTTATAAATATTTTTTGAAAACTTAAAAAGATTTTTATTATTATTTTGAAAATTTTATTTCTAAAGATTTTTTATTTGAAGAGGTTTTTTTTTATAGAATCATTTAAAAAAAAACTCATTTATTTTCAAGAAAAAAATAGTAGAAATAAAACCAAAAAAATAAATAAAAAATAAAATGAGATAAAATAAAATAAAATAGAAAAAAAAACATGCGACCAGGTCGGGTCAGAACGTAGGTCGACACATGGGTCACCAAGTCAACATGCGGATCCTAGGTTGTCCCAAAGCAATGTCGTTCTTAGTCAGTATAAAAGGCATTTTCTAGCATTTTTTCTCAGACACCCTCTGCTCTTTCTTTCTACCCCAATTTTCTCTACCTTCTCTCTGGAATCCCTTAAGAAATCTACCAAAAACTTGAATTGAAAACTAAAAATTTCACTAATTTTCTAAAAAGTTACCTAAAAATTCAATCAAAAACTAAAAAACCCACAGGTTTCTGGAAAAATGGCTGGAATATGGCCAAAAAATTCAACTGATCATCGAAAACTTCATCAAAAAACTCATGTTCATCCCAAAAAACCCAAAAATTTTTAGAAAAACCCAGATTTCTTCAAAATTTTCTAGATTTCTTCCAAATTTGCCCCTATTGCTCCCAGAATTATCCAAAATCCTAATTCCAACCCCAAAAAACCTTAAATTAAACCTAAAAACTTCATATTGAACCAAAAATCCTAAAATCAAACTTTAAGAATATTCCGACTACCCAAAATTTTTTCAGACTTTTCTCTCTAAGAATTTTCTATGTCCATCATCTGCAGAGCTAATTCAATTTATAGGCAGACCTAGACCTAGTTTTAGAAAAAAGGATAGGATCAATTTCAAGCTTGAATCTTGGAATTGCATTCTGTCTAGCACGATTTTTGGTCCAAAATTTCAGCAATTATATTGATACGATTTGTATTAAAAAGTTTGACCATGTGAGATTTTGATTCTGATTCTATCCTTCACGTGCGGATTGGAGCAAAAAGGAAAAAAAAATAAAAGAAAGAAAAAAATGAAAATAAAATAAAATAATAATAATAATAACACTGATACTAATAATAGTAGTATACCATATTATTATATTATAATATATTCTATAATAATAACAAAAATACTAACAACAAAAGAAATTGACCTAATTGGGCTTAGACACAAATGAGTGTCTACACATATCTGATTTAGATTTAAGTAAAAATATCTAAGAGACCTTGGTACAATCATATATGAAAGAAACAAACCACTTTGTACTAGAAATATTAAGAATTATAGAGGGACCCCATATGTCACTATAAATCAAGTAAAAAGAAATAAAATTTCTTTTATTGCTAATTGAAAAAAACACACGTCTATACTTTGCAAATTCACAAACTTCATAATAAAATTTTTTGACATTTAATCCTTTGAACAAAGAAGGAAACATGTTTTTCAAAGTTCTAAAAAAGAGATGTCCAAAATGAAAATGATAAAGCCAGATTTTATCTTTATTGAGAGATTTTTCAAAAAAAAAATTGACAAAGGTAAACTATTATTGATATTACTTGTGTTGTTTGATATCTTAATATAGTATAATCCATCATTCTCCTTAGCAAATCCAATACTCTTCCCTGAACTTTGATCTTGAAATTCACAATAAGAGAGATAAAAAATCATTTTACAATTCATGTTTCTAGTAAGTTTTTATATAGATATCATATTAGTAGATAATCTAGAAACATGAAGAACATTTTTAAAAACAAACGAAGGATGAATTTGAATATCTCCTTATCCTACCATTGTAATAAGTGAACCATTTATAATAATAATTTTATTATTACTAGGACATAAGATATATGTACTAAACTTTTGTAAAGAATATGCCATATGGTCTATGGCTCTTGAGTCAATGACCCAAGAACTCGTAATAGGCTTAATCGAGACATTTAATCCATGAGAACCAGAAGCTTTACCTAAACTAAAGACTTTACCCAAAGAACATATCCTAGTAGGTTTTCAACAGTTTCCAATAGGCTTTTTAGTTTCTCAATCTCTTTTCTATCCAACTCTATTTGTTCTCGAGACTTTTGTAGTACTTTAATAGTTTTATCAGTTGTTACTTCCTCATATCGAGTAATAGTGATAGATTTTACTATCTTTGGCATAATTATCTTTATCATAACCAAAACAAGTCTTGATAGTAAAAGTTTAACTAGATATGATTTTAAACAATGAATGCCTAAGAAGAAAAAAATAAGATTGAAAATTTTAACAAGATTTGGCTATGAAGGCCTGAAATAGAATTAAGTAATGAAGGCTAAAAAAATTTTTTTTCCCAATAAAAGCCTGAAGCTCGATACCATGTGAAAAAACTAAAAAATAAAATTGTGTGAAAAATAAAGAATAAAACTGAATGTATATTAAGAAACTGTTCGTAAAAAATTATACAAGCACCTTATATTTATATACAACTAACTAGTGAACGAACTAGGAAATTAAATTTTTCTAAAACTGATCCTATAATTGAAGGATTATCTATCATAATTTTTTATCCTTAATTCTAAGGATACAAATACTTAATTCTAGATATACAAATATAAATATACAAATTATAAGGTTACAATCAGCTGTAAATAAATATTTTCCCTCAATATATATATATTTTGTTAAGTTACATAGAGTTTAATTACTATATAAACGTTGATTGTCCCTATACAAAAAAAATATACAAATTGACTTTTTTATAGTTGGTGCTCATAAATGTTAAAAAGAGTGACATTTTTATAAAAGACATTTTGAAGTAAAGAAATGTATTAAATATTCAAAATGATAATTTTTTTTAATAAAACATCATCTTTTCCCAAAAAATACTCTTTTTATTTCTTAAGGGTAAATAATTTCCTATTATTTTTTATATTGTTGAAAATATAAGATTCTTCACGTGGGAGAAAATTTTCTAACAAAACTAAAGAATCAGATAACGAAAAATTAAATTCCAAAAGAAAAAGTAAGAATCCGTGAACCAAAGGTTCCTTTATAGTTTTCATATTATTTATAATTTTCTTATTAAGTATACTAAGTTTTATCATTTTCTTAATTTATATGAAATTCCAAAGACTCTATCACTTATAATAATAATAGTAAAAGTATAAAATAAATTATATTTCATATCCTTAATGCTAGAATAGATAAATTAGATGAGTCCTCTCCTATATATTAGTTAAACCTTTTGAGATAACTAGTTATTAAGTTAACATGGTATCTAAACTCTCAAATTTGAATATTAAAATATTTTTTCCTTAAAACATTTCTTCACCTATTTATTGTCTTTCTTGTCCATTAGATTATGTATTGTGTCTTAAATACCTCTTCTTCTTACACCTTTTTCATACATTTGGGTTCATATGCAAATCCAACTTGCATGCGAATATATGTTGGAATAAATATACTAAATAGATTTCTATCAACTTAAACTTTTAGGATAATTGATCACCCAATATCCTTTATATTCCTTAACTAAATAAAAATAGGATAACTGGTCTATTTCTTTTTCTTTCTTCATTTACCAAACAAGGTAATTCTTTTAAATGCTTTTCACTTTTTTTTTGGAGCATATAACCTACAGTTATTTTACAATAATGTTACAATTGTTTAATTAAAATAAAAATTTATGTAAGGGGTCCATGACTTATAATTGTGAATTTCATAAAAAATTTTGATGGATTCTACAGAATTTTGAATCGTGATTGGTTAATTATACTACAATTATTATAGGTGATATGCTCCTTTTGTCTTTTTAACAAAGTAAATAAAATTTTGATGGATCCCACATAATTCTAAATTGTGATTAATTCATTATATTATAATCATTATAAGTAATATGCTCCCTTTGTTTTTTTAACAAAGTAAATAGTTTGAAAAGTAAAAAAATGGATTATTTATTCTAAAAATAATCCTAAGAAATTTTATAATTTAAATAATATTTTTAATGAATTAGTGAAATCCAAACTCAATTCTTTGAACAAAAAATGTTAATCATTGAACCAAAGATTCGATAATTTAAATAATATAAAAATGAAAGCTCATCCTAAACAAGTATTTGACATTTATTTTCTCTTCCTAGTATATATAATCTTCCTATCATAAAAAGGCTAATTTTGTCTTGAATTAAATTTTTAGATTCATCAGAGGGCAAATGCTCCATTTAATCTCACCACAGAGTATTTGACTTTGACTTCATTTATTATTAGCATTATTAAAAATTTTATTACTTATTTTGGTACTAAATGCTTGAAAAGATATTAGCACACAATCTAAAAGTTGTTCCTTAATTGCATAATTTTGTATTATATAGCAATTATTTTCGTGTATAATGAAATACAATATTATAAGAGAATGTTGCTCTTCAAAACATTTTTAAAATTCAATTTTCATCCATAATTTTTAAAAATATTTCAAGTTTATTCATGCCGTCAATCACATTTAAAAATTTAATGAAATATGCCATATCAATGCCACATAGACCAAAATAAGAATCTCTTCATATGTATGAGGATTAAGTGCTATCTTTTGTGTGTAAGAATTCTACTTAATAACTTTGATGGTTAGATTTTTACTAATTTTCTTTTTTATGTTTTGTTCCTTGTGCTACAGTTTGAAAAAAATTCTGGACCGCTACTTAGTTCATGCAGGTGAAGAAGCTGCTGTTTGCAATAGCGTCAATGAAGCAAAGGTTTGTCAAACTCTTTCTGTTCTTTTTGAATTTTGCACAATCATTGAAGAATGAAATTAATTTGTCCAAAAGTTCTATAACATAAATAAAAACTTTAAGTCATGTTTGATATATAAGATGATAGATATGATAGAATAAGATGAAATTATTTTATATCATATTTGATTTGTATCTAAAAAAAAAGAATAAGATTATAAGAAAAATTAATCATTCTTTTAGTATAAGATGATTCAATTCTTTCAAAGTAAAAAAAAATTATTTTTAATCTATAAGATTGAATTTATATGTTTTATTATATCCTTAAAAATTATATTAATAATTTAAATTATATAAATTTTGAGAAAAAATAATTTTGATCAATAAATAAATTATCTATTATAATCCTTGCACACATCAAATACAAAATAAAATAACATTATTTAATTTAATCTTAATCATAATATTATCTTATTATATTTTATTATAATTTTATGCACAAAACACGTACTTAAAACCAGAATAAATTATTACCACAAATTTTCTTCTCTTGGAGGGTCCAGTTTTTGGCAAGCCAATAGAAAAAACTTTATTAATCTTAATCTAGTTGAGAGTGACAAATTGTTTCAATGATAATTATCCTGTACCTATATATATTTCTAACTCTCAAGTAGTCTCGGTATACTGACCTTAGCTGAACCTAGATCAGAAGCTTTTGGGTTTGGTGCAGTCATGGCAGTGGCAATTCTTCTTCTCACACAACCCTCATCATTCAGATCTGATGACAGTTTTGAGTGGCAGTCACCTTTAACATCCTTTTGCCAAACTATAAAAATAATTTTTGATTAGTTCTTTCCAAGGAATTCTAAATTTCAGTCATGGAATTATGGTGAAATCAAAAGCAAACCTTGGCAGTAGGTTTAGATCATATAATAGTAACCAAGCCATTAAAGATCAGAGTTGGTCATACATCTTAGCTTTAAGAGGGAAGTGGTAGAGCTGAATCAACCATTGATCCCACGCAACTTTTGAAATTGAATAATATATATAATTAGCATAAAACATTAGTGTTTTTCCTATATAATTAGCATATTGACACAACTAAGATTTCTTAAAATTTTTTAAGGGTTCAAAATATAAATTTTATCTTTTCTTTTACTTTCATTTTAATTTGAGAATTCTAATAATTTTTTCACTACGAGTAGAAGTTTAATTAATGAGTTTAAAAATATTTATTTATTTTAAAGTTGTATCATATTTTGAGATATTTTATTCTATATTTAACTTTATCAATATTGTTTTAAATAATAAATATTATAAATAAAAAAGATAATACTATTATTTTAACTCCAATAATACAATTTCTTAAATACACCAGTTAGGCTAATACTATTCATTGCATATAATGATGACATTTTAAGGGGACAGATTTTCTCCTCAATTTTTTAAGATGGATGAAAATATAGAGAAAGCACCTTATAATCTAAAAAAGAAACTTTTTTTTTTCTAAGTATTGACTTTGTTTTTTTTTTTTTTTTTTTTGGTTAATGAACAACAGATTCATGAAGAATTCATGGATATTTGGAAAGGTACTAGCCTACAGGAAATGGTTGAAAGGTAAGCACTTAGCACTCAATTTGGATACGCTTGTTTTGACCTTTTAATATTATATCACACGGAATCAGTTGATTGGGATTAATCCTTTTGTAGACACACTGAAGGTCACAACATTGAACACCTAAATATGACGCAACTCATGCTGATGGAGAAGCAATTGGATTCCATATTAAGACAAACAAGAAATCGAAAGGTCATTGCTTCTCTTTGTTCAATGTTGAATTTCTCCTTTTTTATGTTTTAATCCATGCTAGCTTTCGCATTTTAATATGATGACTATTAGGGTTTTCTTATGAAAAAATCTGAACATAACTTTCACCTTCATGATGCTCATGGTATAAGTATCGTCTGCAGACACAGGTAATGATGGATACTGTCGCTGCATTGCAGGAAAAGGTACACGTTCTTGATCAAACCTTTCATCTGAAAATTTAATGCCCTTGTGGATGTGCAACATTAGAAACTTCTGCAAAAGAGCTACAGTGGAATAATGCAATTTTAAGCTACATATGATGAACAAGTACTCAAAGATTTTGGTAGTATTGTGGATGAATTATTATATATTATGAGATAAAAAAATGTCTGAAATATTTTGGTTTCAAGAATTTAAAAGAGGATAATAAGGTTGAACCAGAAAAAATAATAGCTTCCTAATTGCTTTTAATTTTGAGTTGCATTTGCTTTGCATTTGACACAAAATGCGTGTGAAGAAAGAGCCAAAAGGTGATTTGGACTTTGTGTTTGTGCTCCAACCACACCCCAAATCTATTGTAAAACCAGTTCAAATGTCCCCAGTGGTGTTTCAATAGTTCTATTATAAGTAACTTGTACTCTAAATAATTGGTATTTCTTCCAGTGTTTTTTGGTGATTTACAGCATGCATATTGTGGGAACTCAAGGTACAGCTTACTGCATGCGCTGAAATTAAGTTGTTAAAGCTAGTATGAACATGGATGCAATGAATCTTAAAGTTAATATTTAAGAGAATCTTTATGATAAGAAATTTAAAATACAGGATTCATCATTCAATGCCCCTATGTTTATGGGCTTTCATATGCAATATGAAATTAATCTGCTTTTGCTCCTGATTCTGTGAGAACCATGTTTCTTGATCGTTGCTAGTTATTCTCCTTTATTACGAATATACAGAGGAATCCATTAGTTTTGTGAAATAGAAAATTTTGTTTGCTGTGTAGTATTATGTATGTTATAATGAACTTATAGCTGGTGGCTTCCTCAAATGATGTTGACGTTTCAGACCACCTATTCTAGTGTTATTGTACTGTTTTGGCGATTGATATAGATATGGATATGGTTCACATGAATTAATGTAGCAAAATCAGATATAATCTGTGTAATTTGTAGTGCAGCCACAAATAGCAAGTCAGACATGATCAATCCTAACAATTAACAAGACGTTGACAGTTGTTGAAGATTGTTACTTATTCTAACCTATTTAGTATATGTATTGAACAGGAGAAAGAACTGAGGCAAGAAAATCATAACATAGACAAGGAGGTAATTATAAGCTGGAATAGAGAGAGTATAGATATTACAAAAACCTGGCTCTCTGTCACTTTGATAATCTCAATGAACTTGGTTTGGTTTCTGTCAAAAACTCCAGATTGCAGCAAGAATGGACATGGAAGATGGCGAAAGAGTGAACCAAGAACCTCATTCTAGCATCTACGAACCTCCACTCCAAAGGGGCTTGCTCCACTTGTTCTAGCTGTGGGAATGGCATTATTATGCATTATATATATATATATGTGTGTGTGTGTGTGTGATATACCTGTCCCTCTTCCTCCCGAGCTGTGAATAGGACTTTAGAATAATGGCTGAGTAGAAAAGGGCAATTCTATTTCTGCCCACCTGGAGGAAAAGTCTAAGCTAAGCTAATAAAGCTTCGCACTGACAAAACTGATCTGTTGTATGCCCTAGCACCACTCATATATAATTATTTAATAATAATATAATAATGTTTATTTCTAATCTGCCATGTGCAGAGTGGATTAGAAGTTAAAACTTTGGCTGACTAGTGGAGTAAAGTTGAAATTGGAGTGGCTATAATTTACTCTAATCTATTTCTTTACCTTTTTTTTTATTAATTTTCATGATACTTTTGCCCAGCGAAACCATGATACGATCTCCAATGCCAATTTACCATTGGTTTGACCATGATTTAACAGGCAGGTCAGGCTCACTTCGATTGGGTGGAAGGAATCAACAAGAGTTCAGAAACACTTACAAAAAATTAATTTATGTATGCATCAAATATAAATTTATTCATTAAGAGTTATTGTATTTGACGCATATCAGTGTTAAATTGTTACAAACTACCAGTAAACCACAATAATATTTTCTAAAAATTAATTTTAAAATTTTAAAATAAAAAAAAGTAAAAAATTTATATTTTATATAATATTAATGAGTAAATTTTATATGTAAATATAATAATATTATTTTATTAATGAATCAATATAAAATTTTAAAATAAATATATAAAAAATTTGTTAATTAATGAGCTTTATTATTTAATTTATCTCATTAATAAAGTAAAATCAGATATAAATTAAAAAAATAAATACTTTTATTCTTAAAATATATTTAAAGTTATTTTTATAAAATATTATTGTCTAATTTTATAATACATATACTACTGCATATTAAATATAAATCAGTTAATTAAGAGTTGAAGAATTAGTACTAATAATTTTTTCAAGAAAATTGCCTTAAAAAAAGGGATGAGTGCAAATTTGATTTAAAAGATTCTGTCCAGCATATCTTTTCTCCTCGATTTTACCAGAAAACATAAGTAGAGTATTTTTGTCTCGATTTTTTTTTTTCACGGTAGACAAAGGTTATTTTTTTTATAAATTCTAAAAAGGAATTAGTAGAGATTTATGAACTAGATTGAGAATATAATAGATCAAATTTGAATCAATATAATATTAAATTTGAGTTTGAATTCAATTCAAAATTTGAAATTCGAAATTTGATTCGAACTCAATCAAATTTTATTTTTTTTAATTTGAATTCAATTCGAAATAAAAATTAAGCTACTTAACTCGCTTAATTAGGTTTGATTCATATGTTAAAATAAATTTAATTTATATATTCGATAAAAATTTGATTATTTGTATTTGAATTTGAGATATTTTATTAATTAAAATAATTAAAATATATTAAAATATAAAAATTCAATTAAACTTACGAGCTATTAAAGTCAACTATAAAATGCTTAAATTTAACTATTTGAATATAAAATGCTTAAATTTAACTATTTGAACAAACACTGAAAATTTGGAATTATTACTTTTGATAAATTTAAAATTTTGAAGAAAGGTTCCAAGATGTGTAACCGTGCAACTTTTCTTAAAGTTTTATTTGTTCTCACTGTATTATTTACTTAGTATTTATGCAAAAGAGTTGCAGATAATAAATTTTGAAGATACAATAAAGCTCAGTGACTGATTGCATTTTGCACTGATAAAATTAGTTCACCGAGTAATCACCAGCATATCACAATATCACTGAACTTTTATAAAAATTTTCTACAACAAAACTTTTATAAAAGAAATATGAAGTTTGAAGAAAGAGAGAGAGTTTTAAGAATTATTTTTATGTGTTTTCAAAAAACCAAAGGAGCCTTTTATAAACTAATAAATATTCTTTCCTACAGATATGACTATCTATTTTAAATAGATAAAAAAATTTTGTTTTTGAACAATTAAAATTATTCATTTTGAACAAACTTATCTATTATTTTAAACAGACTTAATTATTTATCTTTATTTTTTTCAATGTGGGACTATTTCTCATATTTTATTTTGAAATCTCTAACAATCCCCAACCATTTTTAAAATAATTTAGATTTATGATGACTTTGAAAATCAATTACACAAATGAAAGTATCTTTTGATTTGAATATTCACTTAGTAAAAACAAGCTAAAATTAACTGAAATCATATGATAGACTATGCTTTGAACCATCTATTCCATTTAGTTAACCTAACTTGTCTCACACAATGATTTTAACACCTAATGAATGTTGTTAGAGCCAAGCTCTTAAGCTCCTAAAACTAATCACATTTCACACTCGCATAGGAGGCTCCTATCAAGAGTGTTTTCGTAACTATAACACTCTAACATGTTTATGTTATAGGTCTATTGAAAGTATATTACTCATCTTTCCTTTACCATTATAAGTACCTAGCACTTTACCTGAAATGGCATGAAACATTACTATAGTGCTAGTAGTCACATGCAAAATGATGTACTTTATTTCATTAAACTCAAGATGTTATACCAAGCGTTGAGTTGAGTTTTCATCATAGGTGTCTTTACTTCATAAGCTTAAGCCCCATCTCTATTGAGGTCTTTTGTACTAACTCTCTAGCTAGACTTTTGGTTAAAAAATCCACCAAGTTTTCACTTGACCTCACATAATTTATAGTGATCATTCCATCTAAAATTAATTGTCAAATATAGTTATATTTTAATCCAATATGTTCAGATTTTCCATTATATATTTAGCTATATGCCTATATTAGAGTTGTTTCACTATCACATCGGATGGAAATTGAGAAAATTGATTTAGGCCATAAAGATACTTTATATAATAAATTTCTTAGCCATTCAGCTTCTTTAGCTGTTGCGGTTAATGCAATAAACTTGGCTACCATGGTGGAATCCATTATGTATGTTTGTTTCTTGAAACCCCAAGAAATGGCACCCCTATTAAGTACAAAGATCCACCCGCTTATAGAAACATGATTTTTCATATTAATAATCCAACTAGAATCAGAATATTCTTCTATAATTGAAGGATATCCATTATTACACAATCCATAATTGATTATTTTCTTCAAATGTCGAAGTACTCTTTTAATTATTTACCAATGTAAGTTACCTGGATTATTTATGTACTTACTCAACTTTCTAATAGCAAATGCTATGTCTAGCCTTGTATAAGTCATTACATACATCAGACAACCAATTACTCTTGCATATTGCAATTGATTGATTGTTCTACCAGTATTAAATACTAACTTTAGTTAAGAATCTATGGGTGTAGATACTGAAATACAATATAAAAGATCAAATTTTTTAAGTATTTTTTTAATATAATGCGATTGTGATTAGGTTATGCCACTATTATTCTGAATTATTCTAATTCTAAGAATAATATCCGTTATACCTATAATTTTCATTGAAAAGTTATTTGACAAAAATTTCTTTTTTTTTTAACTTGTTCTGAATCAGTGTTAAATATTAGCATATCATCCACATATAAGCAAATTATGACTCCTTTGCCATTTTCAATTTGCTATATATGCACTTATCTTACTCATTAATTCTAAAACTATTAGCATGAATGATTTCATCAAACTTTTGGTGCCATTGTTTTGGTGCTTGCTTAAATCCACATAAGGACTTTACAAGCTTACAAATCTTATGCTCTTAACCTATAATGATAAACATTTTGATTGTTTCATATATATTTCTTTTTCTATTTCACCATTTAAAAATGTTGTCTTTACATCCATTTGATGTATAATCAAATTATAAATTGAGACAAGTGAAATTAAAAGCCTAATTGTAGCAATTCTAGCTATTAGAGTATAAGTATCAAAATAATCTATCCCTTGCTTTTTTGTAAAGCCCTTGGCTACCAATCTTGCTTTAAATTTATCTATGGTTCCATCCACCTTCATTTTCTTTAAGAAAATCCATTTATAGCCTATTGGATTAGAACTTGGTGGAAGGTCAACCAAAATCCAAATGTTATTTCCCATTAATGAGTCCATTTCATCATTTATTACTTTTCTCCAAAAAGCAAAAACTTGAAACTTTATTACCTCTTCATAAGTAATAAGATTAGACTCCGCATTAAAACAATAAAGAATTTTATTGTTTATGCTTTCACCAGTCCCTTCCACAAAAAGCAAAAAGAAATTTGGTCAAAAATCTTTAGTTTTTCTAACTTTTTGCTTGTCCATATTTTTTACAAGATTCATTACTGATTTTGGTTTGTTCCAATAGATTTGGAATTTTTTTTCCACTAGTATGATGCATTGCTTATAGTTGTCTTGAGATAGATTTAAATCTGTTTTCATCAAAAATTGCATCTGTTAATTCAATATTGAATATAATAACCATGAACCTGTATGTTTTACTATTTTGTGTATATTCTATAAATATGCATTATATTCCTCTTTCACCTAACTTTTTTTTTTTAGTTTTGAAATTTTAACTACAGCTTTACATTGTCAAACCTTTAAATAATTAAGATTTAGTTTTCTTTTCTTCTATTGCTCATATAGGGTTATTTTTGTTTTTTTAATTTTATTTTTTGTTAAGAATTCTATTTAGCATATGACAAGCTGTTAATAAAACTTCACCCAAAATCCTTATTCAAGACCAGAATATGATAGCATTACATTTACCATTTTTGTTAAGACCATATTCTTCCTTTCAACTATACCATTTTGTTATGGTGTATAAGGAGTAATAACTTTGTGGATTATTCTGGTGGATTCAAAGTTATTTGGATTATAATATTCTCCACCCCTTATCCGACCTTAAGCACTTGATAAAAGATTCACATTAAAGTTCAACTTTAGATTTATATATTTTAAACTTATCAAGTACTTCATTTTTGAATATAATAGATAAACATAAAATATCTAGTATAATCTTCCGTAAATGTGACAAAATATTTCTTGTCAGATAATGTAGAGTGTTATGTATATCACAAACATTATTATGAATTAACTCAAGTAACTTTGTATTTTTTTTTACCTTAGAAAAAATATTTTCGATAATCTTAGTTAACATGCATGTATTACATTTATTAATGTCTTGACTAAATTCAAGAATTAACAGAAACTTACTCATATCATATAATTTTTAATAATTTAAATAACCTAATCTATAATATCATAAATATGAAGACTCAACCATGTAAGTAGAAACAAAATTCTTATTTTTATTGATAATATTGAGTTTAAACATTCCCTCATACATATAACCTTTCCCAATAACAATTTCTCCCTTAGACAAAATAAATTTATCTACCTCAAATACAAGTTTAAAACCAAACTTGTTCAACAGACTTTCAAACACTAAATTCTTCCTAACTTTTAGTACATAATAAACATCATTCAAAGTTAGAATTTTTTCAAAAGTAAATTCAAGGTCAACAGTCCATTTACCTTTGATTGTTGCTGTAAAAGAATTTTTCATATAAAGGACATAGTCATATTCACTTGGTTTGAATGTTGTGAACATGCTTTTGTCCTTACACACATGTTTTGTTGCTTAAAAATCAAACCACCAAGATTCATCATTTTCAAGCATGTTGATCTCGAAAATCATGACAACAAATTTTTTAGAAGTATCCCCTTTTGAAAAATTATTTTTCTTCTATAATAACCGACATTCTTTTCTAAAATGTCCTGACTTACCACAATAATAACATGAGCTTTTCTTATTCTTCTTAAATTTAGGCATATTAGCAATCTACTTGAACTTGAACTTTTTTTGTTAAGCCTTTTAGTCTGTCTTTTTTTTAAAACATGAATTTTGGCATCACTAGAATCGAAATTCTATTCTTGCTTTTTGTATTTCTCTTTAATTCAAAGATGATTAACCAAAGCCTCAAGAGTGATTTTCTCTTTTAAAGTCCTTCCATGATGGAAGAAGTTTGTCTATTATAGAGGACACAATAATTGTTTCATCCATACTCATATTATATTGTTTAAACTGATTAAGCATTCATTTAATTGCACACAGTTGTCCAATTACAAAACGTCCATCAACCATATGATAATTATTGAAATGACTAACAAGAAATTTTTTACTTATTGCATCCTCGTTCATATATCTGATCTCCAATTTATCCCATAACTCTTTTATAGTAGTCTCGTTTTGGTATGTATCAAACAGGCTATAAGACAGACCATTCAAAATATAATCTTTACATATATAGTTTGCATTATCTCATTTTTGCCTCTCTCTTGTTGCAACAACAAATTCTTTTGTTTTATTTTCTTCTAGCCTGAGAATTGTCAGAACATATACAACTTTCAAACTTGAAAGCAGAAAATGCATCTTCTTCTACCATTTTCAAAAATTGTCACCATCAAAATGATCCAATTTGACAAAACTAGAAGCCAATTCTCTAAGCGCTACTTCAATAGCCATTGTTAAACCGAATAAAACCTTAATATTGTTTGAGCAAACATTGAAAATCTAGAATTGCTATTTTTAATAAATATGAAATTTTGAGGAAATACTCTAAGGCGTGTAATGATTACACTTTCCTTTAAGGTTTTATTTGTCCTCACCATATTATTTACCCAATAAATGTGTAAAAAGATTGTAGGCAATAAATCTAGATGATATAATGAAGTCTAATGACTGACTGTGTTTTGCACTAACAAAATTAATCAACCGAGCAATCACCTGCATATCACAAGATCATTGAACATCTATAAATGTTTTTTACAGCAAAACTTTTATAAAAGAAATCTAGAGTTTGAAGAAAGAGGAAGAGTTTCCAAGAATTGTTTTTGTGTGTTTTCAAAAAACCATAGGAACATTTTATAAACAGATAAATGTCTTTTCCTATAAACATGACTGTCTATTTTTTATAGACAATAACTATCTATTTTTGAACAATTGAAATTGTTCATTTTGAACAGTTGAAACTGTTCATTTTGAACAAACTTATTTGTTTGTTTTGAATAGACTTAACTCTCTGTTTTTTTTTTTTTTTCCAATGTGGGATTATTTTTTATATTTTATTTTAAAAATTTCTAATAGATTGATAAATTGAGCTTCTCAAGCTTGAACTCGATTTGATAATAACCGAGTCGAGTTTTATTATAGTCAAACCCAAATAATTTGTGAGTATTAATGTATTATTTATACCTCCTAAGCTAAATGGATTCAATGACAAAGACATTTAACTTCCACACAGTGGCACTTTTTTTTTAAACATCCATTGTGATATATAACCGCAATTGATCAATAATATCAGAGTAAAAGGAATCGGTAGAGAGGATATTGAAGAGTTGCCTACAGCATCCATTCACACAAGGCACCAGGAAAAAAATGGGAAATAGTAGGTAAAGATGTTACCGATACGGTTAAAGTGGCCTTTTTCAGAAGGAAAAATCCCTCGAGGCATTAATAAAACCTTCGTTACTCTTCCCCCAAAAATTTCCAACTAGCTACCCATAATGATATTTACAAAGTAATTACCAAAATCTTGGTCGAAAGAATCAAGAAGATACTCCTAACTACCACGTCTCCAACACAGAGCAGCTTCGTGCCAGGAAGACACATTGTTGACGATATCACCATTAGCCAAGAGATGATGCCATTCCCTCGAGAGAAGAAAGGGCAAAAGGCAGGAAAATTGATCTAAAGAAGGCCTTCGACAAAATGAACTTGTATTTTCTGAAGGAAACTCTATGCGAGATTGGCTTTAACAGTACCTTACTGTCCCCCCATTCAGAGCTGCATCTCATCTGCCTCTATAGGAGGACCACCATCTCTCACAATCGGTTTATCTGGTGTTAGTTTCCAAAACCACGACAGGTTAATGGGGTCAATGAGGCCTTACCTCTACTGTTATTTTCTCTACCAATTCTGCCTACCAGTGTTCCCTCCGTGAGCCGAGCAACCTCTCATCTTGTGCTAAACTCAGCTGTAACGTACTTCTCAATAATTGGTGATTCGGTGCTAATAAGTATATCATCTACGGCAAGATCCTCAATCAACACCAGAGTAGTTGTCAATCACCAGATGCTAGTATGTTTAACATCTGTATCTCTGGTTATTCATTCGTGACTATAGACGCAACAACTCCAACTAATTCAGTCTCTAGCTGTGTTTCTTTAAATAGAATCATGTGTCAGAATCATTCAATTTCAGTTGCATGTAGAAGCAAAATAATTAACAGATAAATAAATGACACTCAAGAATGATGACCCTGGCAAATGACCTTAAAAGTTCTCCTTTCCCAACACTTCTCTCTGTATCAGTTTTCTCAGCTTTTGAAATGTCTTAATACACTTAGTCAAATAGCCTGTACATCCTACACAAGTTTGGATATTACATCAAAGTCACAAGCATTAAGATTTCCAAGCAAAGTGCCTACTTTACACATGCAGCTACTTTTCCATTTCTTTCATTTATTACATCTTTAATAAATCAATAAAGCAAGCTAAAAGAAGCCTTGAAATGAAACATTTATTAGAAGCTTATGGAAGAAAAGGAGTTTGTTTCGTTCTCCGTAAAGCAAACCCACTGACATTTACGTACCTTACCTCCCCTTTAAACTCAATCTCTTTCTCACTAAGTTTTGCATCATTTCTCTCCTTGGCCAGCAAGAAAACTAGTTCCATTCCCAGCCCCTACATACGCCTCTTTTTCCGATTTGTATTGGAAGAGAAGTTCTCAAACATTCAAAATCGTCTCTTCGAGAGTGAATTAGAGAAAGAAATAGTGAAATGAGTGCAGATTGGGGACCGGTCATTATTGCGGTGGGTTTGTTCATCCTTTTGTCGCCAGGGTTACTGTTCCAGTTGCCATCAAGGATTAGAGTGATAGAGTTTGGTAACATGTGCACAAGTGGGATAGCCATCCTGGTTCATGCCGTAATTTACTTCTGCATAATTACTATCTTGATCATCGCAATTGGGGTTCACATACATGTTAAATAATCCAAACTCTCAAGAAAAGGGTAGCTCTTTTTTTTTTTTTTCCCTTTGTCTCTTTAATTTGTTTTCCTTAGATGGAGCTCATGTTCTACCTTCTTTCTTGTTGTCAATCTAATGTCCATTATGTCTTGGGAACTTTTCCTATTATATTCTATTCCTATGAGATTCTTTACGGATTCTAGCCAAATGAAAGCTCAACATTATTTATTTGCAAATTACCAGACAAAAAAAGGGGCGAGTGCCCTTTAGATTGCCTTTGACAGTGTCGGCAAAGACCATGGAAAAAAAAGAATAGAGTCAGAAGTCAGACCCCCTTGCCTTACGGCCCCCATGTTTCTTCTTATAGTTGCTGATAGTTTTCCAAATAATAGAACAGATCTATATTCCAGGATCCAAGCCTAAATAGCTAAGCATAACATGATAAAGCACCCAGCAAAAGTTTCAAAGGCAGTAGCAACAGTGACAAATTTCAAATGACAAATCGCCTGCGTTTAATTAATTCAGATGATCAAGGTTTAGAAATTGGACAAAGATAATTATGTTCCGATCTTAAAGCCCTTCTCTTGAAAGAGAGGAAAAGAGAAATATTTCCTACTGAAAAAAAAAAATTAGCAAATAAATATCTGTGCCACAAATTTCATTGGTTCAAAACTGAAACAAGCTAATACAAAGATTAACCAAGTAAAACCCAGCACAGATCTTGAATATAAAGACCGACAACACAACTCTCACCGGCAGGGAGATGCCACCAAGCTCTCAGCCAGTGTAGATATGGAGGTGGGCAGCTAGGATCAAAACAGCATAGATGGCAAAGAAAAGAAGAGTGTGGATAGTAATGGCCTTGCCATTAGTCTTCATGCTCCCAAACTCCAGCTGCTTGCTGTTTCCTGGAAATGAAAACAAAAGTCCTGGTGATAGCAACACAAATAGCACGACCCCGATAACTACAGGAGCCCAGTCTGCCATTAAAAGAAAGTTCCTTGACTAAAACTAAACTAGAACTGAAGAGCTTCAGGAATCAGTTATAAAAGTTCCTCTATTTTTTCCCAGTGGAGGAAAGTAAAATTACTAGATTGCTTCTGGATGGATTAAGGGGACTTAAGGTTCAAAGAGACGATTAGTGGAACCATTTGTCAGCTATGCCTTTGGGGCCTGGCTTTGTCTGAGATAGGTGCTTACTACTTGTATCATGTGTCGAGACTTAAGCTTCGATTTGTGCGGTTCTAAAATCCAGACATCCACTCATTTGACGTCTCAGATCAGTCACTCATTTGATGTCTCAGATCAGTCTATCTGTTACGGTTTACATCCTTATGAGGTATTGTTCGCTCTGATCCCCTGATCTCGTGATTTTGTCTCTCTTTTTATGTTCGATGTGAGATTCAGAGGCCTTTCTAAATCATTACCATTTGCACAACTTTCTTTTAGAGTTAAACCATTGCCTTCACTATTATCTCCACCTTCAACACAAATGTAATCACAAATGCAATTATAAATATAATTATCATTGTAATTATCACTACCACTTAAAATGAAACTATCAATACAGGTTTGAGAACGAAGATAAAAGTTAATACAATTCTTTCGATGTGAGATTCAGGACTCTTCTTTATGTCCGTCATATTTTTTTCCACCCAACCTCAATGGCGCCCTCGTCATAGTGATCTTTTATCAAAGAATGACTCTGGTTATCAAATGATTGAACAACCGGGACTAATTTACTTACGATACTTAGTTGACATTCATAAAAAGTATCTAATGAATTATGAGTTCAATACATCCTCTTTAGCAGAAGGGCGGATATTCCTTGCTCATTATCAGACAATCACTTATTCACAAACTTCGTGTGGGGCTAATAGTTTTCATTTCCCGTCTCATGAAAAAGAAGTATAAATATCTTCATATACTAGACGCTCGCTAATGAGTACCGCATCCTCAAAATTGTAACCTTCCCATGGCATATAAGCTACTAATACGTTTTTGCCCAAAGCGAGTTCGCCACCAACCGTAGCGGCACCATCCGCTAAAATCTGTCCCTTTTTAATGCATTTACCCCGCTGAACCCGGGGAGTTTGATGCATACAAGTATTTTTGTTGGAACGTTGATACATAACTAATGGAATGCTTAGAGTATCCCCATTACCCGATAAAATAATCTTGTCAGTATCGGTAGAAATGATCTTTCCCTCTTGATCGACGAACGGTATAGAGTTGGTTCTGATACCACTTATCACGTGTCGAGACTTAAGCTCTGATCCATGCAACTCTAAGACCTGAGCATCCACTCATCCAGCTAATCCAGGATCCGGACATCCACTCATCCAGCATCTTAGATCAGTTTACCTATCACAGTTCATACCTTTATGAAGTACTGTCCACTCTGACCCCCCTGACTTAACTATTTTATCTTACAAAAGATGACTCGTAAAAAAAAAGTGATGTAAACTTTTTTATACCTTAATGATCCTTGTTTTATGTTTGATGTGAGATTCAAGACTTTGATTTTGGTTTGTAACACTTGCTCCTTCCTCCATGTGAATCGAATTCTAGCCATTAGATTAAGTGTCAAAATTTCATTAGTTAGAGGCAGTTTAGGATTAGGGGTAATAAAAGCTTGCATGTACTCAGCATATGCCCTTCGATATTGGTTTTATTACCATCACTGTCCAAATTAATAAGGAATAGTTCTATAAGAACTGTTAAACTATAGCCCACTTTCAAGGATGAATTTAAAACGACAATGGACCATGTGTAATTACTGTTAACTATCTCCTAAAATCAGATCTATATGTACTTGTCAATTGCACTTGGAATTTTGTTTCTTTAGAAAGATGAAACATTGTAATTAAATTGTTTTTGTTTTTGTTATTTTAATGATACTTGCAACCGTTTCATTCTGCTGAATTTGACCATTCTGAAGATAGTGACCAGAATGAGAACCTTTTGAAATATAGGAGCCCCATAACATAAATAAAACATGTTGGAGATTACTAATTTTCAGAAGATTTTTAATTTCAATGTTTTTGAAATATCATAAGGGAGTAACAGAGTAGGTAGTTTCTTGCCAAAGCCATTAGTTGTCTCAAATTTTAATAATGGCACGAAAAGGAAGAAGATAAAAAGAAGCAATGAAAAAGTAGTTTTAAAATCATGCCAGATGATGCACCCTCTGCCTCTCAGGCCATTTCTTTGATTGATTGGCTAATCCTGGCTCTATCATCTTTTATAAAAGCTTGTAATATTATCAAAATCTAGTCCTTAAATGTGTGGTGATGAAGCATCAAGCACCAACGGGTAGCTGATACATGGTACTGCAACTGATTGTAGTGGGATTGACATCAGCAGAAGATTATGCCTTGCCTTATCCAACAAAAGCAAGAGAAATAAAAGATCAAAAGTAGAAAGTGGGATACCTGCGAGTTCTTTTTTTTAGCTTTATGGGATTCCTATTCGTTACATAATTGACTTGAACACCACAATAAAAGCATCCAAAGCCTTTTTTTTTTTTTTTACTGCTTGTTTGATTTTTCCGTTTTTCTATCGACTCTAGAGGAGGTTTGAGTCTCAAGGAGCTGCGAATACAGAAGGTTAACACATTTTTTGAAGCCCTATAGAATGAATGATTGAGTTGCTCCCCTCATAGATGTACCGCTGTTTGCATTTCTGTCACCATTGTTAGTCCTGAAACTGCAAATCCCTGGGAAGAATCAATCCATTGATTTTATGAACATAATTGATTATCCACCTGAAGGCCAAATATCATTATTTGTTAGCTTCCACCATAAATGAATCATACACTAACAAGTTTATGCAAATTGGATAGCCTAGAAATCTGTCCAGTCCAATATGTGCTTAATGACAAACGATTAAGCTCACTTTAGGAAATGTTTGTTTAATCTTAAAGAATCTTAGTAATTAGAGGGAAATGTCCTGTTTTGAGCAAAATAATCATGTGAACAAGGTGTGGCCCAGAAAAAATCATGTCAACAAGGAAAGAAAGCTATATAAACCCACCGTTTTCGTTGTCCTCTCTTATGTCAAATCAGCTGAATATAAAGGAGAAAAGAAAAAGAAATTCAAACGCTCCTGCCCCACCTCTCAAGCCATTAGCCAGATGATTCTTGAATGTTCATCCAGTTAATAAGTTAGCCGTATGTTAGTTTGGTAGCCATAGGATTAAATAAAGCTAAAAAAAGCAAACCAGAAGAAACCTTAATAAAGAAGTTTGGATCAGGTAAACATTAGTAAGACAGAAGTAGTAGATCCACAAACCAGAATCAAACATTTATTATCAATTTTGCATGATTAATCTGAAGTACAAAATCAAATGAAAAACAAAAATATATATGTAGTAACTTTGGTTCAAAAAAGACGCGACGAAAATGACAGAAACTGAATTACATACAAAACCATAAATCTAAAATAGATGGGTGCTTTGTTTTTGTCATCTATGAGCCAACATACATGTGCACACCCACAGCTAAGAGGAAGATACAGATAAGTGCAAAGTAAATTATGGAATGCACCAGGATGGATAGCCCACTGGTCTGAAAGTTGCCAAACTCTATGCAGCGGGATTTTCCTGGAATCTGAATCAGCAGCCCCGGTGTTAGCAGTATGAAAAGCACCACTGCCACGAAAACAGGCCCCCAATCAGTCATCTTTCCTCTCCCCTTCTTTTTCGTTCCCTAATCACTTGGTTGTAATCTGATCTATAATGAATATACGGAGAGGAGATGGAAATGATAAAACGAAAAAGATGGGGTGTTGCTTTAGGCAGAAGAGACAAAGGGTTCGATGACTAGGAAAACTGAAGATTAGCGAATCAAGCTATTCGGATTCACATTTTTCTCCACTGACGATTATTACATGCACTTTTTTCGAAAGGAAACTTCGCTATAACACTCAATGAGGTAGGACAAATTGTGCATTGGTTGTCCTTTCTGATCAAATTTGATGTGCCCCAATAACCAATCCCAACGGGAAACTTTATCCATACGAGTGAGAATCTTACAGTTTTCAGTTTTGTCGCAAGAAGGTACTTGTCCATTAAACAAAAGGGCTCGCTTCGGCTAAAAGTATTGGCTTTTGACCCAGAAAACCAAACCTTGAAATAGCCCACTAATGTATTGGGTGAGGGGCTGAGGCTGAGCTAAACTCTGGTCCATGAAAGAATGGGCTTATGATCCACAAAACGAAAAGTTGAAACGTCGACAGCAGGGTTCGAACCTGCGCGGGCGAAGCCCAACAGATTTCAAGTCTGTCTCCTTAACCACTCGGACATATCGACAATCGTGGATATTGGCGGTTGCTTGCAATTTTTTATCTTTAACATCTGTTTCAGTCAAAAAAAATTTTTGAAAAATAATAATAAAGAACATATATATATATATATATATATATTTACAAGACGTGTCATTAACCTAAAATCAGTCGATTCGAGTTAATACGGAAACCTATATAAATTATACTAACGCAATCAAACTTCTGGATGTAGAATGCCTGCTTGAAGCGTGAGGCCACTTACCTGGGACATCCAGACACAACCTTTGTCACTGTCTTTCAGGCACTGTAAACGGGTGTTTTGATTGAAACCAAGTCTTGTTTTGAGCTGTGATTTTCTGTAGTTGGGTGTCCGAGGAGGACCTACACAGTACTTATGATTTCCCGGAATAGGGTTTTCTGATTAGGACTTCATAGAAACTCTGTGTTTGCGTAAATCATCTGGCAGGTTATCTTTTACTATCTTCTCTCGAACAAACTTTCAATATTTTAGGTTGCTGCGATCTTACAATTTACCTGTTATTTTCCTTTGTTATTTGTGGCTGGAAAAGGACTTTGAAGTTGAATTTGCATGTGGGTGGGTGTTGCCATCCTTGCCAATCTTATTTTTCTCAATCAATGGGCCTTCCTACCTGTTGTTTATAGATTTAATGGCTGTCGTTTTAATAGTGAACCAAACTCTAAATCTCTTTCTCTGGATGGAACTAAACATGAGATCTTATCCTCTGATTGGGGGTTTCACTTTTTATTGTAGAACATTTAAAATCTTTATTGTCTAATTTCCACCCAACAGTGGAAACTGAAGGGAGAGACATAAGAGAGTAGCTTGAACATGATATTTCATCCTTTGACATAACTGAGATTAAACAAGGGCAATGAAAGCAGCCTCTTTCCTACTCCCCGTGAACCAATGGGCCAGAAGAGGACAAGGTAGGTGATGGGGTTTGCATAATATTGTTTTTTAATCCAGTGATTGAGACCAGAGTGTCGAGTCACTTATAAGCCATAAGATTTGAGATCCATTCAACTTAGGTATTATATGCTTTAATTCGAATATTATAATTTTAACTCATCAAAGATATTTTATAAATTTAAATTTAAATTTTTATTTATATATTATAATAAATTTTTAAAATTTTTTAATATAAAAATACAATGTAACATATTTTTTTTTGTTAAAACTTGATATTCTTATTAAGCTCATACAAAATACATAAATTTATTGATATTATAATAGATTTTCAAAATTTTTCAATATGAAATTACAATATAACATATCTTTTTTTATTAAAACTTCATATTTTTATTAAGCTCAATACAAAATACATAAATTTATTGATATTATAATAAATTTTTAAAATTTTTCAATATGAAATTACAATGTCATTTTTTTTTTGTTAAAACTTGATATTCTTATTAAACTCAATACAAAATACATAAATTTATTGAATTACATTAAATATTAAATAAATATTAAGATTTTAAAAATAAGTCATATCATATAATATTTAACTCTTATCCAATTAATAATTATTTTATTATTATTTATGAAAATTTATACTTAATTTATAATATAATAATTATTTTAATACTAAAATTTTATAATTTTATCTCATAAAATATATTTTATAAATTTAAATTTATATTATTTATATATTATAATAAATTCTCAAAATGTTTTGCCGGGAGATTAATGTTTCATGCACTCAAGCTTATCGATGTAAAAAGTCCGCCCTTTGCAAGGATTGGGGCCCACTTACTTAGACTCCCAGACGTCACCTTTGATGTTTTACTGCTGACGGCTCACAGGGACACTTAAACCATTTCATTTTTTTTAGGGTTTCGTGATAGAACACATCATTAATTTAAAACCAATTGGTTTAAGTAAATATATATCTCTTTTTCATGCATGAGTCCTAGCTATGGTTTTACAAATTCGCCATTCATAGATTGTTAAAATTAAACAACTCCAATCCAAGTTAGTTGGTGTCAGGGAACTTTGATTGAACACAAGCAATTAAAATATGAAAGAAAGGATAAGGTTCAGTGAATTTCCTGTCTTGCTGATTAAAGAATATGGATATTCATAGATTTGTAGAAGTTATAGTGAAAAGGATGTAATAGCATATATAATATAATGTTGATACAAAAGACAAGTAAATTTAATAATTCAATCATTTTGTGTAGTGTTCAAATCAAAGTTTATTTATCTCTCCCCCAATCCATTGTTTTCTCTTTGGCTTGCAAAATTCAATCCCCACTTGATTATGTAGTGAATTTTTGTAAGAGATACTCTTGGTTTTTTTTTTTTTTTACCTTATTTAGGGAAATCTATTATTCTTAAGATAGTTTAATTATTAAAATTAATAGTTTGACGTTCTATTAATATATCAGTTATCAATATATCACAAAGTTGATAATAAATCAAAAAAGGGATTTGAATGGAAAATTTTATAAACGCTCTCTTTGGAGAATCAAAATAACTTTGACAATTTCGGATATAAAAAATTTACTTAGCTGATGCAATACTTTCTTCGTATGTTGTTCTAGTAAATGAAAACAGGATTCCAAGGTTTAAAATTAACTAACAGCAAAAATACATCTTTTTCTCATAAAAAGACAGCAATTTTCATATGTCAACTGTCTTGAATTTGTGTCCATATGACAAAAAGGATTCACTTTCTATTTCATAAAAAAAAAACTCTTTACTGAATGAAAGTTTGATTTGCAGGTCAATTATAGATGATTTACAGCTACAAATGCGGCAGTCAGTAATTTTCTATATAAATATTTTATTTGAATGAAAGGTGAAATAAAATAAGAATCTGATAATAAAACAGTGATGGCCATCAAAGCATTAGTAAAAGATAATGACAAGAGAAAACTTAAAAAAAGATGCTATCATTGTGATTGTTTACTGTTGCACCTGTTAAGTTTTGTGCTTTTTTTTTTAATGCTTCTGACATTGAATTTTTAAGGAGAAAGAGAAAAGCAGTTACGTAGGAGCTGACCTCAACCTTCAAATTTTCCAAATATGCCACGTGTCAAACACCCAAAACCTCAGAAGAACATGAAAACCAAATACTAACTGCCAATAAAAGGAAAAAAAAAAACCAGTTCCTAACGTTGCGGTTGTCTCCGAAAGATGTTATGGTAACAATGAGGCATCAAATCAATATCAATTATTTTCATGTTGGACTTTACCACAGTGGCTTGTCCTGTAAATATCTAGAACAAGATTCCGAAATTCACGGGATTAAAGAAAAAAATAAAGCAAAAGCCAGCACCAGCCGCCGGCCGAAGTTAAATATATACCTCCATGACCGGTGGCCCAATAGAACACCACATCCACATCATTATCCTCGACCTTTCTCTTTGTTTTTTGCATATAAATTGTTTAACCCACAAAGTTTTCGCCTTTAAAAAAGATATGTTTTTTGTTCTTTTGGCTAAAAACACATATTTTAAAGATTGGATTGAAGAACAGAAGCCAAAGCTCACAATCAAGAATACTTTCTTCGTTTTTGGTGTTTCCGGAGAATTGCATAATGGGCAGATCGAAAGAAAAGCTTCAGGCTTTTGTGAAAAATAGATGGCTGGTTTTTGTGGCTGCAATGTGGATACAATCTTGTGCTGGGGTTGGTTATATATTTGGTAGCATATCACCTGTGATAAAGAGTTCTTTGAATTATAATCAAAGGCAGCTTTCCAGGTTGGGTGTGGCTAAAGATCTTGGAGATAGCGTTGGGTTCTTAGCTGGGAGCTTGACTGAGATATTGCCTTTATGGGGTGCTTTGCTCGTTGGCGCTTTGCAGAATCTTATTGGTTATGGTTGGGTTTGGTTGATTGTTACTGGGAGAGCCCCAGTTTTGCCTTTGTGGGCCGTGAGTATCAGTTTAAAAGTTTTTTTTATTATTACTATTTTTATGAATGAGATAGCTGAAATCTGAAAATTTTTGTTTTTCTGTTGATTGTTCTTGGTTGGAAGCCAATACTGTTATATTGCTTGATTTAATTCTATCAATTTCCAAGTCTTTTCCAGTTCTTTGTTCCCTTCTGTTTCCTTGGAAATGATGTGATCCTCTGCTTCTTCTTTTTGAGCATTTTGATTCATATAGGCTTGTTTGTTGAGTCAGAATTTAAGATTTTCATTATTGATCTTTTATATGATTGGACTATTAAACAGTATTAGAGGATAATCTTTTTGAAAATTATGATTAAAATAGTATGTCAAAGCAAGAAGCATAATTTATGGTAAAAGTTGAAGACTGCCATGTTCTTTTGAAGGAAGGACCGGAGATGATCTGATCCTGAATAAGAGGAGAAATTTTGTTAGATGGAATATCAATCTATTTTCTTTTATCAGGATTTGAGGTGGTAAATAAAGGAGATTGATTTATTCCATCCGTTACCATTTCAAATCAGTCCAAAAATTTTTCTATCTTCACAAAATGTTAGTATTACATAGCATCTCGTATCGGTTAGATTGTTAACCCGCCTCAGTATGCAGATGTGCGTCTTAATATTCGTGGGAAACAATGGTGAAACCTACTTCAACACAGCTGCTCTGGTTTCTTGTGTGCAAAACTTTCCCAAAAGTAGGGGTCCAGTGGTAGGAATACTCAAGGGCTTTGCTGGTTTGACCGGTGCAATTTTTACTCAGATATACACAATGATTAATTTCCCAGATCAAGCGTCTTTAATATTCATGGTTGCAGTTGGACCAGCAATGGTAGTTATTACTCTAATGTTCATTATCAGACCTGTTGGAGGTCACAGACAAGTGCGTCCATCTGATGGTTTAAGTTCTACATTTATTTATAGTGTGTGCCTCCTATTGGCTGCTTACTTGATGGGAGTCATGCTTCTGGAAGATCTTGTTAGTGTGAGCCACACTTTAATTACAATTTTTACTGTGATTTTGCTTTTCCTGCTTGTCATTCCAATAGTTATTCCCATTGTATTGAGTTTCTGCGAAAAGCCTAGAGATCCAGCAGAAGAGGCCCTTGTATCAAAGCCTGAGCAACATGAAGCGGGAAAATCTGAACTGGACGCCCAGGAACATGAAGTAATATTGAGTGAGGTTGAAGATGAGAAACCTAAGGAAGTAGACCTGCTTCCAGCATCAGAAAGGCGAAAACGAATTGCTCAGTTGCAAGCGAAACTGTGCCATGCAGCTGCTAAAGGAGCAGTAAGGGTGAAGAGAAGGAGAGGTCCTCATAGAGGAGAGGACTTTACCTTGATGCAGGCTTTGATCACGGCAGACTTTTGGCTTATCTTTTTCTCTCTTCTATTAGGTTCAGGATCAGGGTTGACAGTGATAGATAATCTTGGTCAGATGAGCCAGTCTCTAGGGTATGATAATACTCATATATTTGTATCCATGTTTAGCATTTGGAACTTTCTTGGTCGTGTTGGTGGGGGTTACTTCTCTGAGATTATTGTGAGGTACAGACTGATATAATTTGCACCTGGATGCTGATAGCACCAGACTTTACTTTAATAGTGGTGTTGATTCATTTTTCTTACCTTTTTTCTGTGACATCACTGTATAGGGATCATGCTTATCCTAGGCATGTAGCCATTGCTGTGGCCCAGCTTGTTATGGCTGTTGGCCATGTCTTCTTTGCCGTGGGATGGCCTGGAGCAATTTATATTGGAACTTTGTTGATAGGGCTTGGCTATGGTGCCCACTGGGCAATTGTGCCAGCTGCCACCTCCGAGTTGTTTGGCTTGAAAAAGTTCGGGGCTCTATATAATTTCCTTACGCTGGCAAATCCTGCAGGTTCACTTATCTTCTCAGGTGTAATTGCTAGCAGTATTTATGACCGTGAAGCAGAGAAACAAGCTCATCAACATCATATCCAGCCACAGATTTCAGGCTCAATTTTCTCAGGGATGTTTGGCCAGGATGAACCGCTTAAGTGCAAAGGTTCTACATGCTTCTTTCTGACTTCCATGATTATGTCAGGATTTTGCGTCATTGCAGCTGTTTTAAGCATGATGCTTGTGCGCCGTACTAAGACTGTTTATGCCCACCTTTATGGAAAATCTCACACTTGATTTCAAGGATGAGAACTAGAGATCTAGGAGCGTCTTTCATGAATAATTCATCCATTTTATGGTGATGTTTATGAGCAAAAAGTGAGATTATAGGTGTTTTCCTTAAATTGATGAAATTAGTATTGCCATAAAGTTGGTGGAGCTGGGCATGTTCCAAATCCAAAACACATTTACATTTTATTTGTCAAAGATTCTGCTTTGAGTGTTGAAGTGGTGTACATTTTCTCACTTCTTATTTGAACTCAGTTTGATTTTGATGATGTAAGTTTTTCGACATTGTCCATTAGAGCTAACCTGGATTCTAGATTACACTTTCATCTCTTGATTATGGAGATTGTGCCTGTCCTGGTAATAGGTAAAAAAGCACTGTGGCTTTAAATCAAAGGGATGCATATGGGTTCTTATACTTGAAAGCCGGTTGGTTATTCTCGGATGAGGACAGAGATGTGGAAATTTTTCCTGAATCAACAGGAAAATCTTAGCATCTGCCTTCAGACAACTTGACATATATTATCATCAGTTTGTGTGGGTCAATCTTTCCATTCCTTTGAGAGTCACCAATAAGCCCGCGGTAATTTCAGCTTCATTTGACCAGTAAGAGCTTAATGATGAAGATCAGCAATAGAATACAGCAAATGTTGTATTCTTGACCTTATTGATATTAAAATCTTATCTGCAGTTCGACATGGTATGTATGAAACACGCAACACTAGATACGATAAATGAAGGAACAACTGTGTAATGCATGCTGGTTTCACGTGGTTGACACATACAAATTTGCACGTTTCTTTGCAATGATGTCTTTTAAGAAGTCCAATGTTAAGAGTTGTGGCCTTTTTCCAGAATTGAAAGCTGGCAATCCCTCATTATTCTATATACCAAATTGATAAGGAAGGAACTTAGCAATTTCAATTTCTTGGTAATATTGGAGATTGCTTGATTGAATGTTATGGAAAGACATTGAAGAAGTATAAGCTTACCCCATCTTTGCACCTAATATTTTATATATAAATTATGCTATTTATATCATCCGATCATAAAAATTTTGAAAGATTTAGAAATTACATTGCATTACTTGCATATGATCATGATATCTTGCATCTTGATTCACAGGATATAAAGGCCTAAATGATCTGCCTAATAAGTAATAATTCCTCGAAGTTATGCCATTTTCAGGAAAAAGAAAAGTCAAAAAGTTTGAAAAGGATACAGCCATCAATCATGTGTTTAAAGCAACATTTCCGTTCAAAACATGTGTTTTTTCTTTTTTCCATTTTCATGGCCAAACCATGCATCTCCCTAGCTGCCAGCTAATGAAATACTTCATTGGAAAACAAAGACAAGAAGCAAACGGCTTGGAGTATAATGTGGCTGCAAATGCATTTTTATTGTCATAATTACAAAAGAAAAAAAAAAAGGCACCAGGAGCAAAGCCATTAGCTCCTGCGGATGTCAATTAGTGATAGTAAATGACAAACACAGAAAAACAAGGCAAAGAATCAAGGTCATATTTATTTTGTGATCAAATGCTAACATTGAGGCTCCCAATTATTCCATGCCAATATCTTTCTTTTAAGAGTTAAAGGATGTGCAGTCTAGCCTTATCTCCCCTGCTTTACCAGTCTTAACTCCCACCCTTCCAAGCTTTGCCATTGCTGTGATGAAGGCTCCATTAAAAAAATTTTGCTTTTTAGAAAAGTGAACCACGGTTGGTTTAGATGCTGGATTAGTAAAGAGCACCTCATCAGATGTAAACAATCCCTTCTTGGCAACTAGATTCTTGAAGTACTTATTGTCAAAATTTTGGGGGGTTACAGGATCCATGTTTACTGCAATGCTGGGGTCTACATTTTGAGGACACTCTTGCTTTAACTGCTGTGCGTAGGTAGGATCTAGATCGGGATCCACAGGAGAGGATGGAGAAAATGAGTACAAGCGATTTGCAAAGCGACTGCAGTGAGAGAAGCCTACAGTATGAGCTCCTGAGAGTGCAATCATATCAGTTTGTGTGAGGTTGTTTTTGGCAAACATGGTGTTAAGTTGACCGAGATTGAAGTTAGGCTGTGGCAGTTTTCCTGCTACCCTTGATGCCTGAGATACGAGTCCATCACGACGTCCCAATTCTACTTCAAATGAAGGACCTCCAGCCTAAGATTATAATCACATGAAAGACAATTTGGAAAATATGAGATTTGCTTCATAGGGATATGCATTTCAGGGACAGGTTTTGACTTTCAAGTGAACTTTTGGGCATTTCTTACCAGAACTACAACATCTCTAGCAGCAATAGCCATAATGTCTGCACAAGAGACTACTTTAGGGCATTTTGCTTCCACTGCTTGCTTGGCCTTTATTACAGTGTCAAACCCGTCTCCTGCAAGGGAGAGATTGTCTGGAGCATCCTTCTCCGCATCACCGTTTGGCGATGAAATCATGATTGATGCATCACAGCCCTACAAACCAAAACAAAGTAAACCCCATAAAATGGCAAATTACAAACTGGTTTATTCTTTTTGAAGCTCTCCTTTTCGTTTTTATGATATTTTGCTTCAGGAAACCATAGCCTTTTGATTCCTTTCTTTCATTTTTCACAAAGTATATGGCACTGGATCCTCCTAATGTCTCTTTTACGTGTGGCTAGTAACGTCAAAGATACCATTTATGTAAGGATTGGGACATCAATGTTACTATGGTAGCAGAAACTGGATGATTTCATGTTTTCCTTTCCCATAGTCAACGGTTTACTTTTATCCAGGACAGCTACAATGTTACAGCAACTAAACATGACCATGACTAACTAAAACTAACCCAATATGTTTCTTATAAGAAAAAGACAATAATAGAGCCACCATTTGTAAGAAAAATCTTTCTGTATAACATTCTGAACTTCATCTGTTGCAAGCTATGCTGAATAAATGCATTTCATTAATAAGATAAGGCGATTTTAGGATGAAAGATATGCATAGATGAGACAACTGTTTAAAGTATATAAAACGTCTAACTTATAGCTGCAGATATATGATATATCAAAAAAAGAAGATAGAAGGAGTAATCAGTGATCATGTTAATCTACCCCAATAAAGCAGTCATGGAAAAACAGTCGTAGGGTCGCAGGGATTGTGACGAAGGTTTGTTTAAACTTATTTTCCACCGCCTTTCTTACTATGGATTCCACATCCGGACAAGTAGCATTGTAGAAACCTTGAGATAATTGTCCCTCCCCCCTCTGCAGAATCAAGAAAACTATGAATAATGTCAATACTCTCCTTATCTCCATTTTCTTTCTCACCAATATAACTTCTCTTTGACCTTCAAATTGTCCACAGGCCATGCCCATATCAGAATGATCATATATATAGGGAAGCAACAAAGAAGACAAGTAAAAGTCTTCTTCTAATTCCGTTACAAGTTGCTTGATTTGGCTTATTACCTGGCTTAAGCATATGAATATATCCATTAATTCAGCAAGCAACCATATTATTTTAGCAATTTCTTCAGAAAAATCAGGAAGTCATTCAGTAACTAGTACTTGAACAATAATTATTATATGATCATGCTGCTAGTCCAATACAATCCTTTGCTTATACTGAAGTTCCAAGCTACAACCTTAAATCTTGAGATATTACTTGTGGTCTCACTGTATTAGAGGTTTTTATCCTTTTTTTTTAAAGAGGAGAATTCCAGATAAGCTCAGACTCAGAAATGCACCCTGCCCGGGTTGTATGTTAGAGATGAAAAGCACACAACAGGGACAATAACAGTGTCTGAAGAAGATTTAACCTAGATTGACATGGGAAAAAATGCTGGTTTTTCAAGTTCAAATCCGGGTTTCTCGGTGCTGTTATTAAGGTCATATGCATTGTATCCGGTGACTTTCAGAATCCGTAATATAAATGTTGGATACAAGGGAGATCACATGGCACCACCATTTTCTTTTTCTTTGTTCTGTTGTCCAAAACACGTTCTGGGCAGGCTTCATTTCTCTTTGCGTTTTTTATAAGTTTTAGCTTTTTCTACTTTTTTCTTAAATTATCTATTTTAATATTTTTAATTATGTTTGTATATGAAGGTAAATTTTAAAAAATAATTTAAATTTTATTTATTATATAAATTATGAGAATAAAATACATACATTATATAAAAATTTATTGAGATTTTATATGAGTTTATATTTAAAATAATATTAAGAAAATAAATTTTAAATTCTCAAATACCTAGAAGAATTTTAAGTTCACCACTAGATAGTCATCAAATATATTCATGAATTTGAGATAACATAATTTATCCTAAACTTGAAATCTAAACCAAGATTGATAACATTGTACCAAATAAAGTTTTAATTTTCTCTAAAAATGCGATATATGCTAGCACCAGTTGTTTCAGTATAATATTTTAGATATATTGGTTTAATACAAATATATATATATATATATACATGAACTAGTATATTATAATACTATTAATAATTTACAAAATAAATATTTAATATTTTTAAAAATCAAATAAATAAGTTTAAAAGTATAAGAAGTAATATTATAAAATTTTCATGATATTTTTAAATATTTAAATAAGTATTTTTTTATGTAAATATTAAGATAAAAATAATGAAATGAAAAAAAATTAACCTTAGCTTTATAATTGATAAATTTTAGCAAGAGAGTATAATTGTTTTCTTGAAAAAGATTGAAATACTTATAAGTTACAATAAAAAATAGAAAAACTCAACTTTCAAAGATTATTTTATTAATTAAATTTATTTTTATTAAATTAAAAATAGTTAAACAATAAAAGATAAATTAAAAATTACAAAATATGTTTCATATTCACGTACCCTAAATAAGTTAATCCATCAAAATTTATCAAAATCAACCAAAACCAATGAAGATAATCGATATTGTTCAGTATCAAATTTAATATAAAAAATTATTTTTAAATGTATCATATTTTGATATAATAGAAACGTACAAATCAATACAATTGATGTCAAAATGAAATTAATAGTTATGATCTAAACCCCTTTCTCTTAAATTCAAATTCCCCAAAAACCTTAGTAAATTTTTTGTTTCCAATTGAAGCATGTTGAGATTTATTTATTGTTTTTTTTTCTTTGATTAAATTTCGCCACGGGCTAGCATCATGTTCCTGCCGAATTAGCTCATTGCTGCCTGGAGCATATCTCTCATTTTTTAAAAATTTTTTCTTCTTTACTTAATTGTTTTTCATGTATATTTTTCTTATAATCTTCCTTTTTTTTTTATTTTCTTGATTGGGTTTTACGAGTTTGTATTTTATATTAACTTCGATGATAAACAAAATTTTGAACAAAATCCAATAAAATTGCACATAACAAACAATTAAGATATGATTTTTTATTTTTTTTAAGTTCTTCAAAATCCAAAAAAATGGCAGGTTAACAAGTAATTAAACTTGAAGCCATCAAGAATAATATAACAATTAAAGCCTTTAATTGTATGATTTACAAAACAATGGCATTGGTTACTGCTTTGACAATAACCAGAAAAGAAGAGATGAACGACAGGGTTCAAACATTATAGTATTGTTCTTTGATTACGAGAAATTAAGTCCTCGCGGGAGATCTCCAAATAGCTGCAATAAACCACTGTGATGAAATCAAATCCCTCTCAAGCTTCCTCATTGCTGTGATGAAGGTTCCATTAAAGTCACAGGGGTTCTTAGCAAAATCAAGTACAGTAGGTTGAGATGCTGTATTAGTGAAGAGAACTTCATTTGAAGTGAACAAGCCCTTCTTAGCAACTAGATTCTGGAATGGAAGTACATATTATCAAAAGTTTTTTGGGTTACAGGATCCATGTTGATAGTAATTTTTTGACGGTAGGCTTGCATTGACTGCTGTGCATAGGTAGGATCCAGATCAGGACCAACAGGAGAGGATGGAGACAATGAGTATAAGCGATTTGCAAAGGGACTGCAATGAGAAAAGCCTACAGTATGAGCTCCTGAGAGTGCAATCATATCAATTTGTATAAGGGTGTTTTTGGCAAAAATTGTGTTGAGTAAGTTTGAAATTATGCTCTGGCAGATTTCCCGCTACCCTGGATGCCTGCGAAATAAGGCCATCACGACGTCCCTATTCTACTTTGAATGAAGGACCTCCACCCTGGGATTTTTATCAAACCAAAAGACGATTAGAATACATATAATGAGTTTTGCCAGGTAATATGTATAACGGTAACAAGTAGGATATCGTTTTTCTATTACCTTACTTGTCATTTCCAAACTATTCATATAGTGGTAAGTAATTCCCTAAATGGTTACTACAACCTTTTTCAACATCTAAAATTACCATAGAGAAAACAAAACCAAAGTAATTTTAAGACAATGCAGTGATCATGTTTCTTGTCCTGATTGTCAAAACAAGCCTGTTACCAATATTGCAGTACACCATTCTATTATCTTAAAAGGCATGCAAAAAAATTTCCATTGTTTTTACTGAACTAGAGGTTCACATTCACATCCTTTTTCCAGTGGGGGAATTTCTAGATGAAAGTGACACAATAAAAAAAAATTCCGAGTCCGAAGAATATAGTGCTAGTTAATTTATTGAGTTGAATAATTTATTAGGGATTTCGGTGCTGTTGTAAGGGTCAAATGCGTGTTTATCAATGATTTTTTCAGGATTATTATTTATTATAAATCAATAGATGAAAGCAACGTCCCTCCTACGGCTATCATGCTCTGTCAATCAATTTCCTGAGTGACTTAAATTCCATTTAAATGGACGTGGAAATTAGTTCTGATAAAATTGAAAACAGTATTAAAAATTATTATAATTATAATTGAAAAAAATTTATTATAATTGTAATTGAAAAAAAAAATTTAATGAAAATTTTATATAAAATAAATTTTATTAAAGTTGACATTTAGATTCCAAGTGATGGTGTATTGAGCTCAATCACACCGTACCAAAGGTACAATCGAATCCAAACGAGGACTTAAACAGAAGCATTGAACTTGCCACATGGTAAACCATCCTCTACTGTTATCATCATGTAAAAAACCTTGTTGGGTAACAAAGGTTTATTAATGTTGAGAGAATAAGTAGCCTTGAAATATATAGTTGCGGCACTGAATTCCTTTAATGGTATGATTTACAAAAACAATGGCATCTTTAAATGCATCGACAAGCACCAGAATTAAAATATATATATATATATATAATTAGGGAAATTATTTTTCAAACGAGAGAAAATCCTTGTTGTCTGATCTTCATGTACCCTGTGCCAAACCAGAAGATACAAAAAACAAAACAGAGAAAGAATTGGGAACATTTATTTCGTAACCAATTGCTCCTTTTTTTAGGCATGTTCTTCATCCTCCTTTCATGAATTAAATTTTGTGCAGTCTATTCTTATCTCTCCTTCATTACCAGTTTTAACTCCCACCCTTCCAAGTTTCCTCATTGCTGAGATAAAGGCTCCATTAAAGTTACCAGGGTTGCTAGCGAAATCATTTACGGTGGGTTCAGATGCTGAATCAGTGAAAAGCACCTGATCTGAAGTGAACAAGCCCTTCCCAGAAACTAGATTCTGGTAGTATACATTGTCAAAAGTTTGTGGGGTTACAGGATCCATGTTGATGGCAATGCTGGGGTCTACATTTTGAGGGCAGGCTTGCATCAATTGTTGTGCGTAGTTTGGGTCCAAAGTAGGATCAATAGCAGATGATGAAGAGAATGAGTATAAGCGATTTGCAAAGCGGTTGCAATGAGAGAAGCCTACAGTATGAGCTCCAGAGAGTGCAATCATATCGAATTGGGTAAGGTTGTTTCTGGCAAAAATGGTGTTAAGTTGAACAAGGTTGAATTCAGGCTCTGGTAGATTTCCTGCAACCCTGGATGCTTGTGATACGAGGCCATCTCGACGTCCCAATTCTACTTCCCATGAAGGGCCTCCAGCCTAAGATTTTATTCACATAACAAGCAAATTGGAATATATGAGTTTTCTTAATTAAGTATCGTTAAGTATTCCAAGGACTACTTTTCAGGTAAATGGTTGAGCATTCCTTACCAGAACTACAACATCCCTGGCACCTAGAGCCAAAATGTCAGCACAAGAGACTACTCCAGGGCATTGTTGTTCCACTGCCAGCTTTGCCTTGATTACAGTGTCAAATCCATCTCCTGCAAGGGAGAGATTATCTTGAGCATCCTTTTCTGCATCTCCATTTGGCGATGCAATCATGACTGATGCATCACATCCCTACAATACAAAGCAGAAGAAAACAAGAGGCATATTATATTTTTATTAAATTTGTTGGTTTGGACAGCTCCTTTATGTACCAGTTCCTTATGTCAAGCATGCCAGTTGTCAAGAGTGACACGTTAAACGTTGTAATTTGATGTGCTATTCTACCTTTCCCTAGTCGGTGGTTTCACAATGTCCTGGTCAGCTGTAAGTTAATCAGCCTCCAATTGTGACCATGACTGAAAAAAGAATTAACTCGGAGAAAGACAAAGAGAGAAGAAATCACCAACCATTTGTAACAAATTTCTTTCTATACCAAGAAAATTTTATCTGTCATCTGACTCTTCATATTATCTGATTCTGATATGCAAGAAATTACAAGGCAGAGGAAAAACCAATTTCTAATTCTTGGACTTCAATTGATAAAAAGAGAAGTGGAAGAAAGAGACTCTTGAAGCATTAGCATGAAAAGCATGAGGGGATTACATGACACTAATTTGATAAGAATATTAATCAAACAACAACTGCAGCAAACATCTGATAAAATTGAGAACAAAAACTGGATTCATCTCATACTTATCTCCCTACCTCAACAAAGCAGTCATGGAAAAACAAGCGCAGAGTAGCAGGTATTGTAACGAATGTCTGGCTAAACTTCGTTGACACTTCCTGTTTCACTATGGATTCCAGATTCGGACATTTATCACTGTAGAAATTTTCAAATAATTGCCCCTTTCCTCTCTGCAGAATCATGAAAACCATTAACAATATCAACCCTCTCCTCATTACGTCCATTTCCTCTCTCTAGCTATACAAACTTTTATTCGCAGCCATAAGTGAAAGTGTTAAACTCTTATATATAGAATAGAAGAAACAAATACGACAGACTTCTAATAATTAATAAACTGTTAGTCAAGCCATGGCAGCTAAAACTTGGTCTAAGCATATATTAATTTCCACCAATCTTAATACATTAAGTAGCTTTAATATAGTCCTTTTTTTGGCATAATATCTAATATGTGACGAATCAATCTCACGTTGTGATAATTTAAGATTTTGTCATGATATTTATATAGAGATCTAAATATAAACTTGTAAGATATTTTTTGTAGATAAAATCATAAGATTTTCGAATTAAAATGGACAATACTTTACAAATTAAGTACTGATCTTTATAAATTATATCAAAGTGATCATCAGTTTAACGGGAGTTTAATATTACATGATAGGAGCCATCTTTAGAATCCCAATCCTATAACCTAAGTATGCTTTATGTTGGGCTTATTCAATATTTGATGTGATTCGATGGATCTGTGTGCTTTCTGTTAACTCGACGAGAGATTAAATTTTATCGGAGAGAAGTTTATGATACTCTAATATCACATTGAAATAATATAAAATTTTGTTATGATATATATGTAGAGATGTATATTTATAAACTTACAAAGTATTTTTATGAGATAAAATCTAACATCTTCATATCAAAATGAACAATACCTCTCAAATTGAATACGAATATCCATATAACCAATATTGCAATCAATCATACTATAATCTAGTGGCTTAGTCATATTTTAGCAACTATATCTTTATTCCAAAAATGAAAAATATGAAGATTATAAATCCTTCTAAGAAACTGCGAAAAGAAAGCGATCAAAAGGACAAGAGAGCTAATCAAATACAAGAGTGTTGCCATGGAAAACTCTCAAATTGACTTGGTAGAATTCGTGATATCCTTTCGTAGATGGGCAAAGACTTTTTGTGCTATACTTAGATTAATTTCTTACAAGTTACTTAGTGATTGAAAAGGACTTAGCAACAAACCAATGTCTGACAAAGAATACGGGAGATTTCACACGGGAGATAATGCCATTTGCCACCTCGTTGAAATTTAATGTTTGGGGCTAATGTTATTAAGGTCAAATGCATCCATATCAATGACTTGTTCATCACGATATTGCAAACAAATTAGAAAAACGAAATTACACTTTCTTTTCTCTTTAGACTCAAAATATTTATGATAACTTAAATTATGTACAATGAGATGAAATTAGATTTATCCTAAGGTAAAGTAAATTGATCTAATAACTTTAGACATGAGTTTTAAAATTTAAATTCAATTCGAATTTTTATTTTATTAATAAAATTTTATATTTTCATATAAATTTTAAAAAATATATCTTTTGGATCCGATCAGCTGGGTTGGATCTTGAGTATAACTTTTAAATGGCCAACCAAACCTGACTCATCCGATCATGGACACGTTTTATTGAAACCTAACCCTGAAACTGAATCAGTTCCGTCCCAAAGGAGTATTACTTTTGAGAACAGTAAGGCCTACAAATTGTTGACTGCAGGACAGTTTCGTCTTTTGACCAATTTCCTTCTTTCAGAAACTACACTGTAGGACTCTTATTCGTTTAGGTGAACAATGCTTACCATTTTAAATGCCTTTTTTTTTTCATAATAGAAACTTGTTTTAAAACTTTGAATACGTATAAACATGGCTGCTGGAATTTTTATTTGGTTTTTTTAAGTTATAATCAAAGTTCAAATTAAAAAATTTTTGTTTTAAAATTAAAGATTTCGAGTTCGAATTTCATTCATGACTTAAATTATTTATCTTATTTTTTTTGTATTTAAAAATTAATTTTTTACTGTCCACATCACGAATCTATGAAATTGTGAGAATTTTTTAATATCACAAAAGATTAGCATGAGTTAGAAGTGTAAATATTATAACCTTTCAATGGCTGAGCTGCACATTGCTTACTCTCATATTAATATAGTTTTTTATAGCTTAAAACATCCAATCATTTTTCTCAAAAAAAAAATTCTAATCATTGATGCCTAATTGTCCTTATAATAAAATAAATTAACCTATCATTAATGTTAGCAAATTGTAAAGCTATTAGTTTATTAATTATCTTAGTTTCTAGCTTTAAAAAAATAAAAAAGTCTTCTGTTGAGGCAATAGGCATTCAAGGACTATATATATGCTTTACTTCATATTTAAGAATCAATTTACTAATGTAGCAATCTGTATTAAAAATTTCTCCCATTTCATTTTGTACCTTATCTTCTAATAATTATCATTTAATTTAGGCAACTTTGTGATTGCTTGCTCCATATTCCTTGAATGCTCTTTAATTAGATCATATGCCTATAGCAGAAAAATGTGAGACCCATGTGATAATAAAAAAAAAAAAGAAGGAAAATAGATAACAAACTGTTGACATTGTTTCACAAATTAAAAAATGATAATAATTATAATATCACTAACAAAAAATGTTAAAAAAATAATAATTGGGTTTCCTTTATATGAAAATTATTTCATATAACATTAGAGGTGTTCATTCAGTCAGCTCGATAAATTTCGAATTGAATTATTTAAAATCAAATTTATTAAATTATGTTATTTTATTTTTATTAACTGAACTGACTTTTTTAATTTTGAAAATTAATTGATTGAAATTAATTCTATAAATTCGATTAATTTTTTTGATTAATCGAATAATAAAATATATTAAATTAAATTATATTTTAAATTCTTTTTTTTCATATGTGAAACAAATAAAATAAAATCATGCAACAAAATATTCAATCACTAAAGTATTAAGTTAAAAACTCTAATAACTTGAAATGAAATGAACAAATTCATACATTTTTAGTTTTATATATAAGTTTTATAATATTTCGATTAAAATTTCAATTAATTTAGTTTTCGAACTAAATTAATCAAAACTTAAAATTTCTCTAAATTATTTTCGATAACTAATTTAAATTAATTTGGTAGTCGATCAATTAACTTAACTAAATCAGTTCAATCAATTAATTCAATTAAAATCAAATTAGGAATATCCCTATCAATAACAAAAGTAAAAAAGTAGTAGTGTACCTTATTGAAATATATTTTAAACAATTAATTAAATTAATAAATAAAATAACGTATAGTAATATTTTAATTGGTTCATGATTTTTAAATATTTTATCAATATATAAAAAATAATATGAGAATGGATCCACTTTAATTAATGTAAGTTTTATATATTTTTTATAAATTTTTAGATCAAAATCACTAAAACAACTAAAATTAAAAATATTATTTTTATTTAAATTAGTCGTGGATTTCATTTGATAATCTAAAAAGTATAAGCCCTATTATAAGTAAGTAAATCTTTACTCGAATATTATTTTGTTAAATCAAAAAATTAAGTTATTCGAATAGATTTTAGATGGGCTGCCTTGGTCCAGTTCTAGAGCCTATGTTGGGCTATTAATGGGTCCAATAGACTTTGTCCAAACCCAAAGGAAGCCTTTCCTTTTGGTCAACGACAAAGTTACCTAGCCCTTGCATTTGTTCCTCGATCTGTCCTGCACGAGAAAAGAACCGACTCCACAGCAGCCAGGGCAAAGAGATCGATAGGTTGTGCTTATTCTACATTACCATTCCTGTGAATGACTTAGGATATTCAACGCAATGGATGATTCATCTGATTGGCATCTGACTGTTTGTTTCGGGTTGAAAGGCAGCATTTTAGAGCGTCCAGTTTTGATGTCCCTTTGATTTTGATGCCTCATTTGTATTGCATTGCTATAAATGCAGAATCTAGTTAGGATCTCTTGTAATAGATTTCATACTCTGAATTTCAAGTCTTGTTGAATATACAGGAGCCCTTTGCAAATGAACTTAGTGATTAGCCATGTTTTTTCTTTCTATTTTTTTGAGAAAATTAAATTGATACGCTTAAGTCAATTGATTAATATACTTCAACATCTCCATTTCCCTTACTTCTTTACTTTATCTTAAGTGATATACTAACTTGAACGATAGAGTGCATCTTAAAATAATAATTTTGATATCTCTATCGTATTTTTTAAGCATAAAATGACATATATATATATATATTTTTTCATTTAACTTTTTTTCTTTCAATTAAAACATCCAAAAATACCATTAACAAAATCTTTTATTTATCAAAAAAATAAAATTGTAAAAATGTAACAAAAAGTTTAATCTTGCTTATCAATTATCATAAAGATCAAGACAAGATTAATCACATAGCCGGAAATAGGGGCAAAGTTGTCCATTCACATGAACAATTAGGGGCATTTGATTCCAAACAAAAGCTCAGACAACCTTATAAGAGATTCACAGATCTAAAAAAGATCAGAACTTCCCTTCAAAGAGCAAAGCAAAACCAGAAAAAAAAATATTAAAAAAAAACTGAAAAAATGGACGCAATTGACTCAGTTTTCGATCCGCTAAGAGAGTTCGCTAAGGACAGCGTTCGTCTCGTCAAAAGATGCCACAAGCCCGACCGCAAAGGTTAATCATTTCTCCTTTTTTTTTCTTGCTATTATTAGATTTTGTTGATCGATCAGAATTTTGATCGAAAGAATCTTTTTTTTGGTTTCAGAATTTACGAAGGTGGCGTTCCGTACAGCAATCGGATTCGTGGTTATGGGATTCGTAGGATTTTTCGTGAAGCTCATCTTTATCCCTATTAACAACATTATTGTTGGATCCGGTTAGGTATGGTTCGGTTCATTTCGGTTCGGTTCCATCAGTTTCTACTTTATTTTTCATGTTATTTTGAGGTTTACTATCTGAATTACTATGGATCTATCATTGATGTGATATTTATCTGCATTTATGTGAATCATTTTCGAAATTAAAGCATTGAAAAACAAAATTTTCTGGATTTTGTGAAAATCTGTACTCTACAACTAAGAAAAATGAAAATTCTCTGAATTTTAGATTTTTAGTAGTAAGGAAAACCGTGAAATTGATTTAGTTTCCTTAATTAAAATTGTTTTCATTGATGAGTCCTGATTTGGCATCTCAGGATTAGTGTTATGTAGTTCATGGTGAAAGAATAAGGCCAAAACTCCTTTTTTACTATGGTGGTTGTGTTTTAAAAACCTTCTTAGGCGATATTGAGCTCAACTTGTTCGTGCAATTGTTACATTTTGCACACAGCTTGATATCACCAAGCACCAATTTGAATGGTCATTAAGCACCAATTTTGCTATAACTAATGAGCAGTAGAGTGGCCGAAACTCACATTTTAGGTAAAAGAATGAGAAAGGGTGAGAAGTAAAAAGGCTTACAAGAGGAGTACTTATTTAGATCATATTTGTTCAACCTGTTCAGGGTCAAATAATGGATCATGCAGGGATAGGTGCTGAGTATGTTGGATTAAGTTGTTTTTGAATCTTATAGCTGGGTGGCATCCATCAGAAGATAAACCTAATAATGGCAGCTTAACAAACAGATACAGAATAGAACTGTCTGCGAATATACAGCGCAAACATCTTCATCTATTATTATTGTGTATTAATGTTTACTCTGCATGCTTCATTTGTACTCGTGTCTGAGAGCTTTGGTGCATCATGCATCTTTTGTTCAATTGCAGGCTTGCTTCATGTTACTGACTCACAGGAAGGATGGGAATTGGTAGAACATGCTTTAGATTGAGAGATAAATCATCTGAGTTCACGAACTGATTTGATTTCACTTTAGATTTGGTTCTCTTTATATTCGTTTTTGTTGGAATTGGCTTTTAGTGCTGTAATGAAATATAATTCTCTTTATATTTCATGCTCATCTTGCGGCCAAAAATAGACGAGATAATGAAATGAAACTAGACGATGAAATTGGCAAATCGGATACACCAAGTTTGCACACTTTTCAGATGGTTGAAAATTAAAAATCAATCTGTGAGGTCCGTCTGAGTGCAATACAAAAGAAAAGAATAGGGGTAGTTTTTCATATTCAATTAGGATGTAAACGAATCAAACATGAACAAACAAATAAAATAAACATGTGTCTGTGATTTGTTTATTTATATTTAGAGGTGTTAGAATTCAATTTGTGTTCGATAAGAAAATTGTTTTATGTGTTCAAACTCAGTTTGTTTAAATAATAAAATATTCATATGCAATTCATGTTTAATTCAATTAAGTTTTGTGTTCATTTCAATTAAGTTAAATGAATTTATTTATGAATATTAAATGAACATATTAAGATAAAAGATAAAAATATAATTTTATTAGTATTTTTATAAATAAACACTGAATGAACAATAAACAAACACATTTTTAACGAATTTTAAATAAATTTATTCACGAATATAAACAAATCAAATAAATTTTGTTCGTATTTAATTTGTTAAAAAAATGAATATAAAAATATTATTTGAGATTATTTGTTAAATTTAATAAATAAATAAAAATTAAACATGTTAACAAATAATTTGTCAAAAGCTCAGTTTATTTACACAATAGATTCAATCAACAAACAGGATTGCCATCAGCAGCGGAAGCAAGCAATGGTTCTGGTTGAGCAAGAATTCCAACCTTCCTTGCCTTTCTGCGCTCACGGCGTGGCCTGCAGTACTCCCTCTTGCTTGCTTTATAGTTGTTGGGATTCTCAGGCTGTACTACTTGTGGGTAAACAGTCACCTATCAATCACATAAAACCCATTTCCCATGTCAGCTTGAAGAATACCATGTACTTCTCAAAGCATGAAATTTTGTCTCTGAGAGTTTCACAAACTTCTGAAATTTCACAAGTCCATCAATCAAAGAAAATATTGTATTGTCCTTGCCAAGCCATCGCTTTTCAGAAAAGAAGGAATGATACAAAAGTGATGAACAAAATCCTTAAAACCAAAATCATCGCTGCTTCTCTATAAAGGAATGGAACTTGGAAGTACCGCATTACTCAGAAAAGAATACACACTGAATCAAGCATATGACACACAACAGTGTACAAAAAGTGAAATAATATCCATCTTAGAAGGCGAATTCAAGCAACAATTCTCAACTTTTCAAATCATTACAAGAAAGATCAATGCCTAATTCTAGATAGCAACAGTTCCTATTTCCGGATTATAAAGCAAACAAGCAGGAAACCCCCTGAGACAAACATGCAGGAAAAGATCAATAAATCCCAAAAAAATTTCTGATAAATCCTAATCGATTATAAATCACCTAAATAATTAAGTGTGATAATTGTTTAATTCGAATTAAATTTGATTTGATTTTGTTTTAATGTTACATAATATTATAAATTTTTAAAATTTAATTTGTCGAATCAATTTTTTTTAAATTAATTCGATTCGAATGAATTTTATCGATTTGATTTAATTAATTAATTTTTAAATTTTTTTTTATTTTTATATATTATTGTAATAAGATTTTTAATATATTTAAATAAATTTTTATATATAATAATTATTTTTATGTTATAAAATATAAAATTTATAAAAATAATATATAATTTAATTTGATATTTTTATTTTTTATATTTTTATTTAAAATTTAATTTGAATATAAAATATATATTTAATATTCAAATTTAATCCAAATCAAATAAAAAAATCAATTTAAACTAAATCAAACCTTATCATTTTCAATTGATTTTTTACTTTTCTCCAAATTTTTTCTCACCATATAAACAACACAAATCCAAACGAATCCCCAAAATAAAATAACGAAAAATAGATGCAATGAGAAAATTTCTAACGTAGCCCCAAACACCCAAAAAATTCAGACAAGAGATCGGATGAGATCTAGGTAAAAGGAGATCGAGAGGTACCTTATAACCAACAGGCATAAGCACCGTCACGAAGGACGGCAATAGGTGGAATCCAGAGGTTCGCTATTCTCTCTATCCCAGAGAAACAAAAATAGGTTTTTTTTCTTTTGTTTGGAATATGAAGGAGAAGTATCTAATCTTCTTAATAATGTTGCTGGTTGAATCCGGAATTAATCCTCAGGGAATAACCAGATTTATAACTTTTTTTTTAATTCATTTACCAAACAGGAGACATTAAAAAATAAAAAATAAAATACAAAACCAAACAAATTAGATGACCAAAAACAGAAAAAAAGCTTAAAAATCTTCATCCATCTTGAACTCATGAGTCCCACCATTTCCATTCAAACTCGACATGACCGCCGCTTTCTGGTACTCTCCAACTCTTTTCTCGAAGAAATTGGTTTTCCCTTGCAACGAAATCAATTCCATCCAATCAAAAGGGTTTGCCACGTTGTACATCTTGCCGTACCCTAACGCTCCCAACAACCGATCTGCAACGAACTCAATGTACTGACTCATCAACTCACCATTCATCCCAACCAACGCGCATGGCAGAGCGTCGCATACAAACTCCCTTTCTATATCCACCGCATCCCTTACAATCCCTCTCACGCGTTCTTCACTAAGCTTTGATCGGAGGAGAGAGTACAACAAGCAAGCAAAATCGCAGTGGAGACCTTCATCTCGTGAGATTAACTCGTTTGAGAATGTTAATCCCGGCATCAACCCTCGCTTTTTTAACCAAAATATAGCGCAGAAGCTTCCAGAGAAGAAGATGCCTTCGACGCAAGCAAACGCGATTAACCGTTCGGCGAAAGTTTCACCGCCGTCGATCCATCTCAAAGCCCACTCGGCTTTTTTAGCCACACACGGCACAGTTTCGATGGCGTGGAACAGCCGGTTTTTTTCGTTGGAGTCTTTGATGTAAGTTTCGAGGAGGAGACTATACATCTCGGAGTGGATATTTTCAATGGCGATTTGGAAGCCATAGAAAGCACGCGCCTCGGCAATTTGGACCTCTTTCATGAACCGAACGGCTAGATTTTCCAGGACGATGCCATCGGAGGCGGCGAAAAAGGCTAGGACATGAGTGATGAAGTGGCGTTCGTCTGCGGTAAGAGTTTCCCAGTGGCGGAGATCGGAAGAGAGATCGACTTCCTCGGCGGTCCAAAAGGAGGCTTCAGCTTTCTTGTACATTTCCCATATTTGTGGGTATTGGATAGGGAACATGCAGAACCGGTCTGGGTTCGAGGCAAGCAATGGCTCTTCTGGAATTGAAGGCATTTTGGAAGGGTAATTAGGGAAATTGACAGATTTTAGGACTCTTGAAGAAAGGCTTTTCTGATGAAGAAATTGGAGAAGGAAAGAGTGGAAATTTATAGGCGAAGAAGAGCGAGGGATTTTGAAATATTTTTTGAAGAATCTTGCGGGGGAACTCAGGTATTTTGGAGAAAAAGGTTAACGTGTCTTTTTCTTATTGGACAATGGGAAATTTAATGGAGCGGATAACTGTTGGCGTATAAGGGAAGCTTTTTAAATGGAATTTTTTCTTTTCTTTTAAGCTTGGCGGGAAATAGTATTGGCGCCGTTGAATGGTTTGATTGTTTTTGTTTTTTAATATTTCGAATTTCAAAATATAAATGGCACACATCTTTATAATTTTCGACTACACTCTAAATCAATTCTTATTTGACAATGATGAGCTCTTATCTCAAGTTATTGCACAGAGTTTATAACAAGAAAAAGACTATTATGATTGTGCAATTTGAATATTTTTGTCAAAGATGATTTTTTTTTCTTTCTGGTTTTTATACTCTCAAATGTGATGGCCTTAAATTTTGTTTCTATGGAGATATGATGTAGAGTTTGTGAATTTGATAGGCCAAAATCAATAATAAAAATTTATAATAAGCATATATATAATATATATGTATGTGTAAAAATAACAATTTAATTTAAAAATGTATATATGTAATACATTACTGAAGAACAAACAATAGCTACATCATAAAATGTTCAAAACAATTTCTTAAAATAATATGAGCAAAGTTTAGAACACCAAAATTGTATGACACATTACCTGTAACAAAAGTACCTCAATACAAAATCAGCCAAACAACAATAAATAATCAGCAAAACATCAAATTTCAAAAATTTAAAACTTTATCTTAAAAACAAACTCAAATTTAGTAACATGAATAAAAACACCAAACACCAAAAGAAAGAGTCAATATATGTTCCAACTTTAAAGAATTAAGTTCAGAGTTCAAAAGATATATTTAGAATTTATGACATCGTCAATCTTAAAAAAAATAAATGTAAACTAAAAGGCAACTTATTTACAAAAGTATAAATCACATTGAATGGCAGCCTCCTAATCGAGTCAATCTCATTGTTTCAAGTTTCACATGATTTTTTAGTAAGAGATCCAAGAGGTTTTATTACTAATCACATGCACAAAAACTCATTCATGCCTAAGAACTCATATCATAAAGTTAGTGCTTTTTTCCCCTTATCCTAGGGGCAGATGATCAAATAAGACAAAGACGTGATAATTGACACCAATTGATTGATTCGTAAGTAACTTTAAGAAAAATTATGTAAAGGCTTCACATAAAAAGAAAGGTTTATATTTATTCGTGGATGTCCAAAAAGATGTATTATAAATAAACATTCAACACAAAGAACTTTTGGCTTTTTATATTATTTATCTGTTGGGAAAGAATCTTAAGCAACTGAGCATTTTTTGCTGAATCTAAATATTTAAGGCATCATTAAACTCTAAATTTAATGTGTAAGTATAAGTAGAGCATACAAGTAATAGACATAATTTGGTTGAGTATACTTTTGATTTTGTAGTTTATAATCCTTCAGCAAAAAAAAAACACAAAAAGGTTGTCTATTTGAGCATTTTATAAGGCTTTGGTTGATGACTAAAGATAAGGCTCTAATTGACGACTAATGGTTCTAATCATATATTTTGTATTAAAAACTAAATATATATATATATATTTTTAAACAGATTTTCATATGGTTTTACTTTTTTTTTTCTTTCAAGAATCATTACTTAGAAGAATTTTACCCTAAACACCTATTTTCCAAATAGTATTGGTATGCCCGAGGCTAGATACAATGTTGTTGTCAACTTAAAAGCTAGTGCAAACCACAAGTCTTGGGGTTTTTCATTTTTAGGGATTGAAATAACCATGTCATCCCTATTAGGAAAGACGATTGCCATGCTAAGAAACTTCACCTCTAGTTCAAGTATTTTTGCAAGAATGGTAGAAAATACTACATTTCAAAATGTGTGCTGAAATTGGAAAATGCATAAAATTTAGTGATTGATAAAGTTATCAATTATACCAACAAAAAAGGTATTTGATTACCAACTAAATAAATTAAAAATCCGCATGTCTATCTATATAAAAAATGCCTCAAACAAAAAAAAATGGTACAGCAAGTGATGTGTTAAATAAATCACTTGTCATAATATTCACCTCTTATATACACTTTATAACCCATTTTTGTGTTAGGTTTTATATTTCCTATTATACAAATATAACAATTTAAGTTAGAGAAAACTTTAACAATTGAAGCATTTCATTTTCTTAAATGTTAACAAAGCAACAAAAAGAAGCGAGTGAAATAAATACAAACCTTCTCCATATTCCATGTTTTCAAGTGTTGCAAAAGACAGTTTAGGAATCCAAAAGTGACTAAGGCCAAGGAAACAAATGAACTTAGTAGCATAATCTAACAAACATAGGGGAAAAGATTCTAACAAACTAAGACTAATTAATATAGAACTTAAAGATGTTGTCACAAACATCATGATATCATCTAAAGAAAATTTCAAACAAAATAAAAAAAAAAATTCATAAAATAAAGAAGCCAAATTTTGAATTCTTTGGATATGTAACTTACCTTTTTGTTTATGCTTCAAAATTTTTAGGTTTTCAGAACCTTATCCTACAATTATAAACAAACAAATAAAATTATTGAACATTAAAAAGTAATAAACAAATTAAAACCAATTAAAATTCTAAACCTAATTATATCTTTGGAAATCAGCAAATTCAACCTCAAATTTCGTATATAAAAGTAATTAAAAGTAGTAAAGGTGTTTTCCTAATCGAAATTACCTAAAACAGGTCAAATTAGTCAAATATGTCATAAAATATATATATATATATTTTTTTTTTGTTCAAAGGAGGGCAATGCTCTATAACATGAAAAAGAAAGGGGTGGCTTAGTTCAAACCCAAATTTTAATGCCTTCTTTTAAGAGTTTTTTCACACTAGGCCAAGAAAATATATTAAACCACTGTTTTGTCAAAAAATTTTAAAAATCCAAGTATTAGTTTAGTGTAAAATAACCTCAAACATACTTGAAAAACTTTGTCTTGCTCTTTTTTTGTTCTCTATTTTGCTTTAAAAAGAAAACACATAAACATTAAAAAGCAAATCACCTTCTTTAATTTTGTAAAGTAAAAAAAATTTGCCTTTCCAACTTGTTGAAGACGTGCATTCATGGAATACAAATCATTTTAATCCAAACTAACCAAATTAATTTTGCTCTGACGGTGAAATATCAAAAAATAATAATAATAAAAACCTTAAATTCCTACTTTGGTCCTTCATCTTCCTTAAACTCATTTAAAATTCTTTCATTCTATCTTTATTAGTCAAAATTCTGATCTTAAAGCTATAAACAAAAGAATTGGAAGAAAACCTATTACCTTCACATGCTCTATAGGAGAAATTCGATGCCATTTTTAGGTCCTCTAACTCATCAGACTAGTCGTTGGTGAGTATGAGATGGAGCAAGGAGTTGGGTTTTGTAGAAAAACAAGTCCTTAGATGGAAGTTTAGTCAATGAGAAGAGTATGGTTGAAGTGAGAGAAGTTAAGAGAAGCAGGAGAAGTGACTTACCTGGAAGGAGAAAGAAGGAGCTGAGTTGAGTTGAGTCAGGAGGGAAGAAGTGAGTTTCCAAATATGGAAGGCAAGGATTGGCTGGGGCTAATTCATGGTTGTCGTTTTGTTTCACATTTTTTTTTTTTTCAATCTTTTTCGTACTTCCGTAACTCTCTTATCGTCCTTTATTTATTTTTATCCTTATTTTTATTGTAAAATTTCATTATTACCTTAAACAAATTAAAGAATTTCTTTTTTTTTCTTGAAAAGACACGTCACAGTAGTTAGATTTGATTAAGCTAGACCTGTTTTCTTATTTTAGTTTTTTATTCATATTTAAATTAGTTTATTTTTTTGTATTTATATTTTTCATTTTTAATATTATTTTGTTAAACAAATACAAAAAATAACTATTGATTGAATATTACTTTGTTAAATTTTAATTTATTTAAATATATTATCATCAATTCTTTAACAAAATTATTATTTAACATAAAAATAATTTTATTAATTATTAATTATTTATTAACTTCATAAATAAAAATAATTTAAAATTTTCATTAAATACAAACTTTAATATAATGTTTTTAATCATCATTTTCTCTTCTCACTATAATTTACTTTATTATATCATTACTTTTATCTCAAAATATATATCTCATTATTGATTTTAATCTTATCATTAAAATAATTAATCTCATTATTTTTATTATTTTTAATCTCATTTAAACCAATTTTACTTTCCATCTAAATAAATCATAAAAAAAAAGTTTAAATTTCATCATTCTAAAAATGCAATAGAATCCAAATTAGCTCTTAATTAAAAAACAATGAGATTTCAAAGCTCGGTAAAAATTAAAAACAAGAGAAAAGGGTGGTATGTGTTACTTTATAGTTTTTAATTTATATTTTTATGGGTTTATATTATAAATTTTATATATTGTTATTAAATTACATGTTGTGGTATAATCAATAAATAAATTTAAAAGTTGAGAAGTTTTTAAAAATAAATTCAACTTAACTTTTATTATTTATATTTTAAGACTTTTAATTTTTTAAAATTTGTTCATTAATGATACGATAATTTATAATTTAATGATAATATATAAAATTTATACACTATCAATATATGACATATAATTTTTTTATTATCTATAAAAATAGCATAAATATGTTTATAAGTTGAGCCAAACCAAAGGAATCTCAATCTGTCCTATTAAACTCATTTTTTAATTTAAAACAAAAAACAATTTTTATATTAATATTTTAAATATATTTTAAAATTAAAATAATTTTGTTTTATAAAACAATATCTAGGTCTGACCGGACCAAATCTGAACTTAGAAAAATCTTCCAAGATTCGTCCGAGTTGGATCCCGACCCATAAACGACTCCACATGTTTAGGGCTTCTGTTTCCAACTCACGTTATTTTTACTATGAAATATGAACTCCTAAGGGGAGTGGACGAACCATATAAATTATAATCCTATCGAATCAAAACTACAGCTAAGTCATGAGTTTAATGAGAAAGCGGTCTTCTAAAACACCGGCTATGGCTTTCAACAGTGGGCAGAGAGATCATGACAGCTTTTACTTTACGTCCACGACACCCCACTTTTTCAAGGTACTGCTCAGTGATGCTATTCAGCATGGGAAACTGGTCAGTGATCTTTTCTCCATCCTGAACCCTGGTTTTGAATGTTATTTTATTGTCTGCTTTATCACATGAGTATCTTGTTTGTCTTTTCTTTCTGCCAATTTAAAATTGTTCTTTCATGTTGTCAGTTCTTTGTTTATGTTTTTGCTTTGTGTACTAAAAACTCTGAAGATGGTTCCATAAACTTTTTTGTCTGGATCGGCAAATGCATGGAGTAATGGTCATATAAGCTTTTGATTAGGGTCCTGTAAACTGTATTTGCCTGGTTTGTAACTGGAATTTTATCCTGTTTGATGGAATTTCAACATCCTTTTTTGGGTGATAATTGCTGCTTGTAGGCTTTGACAGAATTTTATCTTGTTTGATGGTATTGGAACAGCCTTTTCTGGGTGATAATTGGTGTCTGTAGCCTTTGACTGAAGAATAATGTGCCCAAATGTTCAATTCCTTCATTGGTGATGCATCATACTAGTAAATATTCCCTTAACCTGCCCAGTTACTTTGTAAGGAAATATGTTTTGATTAGAGGTTTTATGCAGAAAATTCCAGCAAAGTTCGTAAGAAAATATGGAAGTGGAATTTCAAGCCCAGTATTTCTTAAGGTCCCAAGTGGTGCAATCTGGCAAGTAAAATTGACAAAGTCTAATGCTGAGATGTGGCTGCAGAGTGGCTGGAGAGAATTTGTAGAGCATCACTCTCTGGAGTTACATGACTTTGTGGTTTTTAGATATGAAGGGAATTGTCTCTTCAATGTAGTCATATTTGATAAGAGTGCTTCAGAGATAGAATACCCAATTAATAGCTGTCAGACTCGGGCTGAAATTCACAATTTTGAGGAGCATTCTCAAGTGCCAGCAACAGAAGAAGATGATGATACCTCTGTTGAAATCTTGGATGACATGCCACCAAGCAAGAAACGAAGGGAAAAATCACCATTGCCATCTCCTCGGCCGAGTAGGAAGATGAGAATCCATTCAAATACTAAAAGAACTGAGAGCAATGCAACCAAAGTTAGTGCCAAGAGGTTTGAAGTTCCCAAGAGAAATAGAAGTTCACCTTGGCTTACTCAAGGATTTAGTGGTAAGGCCTTTCTTTTACTTTCCATTGTTAGTTTTGTGTGTTTTCTTTTTTCTCTTTTGGTTCAATCCAAGAAATTACTTGAGTAAATTTCTTTTATTTGTTTCTTTTCTGTTGATTTTTTTAGCTAGAGGATCCACTGCAGCTAGTGAAAGTAATGGAGGGGTGAATGCTAGTCAGAAACAGAGACATATATGGATGCAGAATACAATGAAAGGCAAGGAGAAAGCTAAAGCTTTACAAAGAGCTAGTTCTTTCAAGTCCCAAAATCCCTTTTGTAGGGCTGTCATGCAACCATCATATGTTACTAACAGAGACCATTTTGTAAGCGCTAGATCATCATAAATCTGTAAACTCTAGTTTGCGTTTGAAACATGTTCTAAAGGCAGAAGTTGGAAGATAATAGCAGTATTATCAAAATTTTCCTTCTTTTTTGAAACAATAATTTATCTTTCATTTCTCTTTTACTTGCAGTATATGCCACTGACCTTTGCCCGGCAATATTTGATGAAGAAGCAAGGCAAAGTCCTTTGTGTTTTTGATGGGAAATCTTGGCATATGGAGTTAGAATCTGATAGTTCAAACAAGAAACGTTTTAGACCAAAACTCAGCAATGGTTGGAAGGAATTCTCACATGATAACAATTTGGATGTTGGGGATGTTTGTGTTTTTGAGCTGGTTAAAACCACCAAAATCACTTTCAACGTAGTTGTCTTTCGCAGTGAAGTTGAGGACTCTAAATCACTAGGTGAGTACATTTTTGTTAAAAGTTAATTCTCCCGTCCACCTTTAACATACATAGGTGTTCAAACCCTTTTGAGATGATTATAGGAATGAGTGTACCATGAACTAAATGTTACGACTCAGAAAAAGCTTGGTAATTGATCATTAATCTTCAAGCTATGCATGGAATCCTTAATTAATAGACAAATAATGATACTGTCATCATTCATCACTTTTCTTTTGCAGAATTCAGAAATGGTAATCAAGCGCGCAAGCCTTTTTGGCTAGTTTGATTAATTAGTTAAATACACCTACTGGCCTACTGAAACCGTTTTTCCCTGTTAATACCATTCAATCTATTTATGCAGAAATCCTGGATTCCTCTGTTTTTTTTGAGTCAGATAATGGAAATGGCGCTAGTCTGGTGAAATCCACGAGAAGCTTGGTAACTAATTATGCTAGCAAAAGTAAAGGTGCAATTTCCAGCCCTCACAACAAACTTGCAGCTCAAAAGTCTCAACTTTAACTTGCTTACATGCTTCAGATTCACAGAAAACATTGGTAAATCTCCCATATATTAATTTTGTGCAGGAAATTTTAACCAAGAGAGACGTCAGAAAACTGCTGGTTCACAGGATGGTCAAGGTGCTTCGTCTCTTAGAACTCTTGATGTCTTTCCAGCTTCCAGTAATTTTGGCCCTGTCCCAGAGGATCCAAATTTCAAAGTTGTTGTGAGATCATGCAGCTTGAAGCACGGTAGTTTGGTATGGTTACGAACAATCTATTTATTCATATATCTTCTCACTCTCTTTTTATCTATGTTGTAATAATCCAGACATGAATTTCAGCATTTATGCTGTCCAGGAACTGCATTAAATATTGATACTAATCAGGTATTTATTATATGCAGCATTTGCCAGCTGCTTTTGCCAAGAGATATATTATGCCAGAAACTAGGATGGTAACCCTTCAAGTTGCTGAAAGATCATGGCCTGTGAGGCTAAAATCTTATAGTTCGAAATCTTTTTTGACAAGTGGTTGGACTGTTTTTGCAAAGGAAAACTCCCTGCGAGAAGATGACACATGTGTCTTTGAGCTGATTAATAGGAGTGATGCTGTGCTGAGAGTTTCCATCTTTAAACATGAAGGTTAAATAGTACTTTGCATGGCATTTCAGTAGTTCAATACAATATCCTGACAAATTTATGAATGAGTTAAACTGATCCTGCACGGATTTCTACGACAGAATTTTTTTTTTTGTTTTCTCATTTTTTAATGCATATTTTTTTCATTTGTTGAATGGATATAAGAGATAAGTAAATTTGATAATTTAAAATATGATACGATAATATAATATAAATATAAAATATAAAGATAATACGATTTAAAATTTTAACATTATATATCTAGATTTAACAAAATAAATATATATTTTATGTTTTCATGTTTATACAAATTTTGATACATAATTTTCGTGAAAAATATGACATTGAAATACTTGATATTAATAATAAATTTTAATATTTTACACAACATAAATACATAAATAATCAAATCTAGATAAATTCGCACTTTCTCAAAATGAACATCCTTCTCACAAAAGTAGATATAGCAACAAGCAAAATGTAATTTAAATGTTGTCAAACAATAAAATCAACAATTTTATGACGATTTTTCAAGTTAATAGACAACCAACCATCCTCCAAATAAACCAGTTGTACTTTAAATGGCTAGCGTTGAAGCAGTAGTAGCCTAAGAGCACGGAGTTGACATGGCGGATTTCTAATCCTTGGAGAAAAAGCATTGGATCAAACAAAGATGACTTTTTTTACTTGTTTTATTATTGGTTCATTGATATGGAAGCACTAACTAGGTGAAAAAAAAAAAAAAACTAAACTAACAGAACATACAATTCTCATTTTTCTCCCAATGTCTCAACTAATAATCCTGAAAGCTGTTTGAATCACCGCAAGAGCATGTGGATGTGGGGGCTTTGCATGCATCCCATGCTTATCGTGGAGGTGGTGGCGGTGGTGGTGGTAAAGGTGGCATTTGAGATTTTGCGAACCCAACCCATGCAACAATGCCAACAGCAAGGATTATCCATCCAAATATGTCGTATTTGAGATCACTACTTTTCTTATTCTTTGTAGCAGTCTGCAGGAAGGTAAACAGAGAACTTGAAAAAAACTAAAGCCCATTCAAGGAGTACGAAGTCAAAAATTGAGCATGTTCTTCAACGAACAAAGTATGCAAATACGCACTTCAAATGAAACAGACAATCTTGACACTGTTTAAACAATCACACCTACAATCCAAGACCTAGTACTGAACAATAACCCAGGATATTCATTCCCAGCCCGATAATCCCCTTATTCATCACGACAAAGGCATTTCATGGAAAATGGAAAAAAATCCAGCAGCTCTATCAGTATCCCACATAAGTGAGCTACATGAATCCTTTATCTCCATCACACTTATGTTATCATGTCAACTCCCTCCTAACTACTTACGTGTATGTGATTTTTTGAATGCTTTTACCCATCATTATTCCTTCAATAAAAACCAAATGACTCCTATGCACAAAAGCATTCTAGTTCTACATTACATGATTCAATCATCTACAGCTATCTCCTGATTTGTCCTCTGCTGCTACACCTTTCCTCATTTCAGTCATTCTCATTTTAGAGACTTGTAGTTTTCTAACTGTCTGATACATAGTAACATAACATATGATTGTAATGTAATTCTGATTTTATTGTTGACCATCAAATAATTCTGATACATGGTAACACAAATTATGATTGCAGAAAAAGCAGGGGCAAGAGAAAGTGCAGATAGGAAGAAGAGAAAAATGAAAGGAAGAAACAAAGAGGATTACCTTTGTTGAACTAGAAGAAGTAGAAGTAGAAGGTCCTGCTCCAAGCGTCTGTTGACCTAAACCATGCTTAACGATTTCCTGGTGTAATTCTGGAGCCTGAGGAAAAAAGAAAGGATACTTTTAAAACAATGAAAGACATTAAGATGAATCAAAGGTAATGAGGATCACAAGTAACAAACAACATGTGGGTCAGTTTGAACTTGACACCTCCCTCTAGTTTCTGGCTTTTAAAGTGAAATCATTAACTGACTGACTTTAGCCAAGGTAGAAAATATGTTTTCTTACTTCTTTTTCCTAAGATTGTCAACGCTTGTATGCACTTGCAATGCTTTTATTACTACAAATCTCAAACTTTATTCATTCTGAATTTTAGCAGTTTGTAAAAGGTATGGCAAACAAAATCTAGATTGCCATTACTAAAAGAACGATATCGAGTTACATCCATATGCATCTCAGTTTCACAGCATTGGGCATGCAGGGCAAAAGAAGAAAAAATAAAAGCAAACATTGACAGCAATCACTTCGTAAGACCTCTGCAAATCTCAGAGAGCAAGTTAACCAGTAAGGTAAATACAAAGTGTAAAACAATCTTCTGCCATGTTTACAAACTAATCCACGCTTAACACCTCAAAACCAATCCACTCGCAATTTATTCAATAGTCATGAAAAAGAATCAATATCCTCCCACCAAAATCAAGCAAGGTCCATCCCACACTTCCACAACTAAATACAATACATTGCAGTAAGTTATTCAAAGTTATAAATCACAAGAAACATAAGCATTATCAAAGAATAAACCAATATAAAGTACACAGAGAGAAGTACCTTAGCAGATATTTCTAAAGATTTGAGGTAAACTTCATTGCTCGGATCCTACAAATACACAAGACAGAGCTACCATGTCAAGAAAGAGCATTCATTCAAGCATGCATGCATACATAGATACATCCAAAACCATTGCAACTGATGTTTTGCCGAACAAAATCAAATCACCTCATCAACTGCTTGCTGGAAATACTGAGCAGCCTTTTCGAAATAAGGCCTTGCCTCGTCCTCCTTGCTAGTCAAAAATGCAAAAGAAGTCTGAGCATTTCCCAAACACCATAAAGCATCATGCTTTTTAGGGTTAATCGACAAAGCCTCCTCTAGCTTTGAAATAGCATCTATTTAAACAATAATAATCAATAATTAACCTAAATTAATCGTTTCAATAGCCAAAAATACTGTCAATAAAATTGATACTTCAATTGTTAATAAAAGAAATTACTGTAATTAAAATATAAGTATTTATTGAAGAACCTTGAATCATTTTCTGGGAATCTGGAACGCTTTGAAACTGAGACAATTCCAGTAATGCTCCGGCCCATCTGGTCAAGTTCTGTCGACAAAAGAAAGGTAAAAATATAAACCAAAAATCGATTTTAATTGAAAAAAAAAAAAAGAGAAAAACAGATCGAAGGTAGGAGAAACCGAACATCGGCGTCGAGAGGATTGGAAGCGTAAGTGACTTCGGAAATTTTACGAGCTTGCTCGAAAAAGAGCAATCTATCGAGTTCGTTTGACATTTCCATGGCTGCTCCTTTTAACTTGCTTTAGTCCTTTTTTCTTTTCCAGTTCAATCTTTTGGACGGGTTTTGGGTACTGACAAACAAAGCTTTGAGGATATTTTGAACTCCGTATGTTTCAAAACTGCCCTAAAAGAAAAAAAAAAAATTTTTTGACTTTGGCTTCCCAGTGGGCAGTGGCGACCTCTTTAGCAGGAGCTGCAAATTCTTACGTGTCCTCAAAAAAAAAAAAAAAAGGCTTTTCCTGGTATTGTTGCCTTGGGCCCTATCCTCATAATTGGCTTGGGTTTTGTCTCTAATGCTGTGTTTGAATAATCATTAATAAAAATAATAATAAAGTAAAAAAAAAAGAAAAAAAAAGGATATATGTACTTTTTATTTAGATAATTAAAATTAATAAAAAATAAAATAAAATAATTCTAACAATAATTATTTGGTTAAATAATGAAAAAGGAATAAATGATTTATTATATTTTTTTCAATTATAACCTTTGATAATCTTTTTTTACTATAACATTTACATATTTATGTTAATTTATTTCATGTTTTTAATTTTCTTTTATTTCTTCATAAAATTAATTATCAATGACATTCATAAAAATAAAAAATAATTAAAAATAATAAATTTATTGGTCAATGATGTTTTATATTTTTAATCTAATTTTAGAGTTAAAAATTATACACTTTTAATTTATAAAAATTAATAAAAATATAATAATTATTTTATATTTTAAAAATTTTATTCTTTTCGTTTCCCTTCCTTTTCTCCCAATTTGAGATAATTAAAAAATAAAAAAAATTGAGAGAAATCAATAAGGGCTAGGCATACATTCTTTTTTTTTTTTTTTTATGTCATATACAAATAAAAAAAATTCCTTATTTCCTTTTGTTTCCTTTTCATTCCATTCTTTTTTCTCCTCTTACCTTAATCCAAATATGCTGTAAAAAAATAATGGAACTTATGCCGAATCTCATATGAATTTTCTATTACTATTGATAACAGTTCATATTATATTAAATTTAATTTAATTTTTTAGATAATATATAAAATTATTAATTTTTAAAATTTGATCCGAATGAAATTTTATTGATTTAATTTGATTTATTAATTTTAAAATTTTAATATAAATTTTAATATATTTTAATATATTTAAGTATAAAATAATTATTTTTATGTTATAAAAATTTAAAAAATATATAAAATTAATATAAATATACAATTCGATTTAATTTTTTAATTTTTTAATTTTTTAATTTTTGATCTAAAATTTAATTTAAATCAAATAAAAAAATTGATCCAAACCAGATCAATCAATTATAATTTCAAATTAATTTTTGATTTTGTTTTAATCCTACTTCTCGTGATATAGTCTCTGAGTAGTGACCGCTGAGTGTACATGTTTGTGCTTTATCGTTGAAACTTAGAAGGTACAAGTGACACATGCACAACTACTCGTCGACATCCGAGTATTTAGTGACGGTAGTGATTGATAGAGGTGGTACAATGAGTGAGTTTGAGGGATTTAAATCGAAATCGGATCACTTTGAGATTAGATTTTATCATGTTAGAATATTTTTTTGTTCGAATTCCATTGGATTCTATTCACGTTTAAGTTCGAATAAAATAAAATGGGTGATTAAATTTTACAATTTTAATATTAAATTAAGAATATCACGAAATTTAATTAATTTGATCGAGTTCAAATTAATTCGATTAAAATTTATTTGAATTAAAATTTTTTTAAATTTAAATAATTTTACATGAAAACATTTTTTTTTGATGAATTTTGAAATTCGGTTTATTTTGCTAATGTATAAGAAATAGATACCTAAGGATATATCTACAAGGGACAACAAAGCAAATGCATAGAAGTATCTAGCAAAACAAATAAAATGGTTTCAAGCTTCTCACCGAACTATTTTTCTTGTTTTAGCCAAGCTGGGGAAAAAGATTAGCGATCCGTTGAAAATTATCTTGATGTTGATTCCACACCATTTAAGTTAACTTTGTAAATTGAAACCAATCTCACCAACCCATACTAAGTAATTTAAAAAGATAATCAAAACAATAGTATGATATTTTTCTTACAAAGTTGATGTTATAAAAATTGCTGTTACTAGACTTACCCAATATAAAAGGTAACTATTTTTTTTATTTTTTATTTAGATTATATATTTTTTATATAAAAGAGTTCGTATTCTAAGGCCTAATTTGAATCTCACCTAATCACATGAGATTGGATTTTTTTTTTTAGTTCCAACGAACTATTTTATTGTTGGAATGTAATCTTTGAGGCACGATTAGTATCAGTGAACAACTGAAAACTTTAGCTTCAGTGCAAATTACGTAATCCCATTGCACATTTTTTTCAATTTTACCCTTATAATTTTTTTTCATATTTGTCTTATAATTATAAGTCCTTTTTTTTCTTGTTTTTACGTTTTGAATTTTTATTTAAAAATATTGAAATAATTTTGTTAATTTAATATAATAAAAAATTAATTAATTAATAAATGTTATAAATAACATTAAAATATACATATAAAAATAATTTATCAACATTTTTAGAATAAAATCCTTAATAATCATTTTTTATTCAATACTTTACTTTTAGATATAAATATATATCTCATTACTATTTTAATCTTATTATTATAATAACTAATTTTACTTTTATTATTATTTTTAATATTATCAAAATTAATTTTATCGTCTGTTTAAATGGATCATAAATATATAAAAATAATATATATATATATTTCGCATACTAAATTTTAAATATTACTTATTAAGAGCAATTGGATTTTGCTAAAATTAATCATTTGACTTTCCCTTTTGGCGAAACAAGGGATATAGACCTAGTAACGTAAAAGAAATTGATTTGCCAGCTGATTTCAGGCAGAACCAGAAAATGATCTTTCCTAAAATATTTGCCTAGAATGTTTTTAAGAACAACAAATGGAGCAGCCCCATGGCCTTCTGCTTATTTTGACAGCTTAATGTTTGCTTCTATTTGTTGGCACGTCCAAGATTTATTTAAATCAATAGGTCACATGATGTGCATTCATTTCTTCTTTTTGTTAGTCACATATGTACAATATTACTATTTATTTAGTGCATCGCATGTTGTGTGTATTATTAATGGTGCAAAACCAAGTATTGTACCATTTGAAATACACACATGTCATGCTCAACCAAGTGTAGTGACCAATGAATCTTCAAAATAACAAAAAAAAGTAACCAATAAAATTTTGATTTAGTCAATTAATTTGTTTTTTGTTTTATTTGACAATAAAAAATTTTGAAATTCGAATATTTTTTATAGTTTAAATTTAAAATTATTTTAATTAGGGGTGAAATAAATAAAAAAAAATTTAAAAATTGAATTGAAATCGTAAAAGTTTGATTCAAGTTTTTTTCTTATTTAATTTAGATCAAATTCAAATAATAAATATATATTAAATTCAAAATTTTGAATCAAATATAAAAAATAAAAAAATAAATCAAATCAATTATGTATTTATATTAATTCTTATCTTTAGTAAATTTTTATAAAATAAAAATAATTATTTTATATAAAATATATATTTAAATATATCAAAAAATTTATTTTAAAAAATAAAAAAATTAAAAATCAATAAAATGAATCGATAAAATTTGATTCAAAATAAATTTTAAAAAATTATTAATTCAAATTAAGATCAAATTTTAAAAATTTATAATATTATATATGATCAAAAAATTTAAATTAAATTAAATTTAATTCAAACCATAACCACTTTTATCTTTTATGAATTAATTGGTTGTTTTATGAATTTGATAGCTTCAAAATGAAAAAAAGAATTTTTTTCCCTTCCTATGTTGCGGTGGCATTATTATGGCCAAGAGAGCAAGAAAATGTCTGTAGGCCAAACCGTACTTAAGTTTCACCCGCACATTCCAAATCCACGTGCTCCAAGAGGATTGGTGACTGATATAAAGGCGTCATTCTTTCAAAATCAATCAAGAGATCGACGGTGGAGAGAAAAGTATTTGCCGACAGTCACTGAATTTTGTTCCCTGTTCAAACTACAGTGTTTTGACCAACCCAAAAGTTTGTGCTAATCACAGGCGCGGTTTAAGTGCGTGTAACGTGAACCATGTGATGTGGTAGAAACTGGCAATCTCATTAAAGTCAACATTTCCGAAATTGAACATTTTTTAAGAAAAGCTTTTAATTCTGTTTTGTCCACTAACTTTTTCGATGTTTATTCTCTTTAATTTTTCTTTCAGAAATTTTTTTTATTTTTTATTTATTAATAAAAATATTCATTTAATTGGTTTGATTAATTTCAAATTTAATTATATAAAATTAAATTAATCAAATTTTATTATTTTATTTTTATTAATTGAATTAAATTTTTTAATTTTAAAAATTAATAGATTGAAATTAATTCTATCTATTCGATTAATTTTTTTATCAATTAAATAATAAAATACATTAAATTAAATTTTAATTTTTTATATTTAAAATAAATGAAATAAAATTATCAAATAAAAATGTTTAAATATCAAAATATTAAATTAAAACATTTAATAATTTGAAATGAAATGGGTAATTTTTAGTTATATATATTAGTTTTACTATATTTTGATTAAAATTTTAATTAATTTGATTAATTTAATTTTTAAGTTAAATTAATCAAAAATTAAATTTTTTTTAAATTATTTTTGATAATTGATCAAATTTAATTTAATAATCAATCTATTAATTAAATTAAATTGATTAGATCAATGAATTTGATTAAAATCAAATTATAAAAACTTTTATTTATTAAAATGTGAAAAATTAAATAAATAATTACTTCAAAAACAAAAACATGTTTAGACGAGGCCACTGAGGCGCGTAGAACCAGAGAACTCCACCATCAACGCACTTAATTTCAAAACACTGACACCCCAATTTTTGTTCGAAAAGCAAAAAAAAATGTCCGAAAATACTCAAACGATCGAGGGCATTCTCGTCACATCATTCTATAAATACAATAAAAATCCCCTATTTCTTATGCACTGTCTTTCTCCCTGTGTCGTGTGTTGAGGATTTCACCTCACAGCTAGGAAAGATAAAAAGGATAATAAAGGTACTCTCTTCCTCTTTTGGATCCCCAAATCTAGGGTTCTTACAATCCTTTAAAATTAGCTTCTAAATCCTTTGAATCAATCCTTACTATGGCTAAAAATTGAAGCTTTGCTTAGTTGGTGAGGTCTGCATCTCTTTGTTCAGTTCTTTGTTGAATGCTGTTCATTATATTTATTTTATTTTTTTTTGATGATTTTGAGTTTGTAGGCATTGTTTTAAAGATGATTATGTTTTTGGGTTTTCTTTTTTGGGATTAATTGTGTTGTGTTGGGTTCGGATTGGCAGAAATGTTGGTTGTTTTTTGAGTCAAGTGCAGTTGACTATAAGTTTTAGGATTTCTGGGTTATGTTTGTGTTTTGAGAAAAGGGTGGGAAAGAAAAGGAAATGGAAACTTTCAAGTTTTTGTGTGTTATCATTGGTTTCTTAGATCAAATGATTGCTTAGTTCTTAAGATTTTCTATGGTTATTGAGGTTATTGGGTAGAAATTGAAGCTCCTTGGATGATGCGGTTCTTGATGTTGACTGTTTAAGATTTGCTTAATATTTTCTAAGTGTTGCTGTTAACTAGGTAAAAATTGCACAAAATCAAATGATGACTTATTGGCTTGCCTTCATTTTCTCATGTTTGCTAAGTCTTTGACATATTTTTATGAGGTCTTGTGTGATTAACATTTTTTTGTATATATTATGTTGTCCTCTCCTTTTACTTATTAGGATTTGCAACATGGAGAGCATGAATAGCTTTTGGCAGTTGGGAGATGATCTTCGCGGACAATCTAAAGTCTCGGAGGATCACAAATGGCTGATGGCTGCCTCTAAACTGGCTGAACATACAAGGACAAAGGGTGAACGCATGAACAATCTTGATCTTTCAAAGGGTCCAGCTGAAATCAGGACAAGGGATAAATTTGGGTTCCAGGAAGACAACAAATTTGAGAACCTTAACTTCAATATGTTGAACTTCGACTCCAAGATTGGAGATAACATAAGCAAAAGTTCCTTCCAAAATGGTATTTACAATATGAATGCTGTTTACCAGAAAAATAACAGCAATAGCCTTGGAAACCTGGCTGGCAACAAATATAGTGGCAACAATCCTAGCAACAAAGATGTCAACAATAACAGCAACACCAACAATAACAACAGCAATGAGAACAGCAGTGCGAACAATGCTGTTGACAAAAGGTTCAAGACGTTGCCTGCAACTGAGACACTCCCAAGAAATGAAGTGCTTGGAGGATACATCTTTGTTTGTAACAATGATACAATGCAGGAAGATCTAAAGCGCCAGCTATTTGGTAATTGCCATTTTCTCTTGTCAACTTCTTTCCTTCCATTTTCACTTTCTTCTGGAAAGAAGTTATTCCGTATTTTTGAGGATTCCCATTCTCATACATGTAATTATCACTTCATTAATTTCTATTATTAACATTATTAGGTGGAAATTCTTACATGTTGCTGTTATCTCATTTGATAGGTTTACCACCAAGATACAGGGACTCTGTTCGGGCAATTACACCCGGCTTACCTTTATTTCTCTACAACTACACTACTCATCAGTTGCATGGTATTTTTGAGGTTTGTTAACCTACTTGATGCTGTTAGTTGATTAGGTAGTGAGTTCGCTTTTTTCTCTAAATGCTTGCATTTGGCTCACTTTCACTGAATTAGGAATCATTAGGTAACAAGTTATGATTATGTTATGTATTTTCAAGTGGTTTGTGTGACAACCAATAAGATTAATCAATTTAATCTTTTGATGTATGGTTCTATTGTGAGACTGCTCTCTCTTCCATCCCAGCTCCACCTCCATCTCAGTCCCAAAGGAAAAAATGGCCTTGGATGTTTGAAGTTTGTAGTACTTTAGTGAGTGGGCATTAGGGGTTAATTTATGTATCATATTCATTTGTCTTGAAACAGATGTGATAATCATTTAAACATCCTTTCTTTTCCTCTCTTATGTAGTTCATGTCTTCTTTTATATGTACAGGCAACAAGCTTTGGGGGTTCTAACATTGATCCAACTGCTTGGGAAGACAAAAAGTGTAAAGGCGAGTCAAGGTTTCCTGCTCAGGTAAAGTATGGGTTTATAGTTTGTAGGAACTTGTTTATTTCCATGGAAGATTGCATGAACTCTAATTCTTTTATTTTTGTTTCCAAAATAAATAGGTGAGAATCCGTATTAGGAAACTCTGCAAGGCATTGGAAGAGGATGCTTTTAGGCCAGTCTTGCACCATTATGATGGTCCCAAGTTTCGTCTTGAGCTCTCAGTTCCTGAGGTATGGCAAGCATTTATAAGTTCTTGACCATATTTTTCTTCCGATCTCCTTCTATTTCATGTAAACTTTCTGATAATCAAAATATCAAATTCTTTTAGCTGAAGCTCATGGGTTTCATATTATACTTTTGCAGACTTTGGATCTATTAGATCTTTGTGAACAAGCAGGCTCTCCAGAGGCAAAATGTTAGCTGAGTGCAAATGTAGTAGGGTTTGTGGTGCATGTCGGCTGCCTGCTTTTCAGAGATTTTCCATAGAGCGCAAGCTGTGGGTGTAAGTCCAGTTGGTGAATCATATTGGGAAAAGTAGGAAATGGCTTTAGCCAGCTGAATAAATGCTCATTTGTGTCCTGTGAAGATGCATGCTGTGTAAACTTTTGCATTATATTCTATGAATTAAAAATCCTATAGATAGACTTGCAAGATGTGAAAGAGAATGACAACTACATGTATCGTTAAAGTCCTCAAGAAATGAAGGCTTTGATGTCTATTTTGTGCTTATAAATTTCTTCTGTCTTCTTTTTGTTGCCCTGGAATCTGGAAATTCTCAAAATCTTGAAGATTACCACCATCTCATTGGCATTCCATATTCTTGATTTATAATCTAAGAGATGACCAAAAAAAAAAAAAACGTAAAAAAGATATGACAGCGATGCGATTTTGACACAACATCTCGTTTTATGTATTGTAGCTGGTGTGGTAATTGACATTTCAATTTCATTTTGAAAGTGAATTATTGGGGCACTCTCAAACCGAACACCTAAAGAAACAAGTTAACATAGTTCTACCATGAACTCGTTGATCATGCCATTATGAGTGTAACAAGGAATAGAAACGGTAGTTGACAATTGGAAACATCTGTAACTTGTTGATCGCATCACAGCAAGAATTGATAAATGAAATTCCACCTAACTTGCAACAAATCCTATTCATTCCATTGGTCTAATGCTATTCTGCCATTTCAAGTAAATAACGTCTTCCTTAACCATTCAACAAGACGTATTTGATAAAGCCAAACCTTAATCAGGTTTCCATTGAAGTCCATGTAGCGACAGCTCTAAAACTTTCCCCCTTTGCCATAATCAAAGCATGGTGACGGTCAAAGAGCAGCCGATGTGAGAAAAGAACTAATTCTTTGCAATAGCTCAGTCTTTATGGAGTCAGGAATGGAAGCTGCATAAACAAAGATTAAACCAGTCATGGACTTGAAACGAAATGCAAATAATATAGAAGGAAACAGAAATCATGAGCTTAAAAGCAGGTAACTCAAACAAAACTCAATTTATAAGCAACCAGCAACTTGGACTATGAAACAGCATAACATGAGGAAGAGTATACAAAAATAAAACTGAGGATTTTTATACCATAAGAACTTGTTTTCTCCACCATAACTGATCCATTGCTTCAAGCTATCGAATGCTGATAATTACAAGGAAAATAATAGAGGAAAAAGTAGATCGTTACCTCTTCCTTTCGGAGTGATCAAATGCACAAGGTCATCCATAGTGACGTTATTTCTTCCTTTCTTCTTAATATATGCCCTGTTCTTCATCAAAGTGAAGAGATTTCATAAAGTATCATAAAGATTGCAAGCAAAGATGAAGTATATGAGGAAGCTAAATACATTGGAATAAACTTAAACACCAAAAGAAACAAATAACTTCTTGGATAAATCATTAATTTTCAAGGAACAAGCCCCCAGTGGAACAATTATCGATTTTACGGCATTTCATTTCTCTATTTGTCTGTCCCTGAGAAGAAAAAAGAATAATAGACAAGAACAAAAGGCTGACAAAAGAGTTATAAAGCTTCACGTAACTATCAAGAAACGTTTATTACATAGTTTTGATTGTCATTCTCCGAAACACCACAACATCACCAGATTAGATAAAATCCGATGCATCATCATTCTAAGCATATTTCAGTGTCGCTGTAACAGAAAACACTAAGTGTCTGGAAAATGAAGCATATCTCTCACATTTTGACATTGCACTGCAATCTGACAAGAAGTTTATCAACTATTGCATCCTTACAAGGCAGGAAACATCAAATCAAGGCCTAAGAACCCCAAAGCAAACTTATTCCCATCAATTAAATCACTTAATCCATGGTTGGCAACAAAGAGACTGTCTTTGAAGTATTATGGCATGACACAACTTAATCCAAAGAATCAAAAGTATTATAATTCCTTTATCTATGAGGAAACTTGAACGTTCTCTCCACTTTCAGATACTATAAATGCAAACCCTTAAGATTAATTATAGCTAAGCTAACACTACAATGATTCATTGAAGCAAGGCAGTTCAAAGTTGATACAATGACTTGATAGAAAGGAGACAGTAAAAAAAGTGGTTAAAAGTAAAAACCTGCAAAGAGCTTTCATCTCATCCTTCCATCCACATTCTATGAGCCTTTCTCTTAACAGCTCCATTAACCTCTCTTTTTCCCCACTCTCAATTAACTGCTAAATTCAATCAAATCATAGTAAATAAATAAAAACAAAATCACTCAAAAATTGCTATAGAAAAAAGAGAATGAAAACCTTTATGTTAATAATTTCTTGAAGGGTGGGTTCTTTCCCTTGATCTTCAGCACCATCTGGGGTTGGTGGTCGATTCACTGAATGTTTCCTGTTAAAGAAAAAAATTTTAATTATAAAGATTCAATCTTGATATGGATTTATGTAATTTAAATAAAATTAAGAGTTTTACATTATGTTAAAGCTAAAAAAATAAACGAAAATTTGAGGAACCAGGAAGAGAAGAAAGACGGGATTTTTTTTTTTTCTTGGCCGACCATCATTTAAAACGACAACGTGCGGCAGTTTTGAGACAATGGAAGCATTTTACCAGATTTACCCTTAGGTTTAGTTTGAAACTACAAAAAAGCCCGATGAAAGTCAACGGCCTGAAGAAAATGAAGTGGCGCCAAACGCTTACCATAAAACTACAAAAAATATCTTCGAAAAATTCCAAACAAAGAAGGCTCTAAAATCAAAGAATTAAAGATTTTTTTTTCTCAATATCTGGGCTTGTTTCGAAAATCAATGGCTTCTTTGGTTCTCTCTTCTCTCTCTTTCCTTTTTCAAAAGCCTTGTTCTTTTACAACTTCGCTCTGTTTCAGCTTCGGAGCTCCGACTGAGTCTAGGTTTGGTGGTCCGTTTTCTGTGGGATTCGGATCGCTCAAGGAGAGAAAAGGAAGAATCAAGTTTTCGGTTTACTCCAGAGCTTCTCCACTTGTGTTTCGCGACCTCGACGCCGATGATTTCCGGCATCCGCTCGATAAACAGGTCCGGTTTCTTTTGCAAATTTTTAATAAATTTTCTTTTATCCATATTATTTTTATTTGATTATAATTATTATTATTATTATTTGTATGGTTGCAGAATACGCTGCTATTGAGAGCGATTCCAGGGCTTAGCGAACTAGGAAGAGCTTTACTAGGTAACTTTGATTGTTGGTTTTTTTTTTTTTTCTATTTACTTTTTGTAATTTGATTTCATTTTCGTTTTGAAAATTCAAAATTAGATAGTTAAAAGCAAAATTAAATCTGATTAAAACCGAGGAAATTCTAAGATGTAAAGTCCAGGGATTTAAAATGCATTGGTTCGCATTTATCGGATATAACGAATAAGGATATAATGAATAAGATAACGGTAGTCACAATGTAAAATTTTTTAAAAATGTTTACAATTTATCATAAAATAAAGCAAAAAAAAAAGTTTAATATAATGATATTTATTTATAATATTTAAAGTAATTTATAATATTTTAATCTTATATTGATAAGTTAAAATAACTTTTTCACATATTTTTAGTTATAACTCAAAATTAATATGTTATAAAATTCATAGATATTTAAAAAAAAAAAGCATAAATAATAGTTTTAGCATCCCGTTATGATTGCAATTTTTTGTTAAATCACTATTTATGGACACAATATATTACTATTTGTATCTCCATTACCGTGAGTAATGATGGTGGACAGCGGCGCTATTGCTATACCGCTCTACCGCGTCGTGCAGATGCTATTTAAATTCATATAACGTCAATTCAAAGATTTATGCTTCACATACATGCAAAATCATGTAATTTTGTTATTTATTATAATTCTGGTGAATTTTCGATGTTAAAGAAGCTTTTCTTTTTTGAATTCTTTGTAGCAGGAACCGTGACAGAGCAAATGATGTTTCTTGAGAATATAGGAACTTCAGTCCTTGTTTCAAAAGATCAGGTTATTTGATGTTTAGAAATTTGTTGTTTCAAGTTGTTTTACTGGTTTTATCCTATGTAAATTGTTCCACTTTTTTTTTTTTTTTTTCTTGTATCAGCTTCCGGAACTTCATAAATTGATGATTGAGGCTGCGGGGATATTAAATATTGAACCTCCTGATCTCTATGTTCGTCAAAGTCCTATTCCGAATGCTTACACATTGGCTATAAGTGGTAAAAAACCTTTTGTTGTGGTTCATTCTAGTCTTGTGGAGCTTCTGACACGAAAAGAATTGCAGGTCTTCACTTCTTTCTCGTGCTCTTTCCATTGCGAACCAACTTAAATTATTGTCTCTTCATTTTTGTTATTCCCTTATAGTTTGTATTGACTGCTGCTTGAATCCTTTAAGATTTAAGTTTTCTTGTTTTTGTTTAGTTTGATTGGTTTTTTTTGACTTTTTCTGTTTTCTTTTACAAATGTTCCCATATACATATATGTGATTATAAATGTTTGAATCGAATTGGATGTGCTTTATTTTCCGTAGTAGTGCTGTGATTTAAATGATAAAATGCCATTAATTTTTTTTTTTTGGTTCTGTGCAACTTTGAAATAGGCTGTTTTGGCTCATGAGTTAGGTCATCTCAAATGCGATCATGGTGTATGGCTGACCTTTGCAAATCTTCTCACTCTTGGAGCCTATAGTGTACCTGGTATGTGTTTGGTCTCTCCATCAGTTGAGGCAACTTAGTTACTTTTGTACATTCTTAGTTCAATTACGGCACATTATATGTATGAGAAAATGACCAAACAAGCTTATGGACTAGAGGAGAAGTGATGTTTGCTTAAGTTATTGCACTTGACCTTTTGAGCAGTACTTCATATATATTTGAGGGAACATATATGCTAGCCGTATACATAAGCATTGGCTTGCTTGTTATTTGCTGGCATGTATCTTACAGAGGAGAAAAGAACCTGCGTATGTTTAGGAGGATTGTGTTTACAGGAACTAGGAATGACGTTTCCAATCTGCTACTGTAGTAAATAAGAATTTAGATGGCACATTTTCATGTTATCCTCCAAACAACCTTATGTTTTGGTTATGAGTATATATCTGTTGGCGTATATCAGTAACAGTACTACTGCAGTTAATAAACAACACAGCTTTGAATACCTTAGTTTTTCACAGGACTTGGTGGCTTTATAGCTCAAACTTTAGAGGAACAGTTATTCCGTTGGGTAAGGGCAGCAGAGCTAACTTGTGATCGTGCAGCCCTTCTTGTTGCACAAGATCCCAAGGTATGCAAAAAAATCTCTGAGCTAACATAATCTGCGATTAAATAGTTGAGATTTCATTATCTGATTTTCTTGTGATGCACCTACAAGAGGCTGTCATCTCTGTGCTGATGAAATTAGCTGGTGGCTGCCCATCTATGGCTGATCAGCTAAATGTGGATGCATTTTTGGAGCAAGCTCGCTCTTATGATAAAGCTTCTTCAAGCCCAATTGGGTGGTATATAAGGTGAGCAATTGTTTGAGCAGAGCATTTAAAACTCAGCCTATCACTTTCCTTTTGGTTGTTTAATTAACTAATGATGTTCAGAAATGCTCAAACGAGACAACTTTCACATCCTCTGCCTGTCCTACGTGCTCGTGAGATTGATATCTGGTCAAGAAGTCGTGAATACAAAAGTCTTCTTAAACGTGCAACTCAGATGAACGTTGCAGAAAAAGCTTAGCATTGCTCTCATGCTCTGGAGAAAGTCATAGTTTAAAACATCTTTAATAGGTATGATTTGCACTGTTATTTTCAGATTTCCATAATCATTTACATGCATATCTTTTTCTTTCCATTTAAAACATTTCAGCCTAATTTGTCCTGAACAATAAGGGGTTTGCAACATGCCATTCACAGTTTCATATTGCTATTACCTTGTATTTGTTTCGTTTTAGTATAATGATTCACACATGCAAATCACAACTTATGCTTTTTTTTTTTTATATTGACGGGATTTTCTTTGGGATTTTTCTTTTTTCAGATTTCCACTTTGCCTTGCAAGATTTGGTTCCCCTTTTCATGTAAGATATATTATATTGCCAGGCAACAGAGATAACAGAAAATGGAGGAAGATTTGTAAAGAGCATCTGTAGCTGTTGTAAAACATTTGTCCATACAGAAGATAGTTTAAATTAAGCGAAGGGAATCATATGTTGCTGCAAATCAATGGCAGGTGTTTTATAGTTGTTCTTCTTTTGTAACTATGATAATGATAGTTTTTGGGAATTTACAGTAACATAAATACGGTTGATACTCAAAGGAACAGAGAAAAATACTGTATACTATTGTTCCACAGGATAAATCAATTATAGCAAATTTTTAATCCTGTAGTAAACATGATGCTTGCTTGGTTTGTTAAATATGTTTCAATCATGGTGTGCCTTGAAACCCACGGTTACCAACAATGGTGGCACTGTTCCTGCTTAGTAGCTATGGTGTGACACAGAAATCCTGAAGAAGAAACAACGGCTTGGATTGAAACGTGGTTTCTCTGTTTTCCTGGAAAACAGATTCTGTGGATTCCAGGAAGACCCCGTACTTCCAAAACTTTCCAGCTCCATTTAAATAAAATTAAAAAAGCCAAAAAAAAAAACAAATCCAAATAAAGACATCGTAAAAACCAATAAAAACCCCAAAAAAGGCCATTTGTCTCCGTGTTACTAACAAGCTCAAGTTGGCTTTTTAACTAATCAAAATCAAAGATTATCTTCATTGTAGAAGAGGGTCCGACTTGCAGATCGACAGTGGAGGATTGGCCTCTTCCTTTTGTAGTTGTAGCCTCGTCAACACCAAGTCAATTTTGTAAACTAAACTAAAACCCAACAAACACTGTTGTTTCTCTAGCTTCTCCATAGCCGGTACAACATGATAGCTTCAGTTTGAGATATTGAGAGAATCATATATGAAGAAAAGGAAGTGAAAATGCCAGGAATAAGAGGACCTTCTGATTTTTCACAAGAACCGCCACATCATCCTTGTCTTCAAATCAACGCCAAGGCAAGTTTTTCTATAGCATCGCATAGTCCTGTTCAGTTTCTGGAGAATTTTTCCTATTTCAGTTCCTCCTATAATTGTTTTTAAGCTAGCTGATGGCCACAAACATTGGCATTCCATTTCCCATCCATTGTATTGGTAGCTGTTTTCCATATACGTGTCTTTTCTTTTCATTGATTTGCAGGTGGATTCAGCTGCAAATGTCCAACCTGAAAACGTGCAAGATATTTGGAACCTAAGAGGGATTCTGAATACTTCATGTCACCAAGTTCATGTCCACGTGGGCCACTCGAATATGTAAATCAAACCTAATGAACAGTTAAATAACTTGACTAGCATTTTGAAATATGTGGCTGACTTTCTTTAGCATGTGTTTTGTCCAAAAATAGTATCATTTGGATCTGATAATGCTGTTTTAGTGGATTCTTATGTAATCTGACAGATGAGCTGTTGAAAACATTGCAACGTGGTTCCTCTTCAATCTCGCATTATTTCATATTCTGGGTTACCTGTGACCATCCATGTCCCCTGGTATTGCTACTTTCATGCTGTTTATAGGGCCAATATTGCGCCATCTTCCATTTATATCGGGATATGGCATCTAATGTAAAAATCTCTGAGAAACAGCTTCTGGGATCATTGGTAGATAATGGGGTTCCACTGTTTTAACCTAGTAGCTGAGGTGCTGAACAAAAGGTAGCAATTATATGAAAATTTTTACTGTGGCCAGGTCTCCTCATACATGTGCATACCCTCTTAAACTATCCAAGTAAGTTTGATTGAGAAGAACTGTCTAGCAGTTAGTAGTTAGCAACTGTTCACAAAGTAACTTGAACTACACGACCAAAAACTCTTAGCCATTGGGTTTGTTTTCTCTCCTGTTGAGTTTTGCTTAGACAGAACATCATTGCAATCCAATGGAATGGGAGGATGACATGTCGGCAAGGGATCAAGCCAAGCCAATTCGTAAGGCTGTCAAAACGAAAAAGAAAAAGAGAGGTGAAGCTTTTTTGAAAGGGATCTATTTAGTTTTTATTGCTTGCAAAAGTTTGGGAAGAGGCAACAAAAATTTTACAAGGTTTGTTTTTCCGTTCAGTTGCATTTTATACCCTGAATATTTAACATGAATTAATGGCCTAAATACAGATCCCCACAAAGCCATTTTCTTGGTGATCTTCTAATTTTTTTAATCTGTCCCTTTTTTTTTTTCAAGCTAGCATTGAGGTTCAAATTCAAAACCCTAAGCCACTCCAGTATCACTAACTAAACTAACAGTTTATTTTAACTTTTCCCCAAGTTTCAACAGGCTTGATAGATTAAAACCAACCAGCCAATGTCATCTTCTTAATGTACTTTCAATTTGCTATGTTTGGTTCATTGTTTCCTTCTGCCAAGACATAGCACATGCCAACATACCATCAAAAACAACACTTGGATTCGCACTATGAACCAATAATAATACTAGCAAGATAACCCCTTTGAATCTTTCATACAACCAGAAAATTTTTTCCTTTCATTTTTTTCCCTTGTTCTTTTATTTCTTTTGGCAGGCATGGAAAACTTTTTCCCATTATAGAATTGGGAACAAAACTTCGGTGATTTGTTAAATATTATCACATTCTTGTCTCATTCATAAGCTCTTATATATTAAATAATCCGGGTTTTAATCATTCACATTTGATCAGAAACGCATCAAATATATATTATATATTCGTATGGTCCAGCTGAGCTTTGATTTAATGATTCTACAGCAAAATCTAGTCACATTTCCTTGATGTGGTGCCCATTTATGGTCGGCTACAAGGAAAACAAGGAGATCACTGACTAGAAACCATGAAAAGAAAAGAAAAGAAAGGATTGGCAGTGTGTGTGGATGAGAGCATGTGGGTGGAGAACAAAATACTGATCAAAGAAGAGACATAAAGCAGTTTTAAGGACCCACATTTTTACCCTTATCTGTATGACTTTCCACCATTATACGTCTCTTGGGGAACTTTCCTGGAACCCCAGCCATTGGATTGGATGATCAATGAATTGGTGGCTCAGGTTTTTTATCATTACAGATTTTCAGCCTTGGAAGTTCAGGGCATGATGTGGAGAAGAGAAGAGAATATAGATGTTTGGTGGCAAATCTGTATTGATGATGATACCCATCTTTTATTTTTTCATTTTCATCACATGGGGATTCTCCTATGGATAAAAGACAAAGGAAGTCACAGTGGAATTGGACTGTAATGAAGAAATACTGGAAGATTATAGAGATGCGAGGGCTTGTTTTGGATATAGCTTGAGTGAAGTTCAGTCTCCAGGGTTTCAGTCAGGTCCCAGCAGCTTGTCATATGACAAAACAGATATGACTTGAGAGTAAATGCAATTTTCCTGCAGATATCAAAGCTATAATTGATATCAGCAAAAGAAAGCGGCTCGAAGGGGCATAAAATGACCCCTCAAAATCGTCCGGTGTAGGATTAGACCCACAAAAAATCCCAAAATACTCCTAATTGTATTATCAAATAAATAAAATAATATTTAATTTAATATAATAATATACATAAACAAGTTTATCACATAAATATTTATATAGACAATTCTCTTAAATAATATATAAGATAGTTTTTTAAAAGAATAAAATCTTTTAATTATAGATTAGATAATTTTAAATTTATTCAAATATCAAAATTATTTAAATTATAATTAAAAATTAAATCAATTTAGAGATACATATTCTAAAATTAAAAAGATGAAATATGGATTTTATTTTTTTAATAAATAATTTTAGTTGTTTACTAAATAACTTTATTTAAAAAATTATTTAATTATCAAAATCTTTCAAACCTGATTAAAAATTACAAAAATTAAGTTTATTCAAATATTTCAACAATCTTTTTTTATCTTAATTTAAAAAATTATCTTTTTAAAAAAAATTTAAGTAAGACATTAAAAATTCAAGTAATTTTATGTAAGATTTTGAAAATTCAAAAAATCTCATCTTAAATCTTTAAATAATAAGATTATTAAAATGATTATATTCATTTGAACTCTAATTATTAAATTTATATTTCAAATAAATGTAAAAAAAATTAATATTATCTTTATCACTTATTATATCCATTTTAAATTTTAAAAAATTAATTTAAAAATTATCTATTTAATCCTAATTGTCGCTAAAGAATTCTTTTACAAATTTAAGACTACAAATGTAATATATTATACATCAATTTTTTTTTCAATACCGTTTTCTAAGGTATATTCTATTACTATTTCAATTTATTTTTTTTGTTTATACATTTTTTCTAAGATTTATTTTATTGTTATTACAGTTTCATTCTTATGAAAAATAATAATTTTTTTTAATTTATTTTTCTTTTTTCACATATTTTTTAACATTTTTTATATTTTGTATAATAATTTAATCAAGATTACTAAAATAAAAATGTGTTAATACTTCTTTTATTATTTATTATCATTCAATAATATATATATATATTTATTTTGTAAAAAAGACATAATTTTTTTTATTCGATATAATTTTACATGTATATAAATATTATTGTAAACAAAAATATCCAAAGAAAAGATATAATTCTTTTTTTACTGTTTTCAAAATTTTATTTTTTAATTATAAGTCAATATATATAAATTTTATATATGTTATGAGTTTTAAAGATTTGAATATAATTTTAAAAAGAAACTAATTATATATATTCATATTAAATAAATAAAATTATTTCATGCATTGTACGGGTTAAATCTAGTATATATTATATAACAACATACATTAATAAATTTGTCATATAAACATTTATATTGACAACTCTCTTAAATGATATATATGATAGTTTTTTTAAAAAATAAGATAGTTTCTTTTAATTACAAATTAGATAATTTTAAATTTATTCAAATATCAAAATTATTTAAATTATAATTAAAAATGAAATCGATTTAAAAATATATTTTCTCAAATTAAAAATATGAAATATGGATTTTAATTTTTTAATCAATAATTTTAGTTGTTTATCAAATAACCTTATTTAAAAATTTATTTAATTATAAAATCTTTTAAACATGTTTAAAAATTACAAAGATTAAGTTTATCTAAATATTTCAACAAATTTTTATTTTTTTTAAAAATTTATGTAAGACATTAAAAATTCAAGTAACTTTATATAAGATTTTAAAAATTCAAAAAAATTTCATTTTAAATGTTTAAATAATAAAATCATCAAAATAATTATATCTATTTGAACTCTAATTATCAAATTTATATTTCAAATAAATGTAAAAAATTTAATATTATCTTTATCACTTATTATATCTATTTTAAATTTTAAAATGTTAATTTTAAAATTATCTATTTAATTCTAATTCCCACTAAAAAATTCTTCTACCAATTTAAAACTACAAATATAATGTGTTGTACATCAATTTTTTTTTCAATAACTTTTTTCAAGGTATATTCTATTACTATTGTAATTTATTTATTTTTTTACTTTTATTCAATATATATTTCATTATTATTATAGTTTCTTTCTTATGAATAATAATAGTTTTTTCAATTTTATCTTTTTCAACAATTTTCTAACATTTTTCATATTTTGCATAATAAATTAGTCAAAATTACTAAAGTGAAAGTATGTTAATAGTTCTTTTATTATTTAATTTATCATTTAATAATATATATTTTTATTTTTAAAAAAAGACAATTTATTTTTATTTGATATAATCTTAAAGGAATATAAATATTATTGTAAACAAAAATATCTAAAAAAAAAGACATAATTATTTTATTGCTGTTTACAAAAAAATTATTTTTAATGACAAATCCATATATATATAAATTTTATATATATTATGGGTTTTAAAGTTTTGAATATAAATTTGAACAGAAATTAATTTTTATATATATTTATATTAAATAAATAAAATTATTTAATCTAATTTTATTATATAATAAGCATAGTATTCATAAATTGACTACCATTTGAAACCTGAGAAGTATACTGTAAGAGTAGAAAACCGGTTTACGCTAACAGCTATTTGAACACTGCAGAAGAATGATTGTTGAAATGGTAACTTTAAGACTTGCAAGTCAACACTTTGGACAAAGATAGACAAACCCTTTTTTTAACTGCTCTCTTGTTTAATCATATTGTGGAATTTGCCAATTTAAAAAGAAGACACATCATTTTGTAGAAAAACCAGGCAAAGAAAAACCACACATCATGTTAGAGTTATCCTTAAATATATATATATATATATATATATATATTTCAAAAACCTGTTAGGGTTATCCATATCTATACCAATATCAGGAAACAATAATTGAGTTTTTGTCTTTGATATATTAGATTTCTGTAACAAGTTTAAATGGATTAGTAGGATTGACAGTGATGTTTGTACTTTCAAAACTCAGTTGCTATCATTTCTTAAATCATCAGTTAAGTTAATTCTGTAATGAACTATGGAAGCTGACAGTGTTAACAAATCCAATTTCTCTAATTTTTTTGTTGTTGTCTCTCAGGTAGAGCACAATATCATAGTAATTCTCTGTCCCTCCTTTAAGCAAGATGTATTTTTTTTAATGTTTTACAGAAATATTTTTTTCTCTTAATGCACGTATGTTGTGGGCCAACTACACCTACTCATGATTGTGATATAATAGCCAAGATAATGACACAACGTTTTAAAAATATTAATACTAGTGGCTGAATAGCTGATATATTTCTCATAACCCTCTAGAGAGCTAGTTTTGCAAGCCCCCTTGATGTTGCAGAACCATCAGTTCATCGAGGGCCTCGATTTCTGTCATCTTTATGCTACGATGGAACTATTGATGTCTCTATTTAGGGTTGTGCCCTGGAAGTTTGTGTTCATATCAGTGTTTTTACCTTTGTTGCATGCGATATTATGTAAAGTCTGCAGAGCTCCAAAATTGCCAGAACGTGGCCCCGCAGCCTATCCAATAATCGGCTGCTTGATTTCCTTCTACAAAAACCGCACTCGTTTGTTAGATTGGTATACAGAGCTCCTTGCAGAATCAGCCACCAATACAATTGTGGTGAACCGGCTAGGTGCTCGAAGAACAATTGTAACTGCAAACTCGGAGAATGTTGAGTACATGCTCAAGACCAACTTCAACAACTTCCCTAAAGGCCAGCCTTTCACTGAAATTCTTGGTGACTTTCTTGGCTACGGGATATTCAATGTGGATGGGGAGCTTTGGCGCTTGCAACGGAAGTTAGCAAGCCATGCTTTCAGCACCAATTCTTTGAGGGAATTTGTGATGAGTACATTGGAGGAAGAGGTGGAAAATCAATTATTACCTTTGCTAGAGTCATTGGCTGAGGCATCAGAAGTGGTGGACCTCCAGGACTTGCTGAGAAGACTTGCGTTCAATATGATCTGCAAGGTCTCATTAGGGGTGGATCGCTGTAATTTAGATACTTCTCTGCCTGTTTGGCCTCTTAATAAAGCTTTTGACATGGCGTCAGAGATATGTGCCAAGCGTGGAGCTGCTCCTTTGTTCTTGGTTTGGAAGGTCAAGAAATGGCTTGGAGTTGGATCAGAGAAAAGGCTAAAGGATGCTGTGGAGGAAGTTCGTGCCTATGTTGAGGAGATAATTCGTGACAAGAAGAAAAAGATGGATGAAAGTGGAGAGAATTGTGGTGAAGATCTCTTATCCAGGCTGATATTTGCTGGCCATGATGAGGAAGTGATACGAGATATGACCATAAGCTTCATAATGGCAGGAAGGGATACAACTTCAGCAGCAATGACATGGCTTTTCTGGTTGCTTTCCCGCAATCCAGTTATAGAGCAAGAACTGCTGAAAGAGATAAAGAATATGGAGGAAAGCTTGTTAGATTATGTATCATTGAAGGGATTGAAATTGTTGAAAGCCACTCTTTGTGAATCTATGAGGCTCTATCCACCAGTAGCCTGGGACTCCAAGCATGCCCTCGTGGATGACATGTTGCCTGATGGCACTCTAGTCCAGGCAGGAGATAGAGTAACCTACTTTCCCTACGGAATGGGGAGGATGGAAGCATTATGGGGAAAGGACTGGCATGAGTTCAGACCAAGCCGGTGGTTCATTGAACCAACCTGCCAGGGAGGATCAATAAAGAATGTATGTCCGTACAAGTTCCCAGTTTTTCAGGCCGGTCCAAGAGTTTGTCTTGGAAAGGAGATGGCCTTCATTCAGATGAAATATGTTGTGGCTTCCATACTTAGGCAGTTTGAAATCAAACCAGTGGTTTCAGAAAAGCCGGTTTTCGTGCCACTCTTGACGGCTCATATGGCCGGTGGACTAAAGGTTGTGATTCAGAAAAGAGATCATTCAAGATAAGACGAAAAAATACATTATTTTAGTGAGAGTCAATGGTTCTGAATTAAAATTGCAAGATGCCAATATGCCTTTATGTCTCATCTGAGTTATAGTTAGGAGGAAATGATTAGCTAAAACAGTCACATATATAGTTAATACGAATCTTTATGATCAGATATTAATCATAACCATTTGAATCGATCAAGATCATTGATTCAAAATCATTTGGCTATCCCTCAGGGGACTATATATGGATTGTAAAGGCATGAGCATAGTTAATTATCTCTAATACCTAAACAGAATGCACATGCATGCGTGATTGGAACGATTATGTCACATGTATTGATATTTTAGGTAGTTTCGAATCTTCAAAATAATAATCTTTACGAGTCAGCATCTACCATTAACCTTATTTCTTTCTCTTCTTCCGACAACAAGAAAAGATTGTAAATATTAAAATTTGAATTATAAATATATTCGATATCATAGTTATATAAATCAACTAAATTAAATATCAGATTTTTTTTTCTTAGGGTTAACTACCTTGATTCAAATTGATAACACAATACCCACGGGATAATAGAAATCAAAGTAGTAAAGTATCTCATTTTCGTAGAGGTCAAAGTAGTAAGATGCTACTTACTGCTTACAAGCGTGATTCTTTTCTGCCAATTAAAAGCAAAAACAATCTCTGTTTTGTTTTGATTCTTTGTGCAATCTTTAGAGTGATAAGCTTCCAAATTGTTTGTTCCATTCTTCATACGTACCCAATTCGTTCAGAGAAACTGAGGGTCGGACCTCTTGTAATGCATTCTCAAAATCCTACATAAGAAGAAGGTGACTTAAAATGATTAAGCTGACGAAAATTTTACAGTGTAGACGTGTGCTTTCCAGTGCAGACTTGCATGCCATTACCTGAAGAGTTACTGACCGCATATCCTCTTTCTTGAGCTTTGTAATTTCTATGCCTTGTCTCAGAGCCTCTCTAAGAGGTCCCATAGATGCATCTTTCACTAAGTTTTTCATATCTGATCCTGAGTAGCCTGCAAAGGAAAGGTACAGAACAAGGCAACTTCGAAGGATAGCTAGGATAAAACAAAGCAGCTTAACAGCTGAGAGACAACATAAGCTAACCTTCAGTTAACTTGCATATGGCGTCAATATCCTCTTCCGAAAGTTTGAATAGTCCATCCTTCTCCAACAGATTACGTACTATCCAGGCTCTTGCTTCTTCATCACCAGTTAAAGTAAGTCAGAAACAAATTTTGTGGAATAAAAGGCTGGAATTGGATAAGATAAGAAATGTAAGTTACACCTGATGAAGGAAGGGGGATATAAAGCCTCTTGGTAAGCCTTCTCCTTGCTGCTTCATCTAGTTCTTGAGGTCTATTTGTTGCTCCTGGATAATACAAATATGCAATGTAATTGCTTGATATGAATCACCATATATGAAGAGATTGAAGTCCAGTCCAAAAATTAAAATATCAAATGTAACTTTGGATAAGAGATTTTGCTTCATTCTTATAAGATGCAGGTATAATTATCACATAATTGAACTAGTTCTCTTTTTACTATGAAAGAATTAAGTATTTAACAAAACTGTGTATAGTAGAGTAAATAACACTCTTATTTCCTACAGGACATTTAATGAAACCTTTTCCATTTGTCAACAAATATGTATGAATTCATGGCTTCAATAATACCTATAAGAAGAATCTGCTCACTGCCAATATCAAAGCCCTCCATTTCAATGAGGAACTGTGTCTTGAGTCTTCTACTTGATTCATGCTCACCTTCTGACTTACGCTGTAACAAGATAAAAAAAAACCTTTTAGAAGAACACTTTATTGACCGGTTATAAAGACTATTGTGATGTAGAGTATAGTAGACTGCTTTGGCCAAATTCTTGTTATGATTTGAAAGTGGTGTGTCTGTAAATTACAAGGATGCAAAGCATTCACTAGTTCAAACAGAATTCACAAAAAAAAAAAAAAGCATAATTAACAATCAAAAGAAAATAAGTCATCATTTATTAATATAGTTTACAAGTGGTGAATATCCTGCAAAAGCAAATAAATAAAATCATCATCCAGTTTGACCAAATCTCCAATCATCTCAGCATTACAGTATAGCATTCAAAGGTAACTCTGCACCAATTCAAGTTTTCCTTTAAGAGCCATAAGGTAAACCTTACCTGAGATAGAAGTGAATCTATTTCATCAACAAAAATTACAGCCGGCTGACGACAACTTGCCACTCCAAAAAGCGCCCTCACTAGCTTTTCACCCTCGCCAATCTACATTCACCAGTTACAATGTTACCCATAATTGATACAATATAATCTCTGGGAGAAAACAAAAGTAAATAGTAGCTTCTGGAAAAATGTTAGGAGCAACTTAAGTAGTTTTAATCTACATACTTAGGATCTAAGAGGTACCATGTTAAGGTGCCTAAATATTTTTTGACAAGCCTTCCCATATTTCAAAAACGCACATGCAAAGTATCATTAAAGAAAAACAGGGGACAGAAACATACCCACTTGCTTGTCAATGAACTAGCAGATATGTAGAAGAAGGTGGCTTTTGCTTCACCAGCTATAGCTTTTCCAATCATTGTTTTGCCTGTTCCCTGTGGTATAGTAGGTGCCCACAGAAGTCATAAACCCATTGCATTTAAATTAGAATTTGGTTATTCACCATGTACGAGGATCCCCTGATAAGCATCCATGGCTGAATGGTTAAAGCGCCCAACTCATAATTGGCGAATTCGTAGGTTCAATTCCTACTGGATGCACGCCAATGGGACCTTCCAATAAGTCTATTGGAATTGGCTCTGTATCAATGGAATCTTATCCTCTATACATAACGAATTGATGTTGTATATTCATATCATAACATATGAACAGTAAGAACTAGCATTCTTATTGAGACTTTTTCTCATAGGGAAGAAAATATATTTATGGATGGAATTAGCATCTCCTATTTTGTAGAGAATTAAAAGATACTTACTGGGGGACCAAAGAGAAGAAGACCTCTTCCAGGAGAGCGACAGCCTCTAAATATGTCAGGACGTAATAAAGGCCATATGACCATCTCTGTCACACATTTTTTGGCATGCTCCAAGCCAGCTGCAGCAATTTTAGGAGAAATCTAAAATTACAAAACAATTTTTAGTTAAGCACATAGTTGAACAAAGATGAAGCCTAAAAGAAAGTTTCATGTATCTTATAATACCAATATCATCCCACCGAACATTTGGATCTCGATCCATAATCTCATTGCTGACATGCTCAATAAGGCGGGGTTCCAAATTCCTTAATTTTTCGGGAAGCTCACCATCAGGACCACACAGCATTTCCAAGCTGGATGGCAAACATAAAACATCTCAATTATGCTATTAAATATAAAATATGAAAACAGATCCTGGTTATATGAGATAAAAGTAATTCCTAAAATCAGTTTAAAATATGTCTAGGAAGGCATTAAAGTTCATTTATCTGTAAGGGGAAGGTAAGAAATTCTTTAGTCAACAGAAATCTTAAATGGTTGAATCTCCTTTCCGAAACTGGCATTGAAAATGTAATAAATAATCCATGATCATAGGTACACTGGCAATGCTCAAGGACATAATTCAAATTGCATTTTTCCCTCAAAGTATTTATGTAACTCACCATGCCCTTGTTGAGTCATCTAATGTATCATCACTCTTTCCGCCAATTCGTGATGTCACATTTCCAGAACTGCCCCCATTAGATCTTATAGGGGGAACAAAATTACCACGAACTCCACGGCGTGAAAAACCATATGATTTTGCACCATAACCTCTAGAATTAAAATTGGTATCTTTCTGTGGGGAGATAGAAGCACTTGGAGAACCAGCCAGCCCTCGTTTTTGTCTCACATCCATTTCCTATAACGAAGGGATTAACATCAGTATGTATGGAAATAATGTAAGAAAATGTAAAACAAATGGTTTAACTTCCAAATACTCCAGACAAAGTACTGGAACGATTGACAGTTTACATGCCAAAACTCCAACATTTTGAATTATACCAGTTTTGCTCTTGCTGTTACAAATCCATTCCCCGAAACATCGGCATTAGATTCTTCATTGCTTGGCGATGACCTTTCACTGTCGTTTCTGAAGGTACTGATTTCTATGTGTGCGCGCTTTGTCCCCGAGCTATTCCCATGGCCTCTTTCTTCCTCTTCAACTTTGGAAAAGGTTGAAACACTGTGTCCCCTACGGAGGTTGTGATAAGAATGACCCTTTTCCACTATAACACAATCTTTGGAACTGTTATCTTTGGAGTTCAAAGAACTTTTATATGAGCAATTATTTGCTGTTGTAATTTTGTTTCCATACAAAGATGTCAACTTTGCCTGCGTCATAGCTTGTGACGGCTTGCTAATCAACTTATCTTGCCTCTCTTGCTGTCCTCCCTGAGACACAGTTACAGCACAGGCTAGTCAAACAAAAAAACTTGTACTATGATCTTTGTTCAGCAAGGAACTATGAATCCATACAAATTAAATCATAAAATAGGGCTGAATAAACTTTTTCGTGAATAAAAATTGCAAATAAATGGCATACTAATTAGTATTCATACCAATTCACTTAGAGCTTTTCCTTTAGATTGCTGAAGCAGTGCACAGAAATAACTTGATTGCTTGATTTTATCAATGTCAATACCTCCTTTCATGCCAAAAACACAACCAGGAGCTTTTCCTGCTTGTTCAAATGCTAGGCTGAAAACATACGATTCTTAACACACTTTATCAACATCAAATATCAAGATTTAAATACCTAACACTAATATTAAAACCAAAGAAGTTCCTAATAATAAACAAAATCAAGCTTTAATTTCAAGTTTGATTGGAAATAAAAGAAAAGATCTAATAGAAAATTTACAAAAGGATGCAAGCATATCAGAATCTCAATTTATTAAATTGAACTAGAAAAAAGGTTAAAATCTTAAAATTTAATTCATGATATACATATATACCGATCAGATTCTTGAACGAGGGCACGGCGAGCTGAGTCAAGCTTAGAGACGGCGCCGTTACGGATGGGACCAGTGAAGGCCTCATCGACTTCGGAGTGAGAGCGAGAATCGAGGAAGCCGAGAAGTCGAAGCAAGAGGATCTGAGCCGCCGCGAAATCCTGCTTCTCAAGACAGAGCTCGGCGCCGAAGAGCAGCGATTGGAGCCGCTTTAGATTCTGATCCACTTCTTTTCTCCAACACATTTTCTCTTTGGATTCTTCCATTTCTTTACTCTGTTCTTTTCCTGCTTCTTTGGTTGCAATGAAGAAGAACAGAAGAGCTGAATTTGGGCTTTGGCTTTTAACTTTCCCGCCAGGTTCTGGCTATGGCTCGCTTTAAATTGAGAGATAAGAAAATGACCCTGTTTTTGGGCTAAATTACAAAAAATAACCATTCCTCAATGGCCCAACATTTTCTGTTTTCAACCTTTCTTTAAAAAATATTTGCATCCAACACAGAAAAAAAATAAAAAATAAAAAATCGATTCAAAATTATAAATTGATTCTGTTCGAATAATTTTTTTAATTCAAATTAAATTCAAATATTAAATATACTTTATGTTAGGATCAGATATTAAAAATTTGAAACAAATCAAATTATATGTTTTTATTAATGTTTTATAAAAAATTATTTTATTCTTAAATATATTTAAAATCATATTAAAATAATATATAAAAAATTTAAATTTAAATTTAAAAATCATTCAACTAATTCAGTTCGAATAGTATAAAAGTTCTTCTCCGCGATATAGATCATGAAGAAACATTGAAATCAAACCAAAAAAGCAGCCTGCAGTCTACCATATATATAAATTACAAATTACAAATTGAACAAAAAAAAAAAAACTATCTATTTTTTTTTATTAAGTTTGATGATAATTATGCCTAAACAAGCTACTTCCTGTTCTACATCCCCTCTTAATTCCATTAAAGTAATGGCCTACAATTGGTACATGATTCAAATCAATGAAAATCGTATAGCTTCGGAACCATGATTCATGTGCTTCCAGGTGCATCGCTTCCAGCAGGTGGCTTGCGATTCAGATAACGGATAACAGCATCTTCCACCCTGTTAGCATCACCAAAACAGAACTTGAATATGTCTTAATCCTTCATAAATTCTATTATCACCATTATTGCTAACATTACATTTTCTATAAGAAACTTATTTAGAGAAACCAAGTTAGCAAAATCCAAGCATGTGTCATATACAGGAAAGAGTGGACTCCATAGACTATAGCAAAATAACTTTGACAAGGCACACCTAGCAATACCGTTGAAGGGTCGGTGGAAGACTGAGGTTTCTACCAAATCAATCACAATTCATGATATTATCAGCAGAAATGACTGCACAAGTAACAGGCTAGGGTTCCAAACTAGAGATATATTATCCAAATTTCAACAAGAACGACTACAACTAAAACAGCAAAATGAGCTTACCATGGTTGGTTGAAGAAATCTGATCGGCGCTCCCTTTCAGAGCTTCGACTAGCTTCCCCAGCTACCAATTTCAGATCCCGGCTCTGAGATTCAATTAAAGAATTAATAAATTCCACTGGTGATTGACTGAACCCTAGAAAGAATGCACGCCTTCTTCGATGCTCGTGAATTTTCCTTATGGCAGCACATATTGCTTCATCACAAGCATCGATCTCTTTGCTCTTCTCTGCATTTGCTAACAGAGCAGACAATTCCCTTTGTATAGGGAAGGGCACATCAACTAACACATCATAGCATGCGGTACCAGCAGGACTGTTCCCGGAAAGCTTGATCTTATGCTCCAAATGTATGGGTGGTGGTGGTGACAAATGATGTGAAATCTTCTGCGAAACCATGGTAAATTTTACTTTTTCTTCCCCAAAAACTTTCAGTAGTTGTGCATCACAATTAAAGAAAGACGGATCATTTGGGTTCTGAAGCTTTCTAGCCTTAACATAATGCCAAATTGCAGCGATAATTCTGGGGCGCGTATCAACCTCAATACCAAGAACTTCCATTAATGCTGAAGAAAGCTTGAATTTCTCAGGTACATAATTCATTTCCAACCGTATATTCAAGGTGAATTCCTTATCCCCTTTTCTCTTCACCTCAAAACCTTCATGAGGAGCAGGTGACCGAGCGAGCTCCCATATAATGATATGATTATCCGGATATAGTCTCTGGTCCAAGGAAATTGTCACCTCTTGAAGAAAGATGAAAACTTCGGGTATAAGTGGTTTGTCCTTTGAACAAACCCAGGTTGATCTGGATCTACCCCATCTTCCAAGATCCTCCCAATAATCTTAAGGGTCCACATTGGGGGCTCTGCGTTAGGCTTCTTGGGAATAGTCTTAATCTGATTAGCAAATGTGTTGAAGACATATATTCTAAGTGTTTTCTGAACACAAGGAGGGTTCTTAACTGCTTCCTGGATGTCAACTTTTTTCCTAGCTAATGCAGCATCAACACGTGCCTCGAACTCAAGAAGCTGGGTATACAAAGCAGATTCAGGAAGAATCGCTGCCACTCTATCCTGTAGCTGTTTATCAGGAAGCCTCTGCTTCTTTCTACGTGCAGCAGGTGTAAGTTCCATTGTTCTCAAAGGCGGGATTGTGTTATTCACAGGAACACCAGGACCAGAAGGATGTACAGGGGGCTTTTGTAGGATCCTCTTTGCACTTGCACTGCCAGGAGTAGACATGGACGGTGAAGACGAACCTAATTCCCAATGCCAGCATTCTGAGCCTGATTAAGGGACAAACCATGAGCTTGTAGTTGTGCTTGGAATTGGGCATGAGCTACCTGCGCCTGAGCTTGAGCATGAGCCTGAGCTTTTGACTGAGCCTGAGCAAGGGCCTGAGCTTGAGATAACTGATACTGAGCTGGAAAACCAGCATTGAGTTGTGCTTGTGCCTGTGCCTGTGCTTGTGAGAATGCTGGGTTTCCAGGCATAGATGGTGGCACCATCCCCGCATTACCGAAGGGCGATGAAGACGCCACAAGGCTCTTAGGGGGGTTATTGTTGTTCACAGACATCACTAATATAATTCACCGGGAAAATATCGAATACCCACCAAATCTAAAACATTCCAAGCTAATGCCTTTCAAAATCAAAGCTTTAATTCCAAGCTATCACAGCAAATTTAACCAAAAACAGCTAAAGAAGAAAACTTTCCCTTCAAAATCAAAGCTTTAGAAGCTGAACATAAATGGTACCTAAACCCCCAAAAAAGCCCTAATTTTGCAAAACCTCAAAGACGCTAACTTTGAACGAAATCTAGCAAAAGAAAAAAAGTTTCTAAACATGCAACAATGGGGAAATGAAGGGAAAACAAAGATAGGAAGTGCAAGAAACGAAGAATTTGAATTGCAATGTAAGATTGAGGGGAGATGGTTGAAACTAAAAGAGAGGATCAAGAGTGAAAAAAAAAACCTTTAATTAAAAAGAAAAAAGAAAAACCTTACGAAAGAATGAAGGGATTTTAAGCGTTATAGCTTTTGCTTTTTTGGCTTCTCTTCCAGCAAATAAAGACCAGCACCTACAGAGAGAGGAAGACTTCCCTTCTATTGTTTGCTACTCTTCTCTCTCTCTCATTCCTTCTTTTTCTCTCTCTTGTTTAGGCTTTTACCATTTATCAAAGCCCGGACCCGGACAGGACCAGGACCCGACCCAAAAAAACTGGGCTGATGCAATCTTATGGGTCCGGTTAGTTACCGCATATAAAAAAGCCCATGCCTTGATAAATTTTGTTCAATTAACAAAAATTAATTACATTACATGAAACTTTAGAAGCATAAATATAAAATTTTTATTATAACTAAACTCTAAACTTAGATAATTTCTTTACATATTTATATCTTTAAAAAATATTATACAATCCAAAAAAAATATTTATTCAAGGGAAATTATGAAATATTAGTTTAGAATCAGTAGAGTCTGAAACCTTCATTATCTAACGAGAGTTTAAACCAAATTACACATGAGACCACGGTGAAGTTTCTTTCAACTCCCTACCTACACAATCTGGTTTTTATTCAGGAAAGCCTGTTAAACATTATTAAGCAAAATTCAAGCTGCCATAACAGAACAGTTCAGAAGAAAGAAATTAAGCCGGTCTTTGCAGCCCTCAATGCACCTCCATTGCAATTCTGCTGTGTCAGGCTGTGGGGTGCAAGTGTAGATGGTCATGCCACCACTTGAAACTGAAGACGACAATCCAATCACTAGCAGCTCCTTGCCAAGAGACTTGAATGCTACACCCCATCCCCTATGAATATCAGCTCTAACTGGTACTGCTCCCAAACTCTTCCATGTGTTGCAGCTCTTGAGGTAGACCCGCAGCTGATTAGAAGATGTTTCGAGACAGTAAAGCTCATTGTTCACCACTGCAACAAGAGGTGGAGATTGGCGTGTTGCAACTGGGGTATCATCTTTCAACATGTCTGGGATCCATTCCCATGTGTTTTTATCCTTGTCATAAGCCTCTCCACTAGTGAGTTCCATGTCCTTCTCATCTCTCCCTCCAATTACATAAAATTTGTTATCCATGAAGCAACCGGAGCACAGCTTCCTCATCTGATGCATCCTTGGGAGCAGCTCCCATGATTTAGCCTCAGGATTATATTTCTCTGCTGAATTCAAGACTTTCGAGTCCATCCCAATCCCACCAGCTACAAAAGCAAAGGAACCACAGGTGGCAGATGCAAATAAACATCTAGGATCGATCATTGAAGGACCCTTAAACCATTTACTTGTTTCCAGTTCAAACCTCCACACAACAGAACCTTCAGTCTCCCTACCTGACACAATCAAATGGCTCCCAGCACAAATTGATTCCTTATCTCCACTTATAAAGCACACATCTGATGAAGGTAACACTGGGAGCTTTCTGCAAGATTTGAATAGCCTATCAAATGCCCACCAACAATTTCCCCCAATAGGTGACATAAATATAGATGATTCTTTAAACCCAATTTCCCTTCTAATTTTGAATAACTCACCACTCTTTAGAAGATTTAAGTAATGCTTGTTTAGCAAGTAAAGTTTCCAAAACTCCGATCTAGGAAATCGAGCCAAAATCAAATTCTCTAGCTCATCACTGAGCTGGGGAAAATATGAGTAATCTGCATCCTGAGGTTCTACACCTGAGGAATCCCCAAAGCTGCTCCTGCTCGAAGAAAATCCATTGTGGTTTGGATTTGGATTTGCTTCTCTAGCAGCTTTACAAATCTTTATCTTCTGCCGTGGGGGCATATGAAAGCTGTCCTCAGCCATGTTGCTCAAGAGAAAACTCGTTAAGGACTACATAGAAACACCCTACAAAACCAAAACAATTATTTCAGAATCTGATCAATAGTCTAGTTTATGCATGAAGAACCTGATATAATCACCTGAAAATCTTTTTTATCTTTTGTAAAAGTCCTTGCGATCAAGTATTTCACTTCATCAGTTGATCAACAATCATAAGGCAATAAAACACACAAGCGGACTTTGGAATGCAAAGCTTCAATCTTTTAACAGTATCCCAGGATAGAAATTCTAAATAAGGTAAAACAAACCTGGAAAAAAGATCTATAACTTGAATTGATCAAGATTGAAAAAGTTATACAGAAAAGCATCCATTCATGAACAAATATATAAAAGAAAACAACCAAAAGGGTATCCAGAAATCATCAAAACAAAGCTACAAAACAGCAACATACAAATATAAATGAACAGAAATAGAAAAACATTCCATACAGAGAGAAAGATAGTGAAGCAGCGTGCAGAGAGTTAAAGAGAGAAGCTAACCAGATCTTAGACAGTAACACAAACTCTAACATTTGAAGTAAAGAAAGAGAAGAGATGATATATAGAGAAAAAAAAAAAAAAAACTGGGTACTACGGAAATGAATTTACAATTGCGGGAACCCCCATTTGCTGGAGTTTTTTATTCTCAATTTGGTATGGCTTATATGTTGGGATTACAATATGAAGCATTTGGTTTTGTTACTTATTATTCTGATCATCAAAGAACATCTTTTATGTATATTTGAATCAGGAAAAAGTAGAAAGCTTTAGAAAGGAGAAAAGAAGCTTTCTTGTTTATTAATTTATGACAGGTTTTTTATTGCTTAGCATCCCTAGTCTGGTCTTGATCTTGGACTTTTTTTATCCTACTTTTCTTCTATTGTTGAAGAAAATGGTTTTCTATGAGTAAGCAGTTGGGCATTTGCAACTTTTTCCATAGTTTGAGAAAACAAATTGGAACTTAGCCAATCTTTACATGTAATTAGATTTTTTCTCATTTTAAATTTAGACGTTTATGTTGAGTTAAATTAAACTTTAAATTATGAAAAAAGTTAATAATAAAAAATCATTCAAATTAATTTTTTTATTAAAAGTATATTTTTAATACTTTTAACACTTTTAAATTTTTTATTTTTATATAGATGATATATCTAAATATCATAAAATTATAATAAGATTCGATATTTTGATTTGAGATTCAAATTTTAATAATTATAATTTTTATTCATGTTCTTTGGCCCTCTTTTATAATAATTGATGAAATGATAGGTTTTTCAACAAAATTATTGGTTTAAGTACTAAGTGGGAGATAAATCCTACTTTGTTCTATTCCTTAAAATGTTTGTATTTAAATGCAAAATCTTTGAGCTTGTCAAAGAAAAGAAACATTATTGAGGAACAAAACTAGTAGCTTGAAATCTTCAAAAGTAGAATAATGTATTGTGATTAAGAATTGCTATTCAAAATTTTGAACTGTTGCTTTCAATAGGCTTTGGGAAAAAAGAAAGTTATAGCTGTTAAAAAAGTAGAAAATTTAATTGAAAAGAAATTTGAAAGCCTACTAAATCTAATATATATTATATTACAACATTCATATAAAGTTACATGATCAAAATTACTTATGTGAATGTCAGGTGAATAATCTCTTTTAATGACATATAAGATAATATTTATATTATTTTATTTATCAAATAATTTTTTTAATAAATTATTTAAATTAAATATTTTGGATAATTATTTAAATTAAAATCAATATCTATCTAAGATTAAAATTTTTGCATAAGATTTGAATTCAAATATATTAAATTATAATTTATCTTTTTTTTTAATTTAATGGCAATTCCAAATATATACACTTAATAAAATTTTATTTTTTGTCAAATAATTCTATTTAATAAACTATTTAAATTCAAATAAAAAATCTATTAAAAATTAAAAATTATTTAATAGATTATTTAAATTTAATACTTTTAGATAAGTTAATGAATTATTGACTAAAAAATATTTATTTTTAAAGTAATAAAGGCTCATATCTTTATATAAAAATATGATACATTTGAATGTTGTTAAAAAAGTTAGATAAAAATATATTTTTACTTTGAAAACAAATATAATGTTTTATTTATATTCTAATTCAAATATTTTTATATTATATATTTGGTTAATTTGTTTGTTTCTTTTTAGTCCATAATTTTTTTTAATTTTACTTAGATTGATTATAATTAACTTTTTGTATTATATATATTTTTGTTTTATTCATTTCTTCAATGTTTTTATTATCTGTTAATTTATTAACATATTTGCTTTTATTATTATATATATTTAACCTTGATAAATTAATATGTCAATTTATATTTTTTATTTCCTTTTGCTATATTTTTTATTATTGAATTTCTTTGTCCACAATGGATGATATGAGAATAATGTAGTCACTACTCTATCTAACTCACAAAAAAATACTATCAATTATATTAATAATGATTAAAAATAAAAGAATATTTCAAAAAAAAGTTTTTAAGCATAACATGAATAATTATTGTTTCCCTTTTATCTAAAAAATAACGTTATTTTGTTGACATATATAGAAATAATTGTTAACCCAATATATTTGTATAATAATTACTTGAAGTATGTAAAAAACAATAACTAATAAAAAGCAAATAATTATAACAAAATTAATAATTGTGATTTGTTGTTCAGTCAAATATATATATATATATACATATATACACACACCACTTAATCAATATTATAATAAAAAAAATTATTAATTTTAACTATTTAAATATTGATTCTTGATTTTTTATCAAACAAGAAAAAAGTGGTAACAAAATGTTTAGTATTTAGCAAATAAATTGAAGAAAATATTTTTAGTACAAAAAGATTTTTGTAATTCTTAAAAATTTATAAAAGTTTAGACTTTTTTTAGATGAATAATATCATTTATAATATATTATATATAAATTATCATTTAATTGTAACTTAGCATTTATAAAATATATGATTATATATTAGATAAATAATTAAAAATTAAAATTAAAATTATGAAAAATTTTAATAAAAAATCATGTACATTATTCGGGTTAAAAAAACTAGTTATTTATAAGTTTAAATCAATCCAATTCTTTACATATCTATAAAATCAATACTTGATGTGCTGTCCATGATTAACATTTTTTTCTCATTTTTAGAGAAAAAAATGAATTTTGATTTATTTCGAATTAAATTATCTAAAATCAAATTAATCAAATTATATTATTTTATTTTTATTAATAGAATCAAATTTATAAATTTTGAAAGTTAATTTTTTCAATTAACTAATTAATTATTACATTTAAATTAAAATATATTTTATATTTTATATTTTTTATATTTTATATTTTAAATAAATTAAATAAAATTATCTAACAAAATATTTAAATACCAAATTATCTAATAAAATTATCAAATTTATGGGTTTATCATTTTTTCTCATTTTTAGAAAAAAAGTTAAAAAAATGTAAATTATTTATACAATCATCTTTAAAAATAACATTTAATACATTTAAAGTTTAAATTTTAATATATATATTTTATTTTCATATTATTATTTTTTCAAAAACAAGAAAATTAGATGGTTAATAATAATAATAATAATAATAATAATAATAAGTCATGACATCTACATCTGTCCTACTCAGATTGTACTAATAAAGAATAAAACAGAGTTATTTAAAAATTCTAAGGCTAGATTAGTTTAATGAGAACCAATGGAAGAACGATGCCACGCCCACAGCCTAGAAAATGGAACGCCACTGGATAAGGCTTCCTTTTAAAGGTTTCTATTATTAATTTGTTTTAACCAATGTTTATGTGTTAGGTGTCCACTTATTAGTGTGGTGGATTTGCTTCGATTTAATAAAATCCATGATTCACTGTCATAATAGAATAGGTTTAGCATGTGTGAGACGTAGGTGCTCTATTCATTTATGTCACTAATCCTTTAAGATAAAAAAATTATATTTAATTATTAATATATTCCTATCATATAAAATATTAAATTTAAATATTTATATTATATTTTATAAAAAAAATTATATTATAATTTATATCAATATAAAAATATAAAATATATATTTTAAATTTATTAAATATATATAATTATTATTAAAATTTTAATTTATATTTTAAATTTTATTTTTTATCGTATTTATATTATATTATTAATTTATATTTTAAATTATTAAATTTACGTAAAAAGATTGGCTAAAGGACAAGAAGGCCTGGTCAGCTTTCAGCGCACACATATATGGAAAGCGCATGACATTAAAATTAAACCCCAAAGCACTAATCTTTACGTTGATTGGGTGACAATTGTTGTTAGCACCGCATGGCTCATGGTTCATGGAGGTTGAAAGAATTAAAAGATTGATTAATTAACAAAAACCCTTAACATTTATTAATTTGATTTACCTAAACCTACCACTTTTTAGATGTGTCATGGGATAGCTTTCAAAATCTTGGAAATAAAAAAAAAAAATGACATTGCATCTTTACACCATTAATGGACCTCACGCAAATTTGAGATGCCATAGCCACAGCCACACCATTGTCATTTGCCTCATAACTAATCTCTCTCCTCAGCCATATTGAAGAAACTGAAAATATAAGGAATAAGTGGGGGTATTCCGATTCGACTAATTTTGAATAGAATCAAATAAATTATTTTATTTTATTTTTATTAATTAAATTAAATTTATAAAATTTAAAAATTAATTGATTGAATTTAATTTAATCAGTTTAATTAATTAAATAATAAATATATTTAAATTAAATTAAAATTAAAATTTTTTATATTTTAAACAAATTAAATAACATTATCTAATAAAATGTTCAAATATCAAAGTATTATATTAAAAATTTTAATAACTTATTAAATAAAATAATTGCTTTAATGTATTTTTTATTTAATATTTGAATTTGAATTAGGTTATATTTTTGTTAAAATTTTGATTAATTCTATTAATTTGATTTGAAAACTAAAATTTTTTAAAAATTATTTTTGTTAATTAATCGAAATTAATTTGATAATTGATCAATTAATCAAATTCAATTAATTCAATCAATTACTTTGATTAAAATTGAATTATGAACATTCCTAAAAATAAGCCATCAAAATCTAAATGGAAAACTAGGTGATTGGAAAGAAACTTCATATCTGCAATATATTCATTCTACCCTTTGATCTTCTTAATGCAATCAACTTCTCTTCTTGAATTACTACTTAGTAAATATTGTTGTAACTTGTCAGGATTATAAAGGATATAATGAACTGAGCAACATAATTGCTACACTGCTAAAAAGCAGAAAACAATGCAACAAAGAAGAGCAAAACAGAAAGAAGAAATTAGCTGAAGAAGTCCTGATGAATAACCCCATCTTATTATTTGGCTTCTTTCATTTGCTTCATTTATCCACTTTCACTTTTGAGATTTCTAACTTTTTTTTTCCCTTCTCCATTGTTTCTTTTATCACTTTCTTTCTTCGTGATAAGACACTTGTACAAAGCCTGCTTGATGAGTAACAAACTTGAGAAATGAGGAGCCCGATGAGTTGGAAATTTGGAAAAGGCTACTTGGAAAGAAATGGACACCTAGAAAAAAGACATGAGAAATGTTATATATATGTAAATTGACTGAGGCATTGAGAAACCAATGGCATGGCAGTGGCGGTGCACAGGCGAAACGGGGTTGTACTGTGGCCGATGTGCCCGTGAAAGTATATATATTTGCATTTATTCTCTATCCCTAGGATTGATGGGGAAAAGAAGGAAAGGAAAAGAAAATAAAAGAAACTAATAGAAACAAAAAAATTATTATTTTTTTGGATAAATTTTTTATTTAAAATAAAAAAAAAGATGAAAACTTAATAATTTTTTGTTTCTTTTGTAATATTCATTTTTTTAATACTTTAATTTGGAAAAAAAGTTAAGAAAAAAAAGTTGAAAAAATTTTATTTTTATAAAAAGATTATTATATCTATATTTTTATTATAACATTAGATTTGATTAGATAACTTATATTTCTTATAAAAATAAATTTTTTATGAGTATTTTATATATAACATCACAGTTTATAAATATTTTATAATTTTTTAAATTTTAACAATAAAACAAATTATATTATTGTTAAAATAAATTAAAAGACTGAATTAAACATAAAATTAAAAGTAAATCAATAATTAAATAATATATTTTATCATATTAAACATACATAATTTTGTTTAAAAAGATTTGTTTATACAAATTAAGTAATATAAAAATATATTTATATGTTATATGTTATTTTATAAAAAAATATTATAATGAATTATTTGTTTTCTTTTTAATTTTTATCTAAATAATAATTTTTAATTTTTTTAATTAATTTTAATTATTTAAACAAAAAGTACATATATTTTTTTAAATACTTTTCTCTCTTTTTTTATTTATATATATCAAAAACGTAAAGTAAGCTAAAAGAACCCAACCAACAGTTATGGCCTAAAATATCTTAAATAATAAGACCCAAATTGAGCCTAAATTTTAGCCTAAAGACTAATAGAAATGGTCCAGTCGGAGACCCAAAGCTGACCCAACTAAGATCAGTCAGCTTATCCCAGCCAAAGCCTATTACTGAAAAGCAAAGCCTATAAAATATTTATTAAATCTGATAATGAAACATAACACGTTGGTACAAAAATTATATAAATAAAAAATATAAAAATAACATAACTTAAAATTTTAAAAAATTATAAATAAATTTAATAAAATCAAAAAATTATATTTTATATTTTCGATATAAATTATAAATTATAATTTTTATATAAAATATAATATAAATATAATATTTTATATGAAATAATAACACGAATTACCGGTTCTAACTCCCATGCTAACAAGCAGAAAAAACTTAACCCATGCACACCAATGGCTACTTGACTGTCTCTCTCAAGCTTCCTCTCCTTCCAATCCTCTTCCACCACCGCCCAAAGGCCCACCTGTCAACAGTCTTTCACTCTCTTCCCAAAAACCCAAAAACATTCTCCTTTCAGTGTCAGCTCAAGAGGATAAATCTTCTTCATTATCAACTGAACTGTCATCTGTTATATGCCCTTCTCTTGCATACGCAAATAACCTTTTCTTCAAATCAGCTTAGAATGTTCAGGTTATTGTGGATGACAATGAACCTGAAGAAAGGCTGCTTAACAGGTTTACAAGAAAGGCAGCTTAACTGCTTAACAAGTAGCTTTCTTTACTGAAGTGAGGTTATTTCATTTCAAGATCATGACAATAAATTTCAACTCAATCAATTTTCATCTGCTAATAATTTTTACTTTTTACCATATATATTTCATAAAATGATAAAAAAATAACTAAACCTTTTATGATCATTATTTTTAATATTTATATGAGCCATGGATTTCTATAATTGATAGTGAATTTGTGATTATTTGTAAATTTGTTGATTAATTAATGACAATTTATCGAGTAGAAAGGAAATATTAATAGAATTTGAGGTTAACATTACTCCTTTTTTATTTTTGTATTTTCAAAAGTCACAATTATTCAATCCTCTCAATTATCACAATAACAATGATAAATGATAATTATACAGATCATATTCAATAATGATTAAGTATAATTTAAAGTCCCAAATCTCCAAACAAAATGATTTCTCCAGGCTGGTAAAATTTGCCCAAGCTTCAATTCTTCAAAACAGGTAATAAAGCAGACAAGTGCTTAATAATGCAGTTGGCAGACGAAAGCTGGCAAAAGCTTGAAAAGTAGAAGCTGCAGAAGTTGAAGCTGAAGCCGGAGTAGAAGGTGCATTCCCGGCTACTGTTGTAATCTTCATCTTCATGCCCTGGTCACAATGGCCTAATGTTCCGCAAGCAAAGTAACGAGTGCCAACCTTGTTCAGTTTCACAACGTCATTGCCAGTGTTTTTGGAGTCCAATGCTGTTCCCAGGTCGCAGTTCTTGTAGGCAGTCTCGCTTCCAAGCTCAACTATACTGTGTAGCCCTGAAGAGTACTTGAAAACTGTAGGACAAATTTAAGTTTTTCAGCCGTATATCTTCATGCAAATGAAATGTGATTGCTTGGAATTTGAACCTTAATTATTGCAGATAACAGGGTTAAACTGATTGATTAATTAAGAGGAGAAAGAAACATACCAAGTTGGTCTCCAACCTTGAATGTTTGGTCTGAAGCCCACGAGTTAAGGTCCACATATTCATCCCAACCTTGGCTACCTCCAACCACATGTTGAGCTGCAGAGGCTTGTTTTGCTATCGATGCTAGCAGAAAGAGCAGAAAGAAAATTCTGGACTTACCCTTCATTAATCTCATTTCTTCACTCCCCTCTTGGCCTTGTTGAAATGTTGCTATTACTGCTTTGGTATATCATCTATATAAAAAAGCCATTCAGTGTTGTTGAAAGTCTCTATCAGAATTTATTCTTCCTCATTATACCATGAAATTTTGATCTACACTATTTATAAATCATTATAGTTTCACAAGACAGCTAGATATACCATATTGCCCTTCCAAGCACAGTTTAACACAATCCTTTAAGAACCTACTTTGATTTAAGACTTAACTATAGACTCTGTTGAAGAGAAAAAAACATATTTCTTCAATCTCATGTAATAGTTTAAACATAAGAATGCTGGTTGGGATGCCTGTAATTCTGAAACAAAAGAAGGGCAATGCTAATGGAATTTGACAATTACTGATTTAGGTTTTTGGATTGCCTGCAAAGCAAAATCTAGTTGGTTAAAGGTCATTAAAACTTGGCGTTTAAACAAAGCTATCATGGTGATCATTTTCAGTTGGGGGCTTACCTGGAAGCACAAATTTTGTATACAGAGATATCAGATGACATTTACAAGTAAAAGAAGCTGAAAACCTGTTTGTGATCATTATTTGGCATATCATTCATTAATATGGCTGATACAAAGAACTTTTTGGTTGAAAAATTAAAAATTACTGGGCCCTAGCAGGGTAGTCCCTTTATTGGTTACTTTTTATTTAATGCAAATGAATCCATAACTACCTTAATTTTTAATCTTGTCTTCTGAATCCCAAGTATGCTTTCATGAAGTTGACACATCATACTGTGTTCTGGGGAGTTTAATTTCTTTTGTCTGTTTCCAATTCGTCTGAAACTTGCAAAAAAGTGCACATAACTTGACATGGGAAACCTTATAAAAGCATTTGTGGTTTCTTATTTTGGTCAAAATACCTTACCAAATTGTCCAGACAGATTAGTTTACTATTTAAAATGGCATATTTCCAACAAAAGTAGAAATGATCATCAGAATAATATAGAAACTGCTTTTTCAGGTTTACTAAACAGATTGTTCTCCAGGCTAATTCAGTACATAATATCAATCAGCTCGCTCTGAACTGATTCTGTTGTGTTTAATGATTTATTATTGATCAAAGAGAAAAAGTTTACTAGTTCAATTACATAAACTGAGGCCTCTTTGAGGGATCATTGCTGATTTTTAAAGAACTGAATAATTTGATTGTACACAAAATCATTGGCGTTTATTCCCATAATGAAATCCGCATGAGCATAATCCTTGATGTACTGAATCATGAGCTTGTCTACATCATGGAACTTCAGACTATCAAGCAATAGCTGAACATCTCGAACATCAGAGAGTGCATCTTGGCCTCCATAGCTAATGAAAATAGGAAGGTCACGAGGAATGTTGGAGATGTTGTAAATTGGTGGTTTGGCTTCTCCATAACGCATCAGATTATAGTCTGGTCTCCCATAGTTGTATTTTGCAATCACCCCATCTCGAACAGCTGCAATTTTGTTTTGTGGAAGCCTTAAGGCACCATAAATCATTTTTCTCATTTATGATAATTGGGAGACTAGTCATTAGTTCTTCCTTGAATCCTTTAACATATCTAAACTAGTAATTTAAAACTGCTATATGAAGAGTTGGTTTTCATAGACTTACTCTGAGCCAAGTGCACCAAGTTTTTGGTTGCTGTGGATTGAGGCTCGTTCTCTATGCAAAGGTCAACCGTGGAAGAATTGAGACAGCAATTTTTACCTTGAATTACAATAGCAAAACGAAATCAGTCTCTTCTAAGGATTAATTCTATACATTAACTGCAGTGAGATGGTGAAAATTGTAATTGACGTTATAAGAAGATGCTTTTTAGTCTATTACAAGCAGTAGGATTCAAGAAATTGAGCATGGATCTGGTACCAGTAAGTTCACTTAATAGATCATAGCAATCAACTCCAGGATAATTGCACAAAGACTTGAGAAAGATTGAGGCCTGCTGTCTGTCAAGAGCAGAGAAAAACCATTAGATGAATCATTTCCAGTGGGGAAGTTCATCAGTTAAATATAACAATAGTTTAGCTAAAATGAGGTTCACTGTCTGATATTGTCTAAAAAGTAAAAACAGGTTTCCAGCTCTTGATTTTCACCCTTTTGGATTAAATTCTGCTACTCCAAACAATATAGTGATCTGTTGCCAAAACCATTGAAACCCTTTAAGCGATTAGTATTCTCTTAAGTTGAATTAATTGTTATTGATAATGAAGAAAATGTTTTTCACATACCTCACCAACAAAGGCTTTCGCAGCAACCACACCAAGTGCAGTATTCATGTGGCTTAAGTATGCAATTGGGCTTAGAAAGGCTGCTGATTTCAGCGTGTGTGCCTGATGGCCCTCTGAGAATGATGCCAAACCTATAAGAGTTCCCTGTCAACCAGATTGGACACATTACATTAAGGAAAATTAACTTTCCTTCCTCTCTTTCTTTTTCTTTCCTCACCATTTTCCCTTCCTACCAAACATAGTGTAAAAGTTTGTGAGTTTTTGTTAGCCCAAATGATCATTTGGATACAAGTCAGAGTTGGACCAATTAATCAAGATGAACTGAATTGGAATATCAAAAGTTTTAAACTCCTGACTACAAAAGAGTATTAATTAATTTGTTAAATGGTCTCTCACCTGGGAGTGGCCAATGTAATGAATTTTCTGCCCTGTCTGGTTGAACACAAAGTCAAAAACAGCTGGTAGATCATAACTCACCAATTCATCCCATGACCAATTCCAGAACTCCTGCCATATTATCAGTTTTAACAATCTGTTAATCACTGATGATGCATGACCAGCATCCAAATTAACTCCTATAATCAGCAACGGTACTTAAAACGGTCACAATTAAGAGAATTGTGTATTGTTCCCTTGAAATTTAATTAAGCATAACACAAATGTTGCATTACCCTCCAGTTCATATTCAAGTTTCCAGAGGTTTTTCTACCCTTGGTTTTTTCCATAATTTTATATACGGATCAAATTACATCAGTATTAAAACTAGGAAGGGAAAGAAGAAAACCGGCCGGCCAGGGTCAAGGGAAACATGCTTTCTGCAGAATCTAGTCCCTCTAGTGTTAGCAATCCACACATCAAAACCTTTATCAGCCAAAATCATTGGTAGATTTTGTTCTGGTGAATTCATGAGCCATGTCATTCCATCCTGAACCAAAAAAAAGCGATGTAAATTTAATTTTGAACATTTAGGATCACTGCATGAACAGACGAAATGTAAACAGACCAAAAATGCAGCCCCATATCAATGATGTTATTCTTCCGGCCTCGTGAAGAATAACAAACAGGAACAAAAGCCTAAATTATTATGCCTTGGAAATCTACATACCATACATAGTATCAATCGGCAAAAACAATCAAATTTAACCGACCGTATTAAAACTAAGCTAAATATAAAGACAAATGAAGATGTTATTGAGCGCATAAAAGATTCAAATGGTCAAAAATGAGTTGTCAGGATTTCCTGAAAGATACTTAGGCAGTGACTCACCACAAGAATACCATGCTGTATTAGTACAGGCTGCTTCTTGTTTCCACCAGTACTACTACTCCCACTGACACGTCCCTCTGGAATTCTTTGCATGTTAAGGATATAGCCATCTTGGGTTTTTAACTGAAATTCAATTCATGCAAATAACCAATTTCCATCAGTCCTCACTTCTCTGTCAAATTCCATGTTAGTAATTAGTAATGACATCAAAAACTCTGTACAAAACATATGACTATGTTGTTTGATGCTCTTACTTCATGTTCCAGGCATTTGTAACCATGGATAGTCACTAAGGTGGCGCATATTCCATTGACTGCTGAAGTGGCGGCACCATTGTTTCGGCCAAACGAACCACGGCTCTTGCCATATGCTCTATGAGGTTCGACCACCAAGACAAGGAGACAGAAGCACAACACAGCCAAACTCAACAAGCCAGGAGGAGCCATAACTTGAATGCTACGCTTTGGCTCTGTCTTTTAAGGATATGGAGATTAGAACCAACGGCTATATATAAAAAAAGAGAAAGAAAGAAGATGCACGAGCAGTGGGAAAACGAGTACTATTATACTATATATTACTTTATCGTTCTTGCTTTGGCTTCACTGACAACCAAGATTTCTTGGCCTAAAATACAGGAATGGGAGGAGGGGGCTTTTCACGGTATTTCCTGTGAGGAGGGATTGGAAAGTGGAACCCGAGATAGAGCTTTTTTCTGCTACTTCTTATCATCAACAAACTGGATATGGTGATCCATGAAAAATCATCATAGAAACTTTGTCACTGCTAATCCAGAAACTGATTGCAGTTTACAGTATGAAGCAGCAGGCAAGGTTTTAGCTTTTGTGAACTCGTGGAGGAGTCTTTCTGGGAAGTTATTTATAAGCTGAAGAATTTTTCGAATTTTTATTAATCCAATCAAATTTATTAATTTTAAAAATTAATTAAATTAATTTTTTTAATTAATCGAATAATAAATGTATTTAAATTAAATTAAATTTTAAATATTTTATATTTTAAATAAATTAAATAAAATTATTCAGTAAAATATTTAAATATTTAAATATTATGTTAAAAATTTTAACAATTTATAAAATTAAATAATTTATTTTATATTTTGATTATATTATATTTTGATTAAAATTTTTAAAAATTATTTTCGTTAATCAACTAAATTAATTAATTAATTAAAATCAAATTATGAAAACAACTTATATAAACAAACAAAGGGAAAATGTGTGGTTTCCATTATTACATGTCTTGGTGTCTGTCATGTATGTTCCACCTTACAGGGCGAGAAGCAATCAGGTTTAAAACCTACAAAGGGGGCAATAAAAAATTGTTAAAGTTTGATTCGTACAAACGAAGCTTAGCTCATGATGAATTATGCAATTATTTTAAAAAAAGTGATATTTAATAATTTTAAATTATATTTTAATATTTTAATTTTTTGTTTTATTTTTAAATTATAATTTAAAAAAATTGATTAATTTTAAAGTTAACAAGTGTATTATTTAAAATTTTGTTATAAAGTTAATAACGTCTGATTCTCTTGATCAATTAATCAATGTATATTTAACTGTTACATCATTATTAATAAATGTTAATATTTAAATTTTTTATTTTAAAATTAATTCGTATCAATTAAAAAAAGATTCATTCGATATTTTTATTGATATCCGTATCAATTAAGAAAGGATTCATTCTATATTTTTATTGATATCCTTTCATTTTAAAATTAAATATTTGATATTTAATTTATTTAAAATTATTAAATATAATTTACATCTATATAAAATTATTAAATAATTCATAATCATTTACATAAATTCTTTTCAAATTTTATATAAATTTTCATTAATTATCAATTATTTCACTAAAATCACATGTACAAAAAACTTAAGTATTCCTTTCCGTTAAAGCTTTCTCAATATTCCTTATCTTCTTACTTATTAAATCTTAAATATTTTTACTGACTTACAACGTGCATATAAAAAAATCAACTCCATCACTCTTTAATCGTATTTTTTGACTGCATATTTAGATTCTCTCAATCTCCAACCAGCTTTCATCCGGTTAAGACACTCAAAAAGTAGTATCAAGAAACTTGATCTTTGAGTAAAAATTTAAGACATTTTACTTTCACATTTCTGTCTCACAATCAAATTCTGAATTATTCGAATGCCGAAACTTCCCAAAACTCTAACCAGGGTCGATCTTTACCCACGAAGCAATTTTCTTTTTCCGTTTTTTTTTTTTTTTTGAACGTGACCCAATGTGAAAGGAACTCCGATCAGATTGAAAAAGATCACCTTTGCCAAAACCATCAAGCGGTATCCAAAGCAATGAAATGGGGTTGCGTGTGGATAAGCATCAATTCTTTTCAACTGGACTTTGTACCTTTCACATTGTCGCCCCATAGTTGGATTTTTAATCAGTAATTGCTCCAAACTAGTACTGATGTACTAGTATACATTTTTCCAAGCTGCTCTAAGATCAACGTCTAGGCTGACCAAGAAATAATTTCAGTAGGCAAAAATTTCTTTATCTTCCAACTGGCTCATATTCATGGGAGGCCCAAAGCTACCCTAGACAAGAAATCACATCAATATGACCATAGCTGCAGATTAAGGAAAAGAAAGTCAGCAAGTCATTCTGATATATTTACATATTTGGAGTATGGACCACCTTTGGGTACAAAAGAGGTCAGTCCGTTTCTTTCCTTTTTTCTCATCTTTGTTTTCAGTGGCTGTACTTTAGTACCTCAATTTCAAGAGAATGCTATGCTATTGCTAATTTCTTTCTTCAAGATGCAAATTACTTTATGTCAGTTAAAAGTTTAGGTTAATTTCATTAGCCATGCTTCTGGAACATGGGAAAGTTTAAAGCTGCAAATGCATGCACTGATATACATATTTATCGTGGTTGGTCAGGAATTCAGCAGCCTGCCGTGCGGCCTGGATTTCCATACTCCAACCAATGCTCGTTCCAGGTCAAACTTTTCTTCCTTCTGGGTTTTGTTGGATGGCATGATGATGTCAAGATGGACTCTTATCTCCGTATGTTTGACATTTGGCATTTTTCCTTTTGGTCCTAACAAGAGTTGGCTTCCATTGAGGGTCTGCATGTCATTACCCTAGTGGTGTTTAACCCACCTCATAAACTCCCCCAGCACCTCATCCTCTCAGGAGAGGCCGTCTACCATAAACCAAATGTTAAAGATTCATTAGAACAACCAATTACCATAACAAATACAGGAAACATCTATCAAAGTTTTGGCCTAATGACTCCCACCACAGGGATTGGTCTTCAAGGGCATTGTGGGCATAAATGTTTAAAAATGTAGCAGCACGTGATAACAGCAAGCTAAGGTAAAAAGGATAAAACTACGAGGACGGTCCTATAAACCAGATAAGCTACATATAATATCAGCAGTTACTATCATTCCAAATGAAAATGTAAAGCACGATGAAGATTTAAACAGCGTCGATTGCGCAGATAATGCCTCAATTGCTTAGCATATATATATATATATATATATATATATATATATTCATTACAAGGGTCATTTACTATTTTTCCTTTGATTCTTTTGCCTTTTTATTACAGAACACCTGTTATGTACTGACTTCCTGTTGAAAAGAAAATTTTCACCTTCCGGCTGATCGAGACAGTCAAATCCTAATAGGAGTTTCGCATCAAACATTTACCGGGATGCTTTTTACATGCCTTGAATCCAGAAATCCCATATATATCCAACCATGATCCAAATACTTCACTGATTCTGCCAAAAATTTGAAGTTTCTCGAGCATATGATCTCTGGAAGTCAAGATCCAGGCTTCTTTAACCTATGTGCTGGTAAGTTGATGGAAATTAAGGCTTATCATTTACAGCTATTGCAGAGCTCATCTTCTTCTTCCTCTCACTGAAACTACTGCATGAAACCAAGCTTGGAAGGCAACAATGCACGGATCTGAGTGGCTTCTCCTTAAGCATAGGGTTATCTCCATTAGCAGTCCTTTCACTACTGCAAAGGGAGCTAGCTCGAGAGACATAAGGGTTACCATCTGCACATGTTGAAGGTAGTTGGACTTGGATAGCTAGTTTGACTTCCATCTTTCCATTCACAATGTCCTGGTTGCTCGAGGTATTTAGCTCATTAACATCTTGGTCTTCCCTAATTCTCTCTCGGAATAGTTCAACCAGCTTCTTTCTCTTTCCTGTTGGGGATATTTCAGAAACTGACCCAGAGGACCCTTCCACAGTGGCTTTGTTAACTCGAGGTGTCACCACAGGGAAGCTATGATGAACAGGGGTATTACCGCGAGATGGAGTAAAATCTGCACAGAATGTACAACATATGGATGGGACAAGAATAATAGATGAAATAAAATGTGAATTTAACTAGAAAATGATTGGTGAATAGGAGAAAAAAAAAAAAAAAGGAAAATGGCAATGGAGGTAGCACAGTCATATTACAGCGGGACTAAACAGACGTGTTAATCTTTACTCGTATAACATCTAGTGCAACATTTCAAAACTATTGCAACTTAACAACCTAAATTAAATCATGAAACTTTATCCATGGCCCTTGCATGTTCAAAAAACTAAATTAATTGAGAAGATGAAAAACTATGAGTGGAGTAGGACACACCAAAAAAGAAATTAACAGATATGTCAATTATATAAGGTTGCTGCTCAAATTAATTCAAACAGTTCTAATATTCTTACCACCATTGACGCTGAAGAAATCGTCCTCACAATCTGAATCTAGATATGGTCGGGAATCAAAAAAAGTTTCATCTTTACTACCTGCAAAATGAAAAATCGTTTCGGCTTACGGTATTTAGTTAGCCAAAAAGGAGGGAATTAATGAATGAACCGAACTACATCTACATACTTATCATAGACTACAAATTGGAACTACATCAACTTGATGTTGAACATTACTATCGTACAATAATAGACCAATCTTTTAATTTCAGTCACGAAATAGCAAAGATCTGACATCTAGGGAGAAGCAGTCAAGTAAAAAACACAATTTTCAGAAACTGCTGCATCCAAGTCCTCAATATGATCTCAATGACATACCACATAAAAATGGTTCATTTCTACAGAAGTCCTACCCCACGACATAACTGAATGTCAATTTTAAAGGAGCTATTTATGCGATTCATCAATCCAAAAAGGATTGACCTATCATTCAGAATCATCAAAGCAGCAAACTTTATGTTCCCCCTGTTGGGATGAGCTAAATCAACATTGATAGGTATATGATGTACCAAGCAACCGGCCACCCATAGAAAAATGCTTCACGGTTAACAAGGATGTCATCTATTTGATATTCTACATACATAACATCACCAACAGTAGTTCTGTGATTCATGGCTAAGTGTATTGTATTGAACATAAATACTACAGTTGTAAGGACCACATAAATTCTACATGTACTAAGGACCACAACATAATCAACAAGTTGTCTTTCTTGGGGTTTCCATATCCATCTTAATGTCAAATTATTGACATTAATACCATAAAAAAAAAAAAAAACTCGCTTAAAAGTGTTTGCCCCTCCATACTATTTAAGAGCGGCCCATCCATCGACTAGCTTCCCATCAAGGACTGATAAATCTACCACAGGATGTAATGTTCTTAATGTGGACATAAAAAAAATGGGTCCCCACAAAGGTGTATTCTTTCAAAAATCAGACATTTTCTAAACAGCCGGCTTAGGATAAATACAGGAAGAAGATTGTTAATTGCTGACAAGTCTTTGTATATTCCAAATTGGACAGTTAGACATTAAAGAAGGCGTTCAATCAGTCTGAAGTTAGATTCTCAACTTCAATGCCAGATTTTTGAAAAATCAGCTTCATCTCATCTTATGCTAAAATTCTTAACTAACAATGTTTTCGTTTAGACCAGCAATTTTACATTCGCCTTGCAGTTCCAAAATGACTTTTCTTGCAAGACGGGGGGAAAACCAAAGAATAGCTACTTTTTTGTACAATTCTCATCTTCAATTGGAAGAAGGGGAAATTGCATTTAGCAGTAACCATCTAATCAAACAGTGTTATGTTAACAAAAAGAACAAAATAAATGAATTAATAAGCAAATTAAATCTACAACCATGGAGGGGAGGGGGAAGTCGAAGAGTCTAAATCATCTAAGAAAGAGAAGGAAGTCCTAAATTTAAGCTAAGGTAGAAGAACTTGTACTAAAATAATAGTGAAAACGCTCTGAAATTTACCCAAAAAAGCCATACTGGATTGTGCTAAGAAACCATAACATGGGGAGAAAAAAAACCACAATTTGAAAAACAAAAAGAAAAAGCCACCATGTTTATCTCACAATCAACAGAGCTAAAAACAATTTTATTAGGCATGTCATTCATAGCAGACATTGAAAAATAACCATAAAAATCAATAATTGGGAGCATCATCATTCATCAAAACAAATATATGTACTAATTTTTTCTATAAAAAATACAGACTGCTTGATATCAAGATCAACATGTTGGTGGTAAAAAAATAAAAACCTTGACAAATCACATACCCGTTTCAGATCTCATATCATCAAAACAAAACATCATCCCAAAACAAAAACAGAAACAGAGAAAAAAAAAAAAAGCAAAAGGAAGAGAATTTTACACTCCATTGAAGATAAAAAGTGAGAACAAGAAAAAATAAAAAAGAAGAGTATCTTTATTTCATAACCAGGAACAGTAATTCCAACAAGGTTTTTTTTTTTTTCTCCAAAAACAAAAACCCACAAAGAAAATGAAAGGGAAGACCATTTGCCTAAATCATTAAAAGTAGAGTGAATTTGAGATTTGAGAGTAAAGTCACCATTGGCAACATGTTTCTCCTTAACAGGTGAAGGTGGAAAGATGAGCTTATCTGTTTTAGACCCAAAAGAAAGTCCAAGTTTCATGGCTGACTCTTGAGAGCTCTCATGCACTGATACACATGAACCCATCTCTCTCTCTTCTTTCTTTTTATTCCTCTATCTCCAACTCTTTAGAACCACAACATCAGCCACTCTCAAAGCAACAAAAAAAGGATGAAACTTTCTTGTTCTTTCTCTGCAACCCAAAAGGCATAAGTAAAAGAAAATGGGAGAGAGAAAGAGAGAGTAATTTGGCGTTACGTTAGAGAGATAGAGACAGAGAAGTTGGCCTTGAATTGAAAGGGAAGTTAGCACAGCAAATAGCAAGCCAAGCTGTGCATGAAAAGTATTTTTAATGCTTGTCAATTGTGTAAAAGCTTCTCTTTTTTCCTTTCTAGTATGATTTTTAATGTAAGAAAATGTTAATAAATGTTTAAGAATTATTAGGATAATATTTTTTAAAAAAAATTAACATTTTTTATTCTCTTGAATTTAGTAGAAAAATACATTAAATGTGATTTTTTTAAAAATAATATCACAATTATCTATAATTAGTTCATGTATTTTAAATTTTGAGTTCTTATTTTATTGATTTTCACAGGTAATATAGAATAGAATAACTAAAGTATAATCTAAACAAATATATGGACAGTTCATCTCTCTCAAATCATATGTTTAATCATTGTTCCTTTCTCTACTTTGCTTATTGTAAAGGATGATTAATTAATTTGTAACAAATATAAATGTGTTTCCATATACTATATTTGTTAAAAAAAAAAAAAAAAACATAGACATTTGGTTCCACCTTGGCTTTGCATAGGATTCAAAAACAACAACCATATCACAAGATTCTACCAATTAAAAAATTATCATCCCAACACTTTTTTCTACTTTCCAAATTACTGATTCATGGTTCTTTATTGTGCATGAAAAGGAGAAAAATAATGTGAAAATAAAAAATTGGGATTCAAATTTTGTATTTCATGCCTTTTGCTACCAAGAATATTTACTTTATATTATTTGTTGGATTTAGGTTTGAATTTGGTAAAAATCTTTATATATATAAAAAAATTATATGTGATGTACTATCAATATATAAATTTTATATATTATCAATAAATTAGATAATATCATTTCATTAATGAAATGAGTAAAATGATGTCACTTCATTAATGAATAAATTTTTTAAAAATATTAATTTTATATATTTATTTTAAAAATTGATATTTATTCATTAATAAAGTTATATTATATAATTTATTGACAATGTATAAAATTTATATATTGATAATATATCAAATAAAATTTTAAAAAATTACGTTTTATTGGTTTATATCGATGATTTAAATGACAAAATAAGAGCACAAAAGATTTAAAAATTTCTTTTTTATCTTCACCAACAAATGATGAATCAAACAAGAAAAACAGTTATTCTCAGTTCAACAATTATAAAGCTGTTGACACAAATTAAAAATAGGATAGTGAAGAACTTCACCAACTAAAATGGAAATAAGATTATATTTAAAATTATTATAATTTTATTTTTATTATACAAATTAAAAATTTAATATTTTATCGATAAATCATATATATATATATGTTGACGAATGCATTAACGACTTTAGGAATGCTTACATATACGTAATTATTTCGTAAAAATCATAATATAATTTGGTCCTTTAAATTATGATCTCAATGGAAAAAGACAAAGTTAAAATTATGAATGTAAGAAAATTATTTGAAATATTAAAAGTAAAATGATAGAATTTAAAAGTGTAAGCTCACTTTCTAGGATTATAATATCAGGTGGTTAAAACATTTACAATGGGAAAAGTAAAAATAATAGTTCTATCTAATATCAATAGGAAACAATCAAAACAAATTAAAATAAATATTAAAATACACACAGAAAAGTCCTATGAAACCTGTTTGTTAGAGTCCAAGGATGATTAGCAATCAGTTTATTAGTGGGACTGGAAGAAGTACAGCTGCAGATGAAGATGAAGATTACACCTTAAGCTCTGGTTTGACAGAAATCCTACAGCTGTGGGATTGCTTGCAAATCCCCATATTTTGCATTGAAAATGATGGAAAATTGGTATACATGGACAGATCAATTCATGATATCATAGCCCATGAGTATCATGATTCACCCTATCATCTTATCCACAATTTAAAATTGTGGCTACCTACTTTTACAATTTACCTAATAATTATGACTTTTCGATTATCAAATAACCCATATGCAAACAACCTGGTCAAATTGTCCCTTTCATGTTTATTATAACATGAGTACATGACTCCACATGAAAATGTTATAAATTTGACTAGGTTATTCTATTTTTATCCCCTTCAAGTTTAGATAATTTTTTTTATCATTGAGATTGAAGTCTTTCTAAATTATAATCAATTTTAAAACATGATATTCAATAAATTTAAATTTAATTTTTTTTAATTTTTAAATTATAATTTTTTTTTTATAATTAATTCACAAGAAGTTAATTAGTTATGTGTAATCACAATATTTTAACAAAAAGATCATTTTAAATTAGGGTTGATATAATTACCTGAGAAGAGATATATTGCATGGTAGAAGTGTCAAGAACACATGGGCTGCGAAGGGGACAAATGGTAAGACGATTCCAAATTCCGAAAGAAGCAAATGTGGAATAAGAACCACCAAAGTTGCCTATGGCTATAATGCTCCAAAAACAGACAAGTTTTATTCACCAATAGCATTAATAAAATTCTAATCAAAATAAAATATATTTCTCTTGTCTATATCCTTTTCCCTTGCCTTGTCTTTATCTGGCGATTTGAGCCTCACATTCACAGAAATTATCATATCTTGGAAGGAATTTCGAATATTAATCAATCAAGCTTTGAATCATGAATTATGGAGAAAATTCATAAGAGTGATTTTTATTTCTATTTTTTGATTTGTTTTTGGCTTGATTTTCAAGGATAAATCATGTGATATTTGTCTCAATGATTCACTAAAATTCTTTGATTAATGGTTTAAACAAATCCCACTCTCAAGTCACAACACAGAATCTAATTACTTTTTTTTTTCTTGGTTCTTAATCTTACAAGTTGTAGAAAATAGTAGGCAATATGTGTTTTCTTTCTCAGGCCCAAGACTGCAAAGCCACTTTTCTCCCCACCCAAACAATAAGAAAAGGCGAAAGCCCCAATGACAAGAGAAACATTTAACAGGTTCAACATGCCTAAATTTGGGTTCTAATGTTTTCATTCATAGGCCCAATTTAGAAACTCCAGTTTCCTCCCCACCCAATGACCTAAACAAACAATAAGAAAAGCCCAATCACTTAACTTTGCAAACCTCCTGCCCTTCACCGGCTATGTAAATCAGCCCAAGATCTGTGAGAGCTTTTGCAAACCTCTGGTAAAGGCATGAACAACAAGTCTGTGAATAATCTATTAAAGGATCCAAAATAGCCACTGTTAGTTCTATTTTTGAGCTATTTCAAAATGTTCAGCAGTCCTTGGCTCTTAGCCTCTTGTCTCTCGATAATGGTAGCCAGTGGGATCCTCTACATGTGTAATAAAGAAACTCTATTGAAATAAAGAAGCCAGGTTTCTACTTTATAAAGCTATGCAGCTATGGTTGTAACATATATACATATATATATATAAATATATATATGTACATATATATTGAGGACATGAATACACATATATACATATATATAAAAGAAGGAGAAGTATATATATATCACGACATCATGACTCTAAATTCATGAAAATTGAGGTCTCCATCACCATCAAGATCAAACAGAGCAATCATCAATTTGCATTCCTCTAAAGTCCTGGACTCACCTAATCTACTAAGCATCCTCTTCAAACTCTTTGGTGTGATACATCCACAACCATCCATCTCATACAGCTTGAAAGCCTCTTTCAAATCATTCAGTTTCTCTTCCTCTCCAACTTCTTCCATAAACCTAATGAAATCTTCCAACCCCAACAAGCCATCTCCATCCGTATCCAAGGCCTGAACCACCTCCTCCGCCTCTACAAGAGACAGCTCCCCTCCTACCGCCTTCACGCACTGTTGAAGCTTCGCCGGCGATATCTTCCCATCTCCATTCTCATCAAAATGATTAAATACCCTCTCATATTCATGGCTTTTGTTCATTATATGAATGAAAATGAAGCTATAAGAAACAAGATGGAGCTAGTGTCATGTGAACACACTGTGACACTAGCTTCAGCTTCACAAAGCATAAGACTTGAATCCCAAAATATAGAGTTGCCAATTGCCATAAACACAAAACAAAAGCCGAAAATTTTGACTTTTCTCTATCAAAAGCGATAACGCTGAGAATTGGAAACTCCGTGGAAATGAAGCAAAGGTTTAACGTGACACCTCGTTCATGGAGATTTGGAGGATTGTTGTGATAATAAGTAAATGTTTAAATTTAAATTTTTGAGATATTTTTTCTTAAGATAAAATTATAAAATTTTTATATTAAAATAAATAATATCTCATAAATTTGATATAAATTTTTATAATCAATTGAATGAGAATTAAATATTTTATTCTAAGAGTCATATTTAAAATTTTTTAAAAATTAAATGTTACATGATAAGAGATATATTTAAAATTTTAATAATTGATGTAATTTTGATATTATAATTTTATATTTTATGTTTATTTTATGTTAGATTTAATGTCATATATATATATAAATTAAATTCAAATTTATAAGATATTTTTATAAAATAAAATAATAAAAATTTTGAATCAGATAATATGTTGGAGTCTAAGCCCATTTAAAATAAAATCAGACAGCGTGAGTCCGCAGGGATGAGGTGACCAGCACGTAACTCGTCTTTGGGTTTTTTTATTTTTGGTTAAATTGAGAAGACTTTGACCCTTCAACTCCATGCATGGGCCATGCAGAGGGGACAATACAGAGTAAAGCCGGTAAAGACAATGGAATCAAGGGAACAAACGACCGCATTCATCAGATTCTTTTATAGGCATCGACCAAAACCGACGATTTCAACGGATTTAACGCCCAACCATCAAACCAGAACTGTCGCAAGAACCTAAATAAATAAAGACGTGTAATAACCAACAAAGGGAGCGATAGGAAGCTTCTTTTTGTTGATTTATTATTATTTTTTTGTTGACTTATATATGCTTTCAACAACCAATAATTGCTTAGTTATTTATATATGTATAAAACGATATGAGTTAAAATTTAATAATTCATTAAAAGACAAACAATTAATTATTAAAAATTATAGAATTTGACACCTAATTAATATTCTAGTTACTAATTAAGAAATATTAATTTATATGCTCGTACATTTAAAAAAAATATGAAGCTACTAAAAAATTAAACATGCGAATTTAATTTTAACTTCACATTAAATATTCTAACATAATTAATTGTGAGTGATAAAATATTATTTTACCTATCAATAAATTACAATATTATAAACTATTGTTGAATGCAATAATTAATTATATTTATTTATTTATAAGTGATTCATCAAATAATTTTTAAAAACCAAAATTTGAACCCTTAAAATATCCCAATTTCATGTGGGATGTTTTAAGAGATTTTTTATATAATATATATGCAAAGATTTAAATTTATATGTATATTTTTTTAGATAAAATTATGAGAGCTTGAGATCGAAGTGAATAATAATTTACAATTTGGATGCAATCTCCATATTTGATATTAAAATTGAAATTGTCTTTTATTGATGTTCCATGATTTTTTTTTTAATGTTAAAAAAGTAAAAAGTTTGTGAAAAATAATTTTGAAATATAGAAAAAATGAAAGTTTTAAGTGTTAAAAAAACATAGTTTAAGGATAGTTCGAAAAAGAAATATGGAAAAAAAATTGATAGGAGTTTTTCTTTTTCACATTTATCTTTTTAATTTGTTTCAATTTTTCTCTTGATTTCAGTTAGTTTTACTTTCATTAATAACAAATGATTTTATTTTATTTATTTGTTTATTTCATTTTTTAAAAAAATCACTTACTTTAATAAAGTTGATTCTTTTATTTTTTATATTTATTAACAATTAATTAAAATATTATCAAATCAATTTTTTTTGCATCTAACATTTTAGCATAAAATTTGTCAAATATTAATGTACCTTCTCTTCACAATAGTACTTTTAGAATTAATAATTCTATTTAATTAAAACAATACTTTGGGTCAAACAGGCAACGTAGATAAGGATTTTACAACATAGAATAATATATTAGTATTTTTACACACCAAACAATTAATAAGAAGCACTTCAAAATTAAAGATATTAGGTAGTTCATCTGAAATTTGAGCAGCAAACAATCCTATTTGAAGCTTTGCCAGAGGGTAAGAATAAACATGATAATGGCATAAATTTGAGCAGCAATAGCCCATGGCTTGGAGAAATAGTTATGAACATAAGCAGAGCGCCATTTGGGCCACCATTGTTGGCAATGATGATTTAGATTAACGCAAAGTTCAGAATAATAGAACTCTTTCACATAAGTGTCATTGTAAAGCTTGTTGAAAAACTGTGTTGCATCCTCAGGGCTCAACCAGTTGTCAAAAATATCTTTCTTGCATAATATTTCCATGTCATTGGTGGTGTCAATCAGATTGTCCATGATCTTGGCGTATGAAGTGAATATGGGTTTACAATTTGGTAAACATTGCTCGTAGCTGATGAGGTTTCGGAAGATGGTTTCTGTTGTCTCTTGAATCAGCAAAGATGGGATTTCAAGAACACCATTTCTAAACTTCATATCCAAAATGCTATCCACAGTGACTCTAACAAATTTCACCCCAGCCTCTTTGAGTCTAGTGGCAGAAGGGATTGGTTGCCATTCCAATTTTTGTCGATCGTTGTTTACTACTTCGGATGGTAAAACCAACGACAACCTTAGCAGATCAAGGATGTGCTTGACCTCCTGACCCACAAAAAGGTCAAGGTTTAAAGAAGGACGATTAGATGAGAACGTGTTGGCCAAAAAATTAAGGGCAAGTTCAATCAGGGATTTGGTTTCAAAAGAGGCCTTGGTTTTGTTGAACAACAGCTCCAATACCAACCAAGGTATCTGGTTTTCTAGCAAAATCAAGTCATGATGAAGAAACTGGAGCATACAAGACATTGAAAAAATTGGGTCATCATCCTCTCTTGGCACCACATTAGCATCCTTTCGAAATAGCTCAATGATGAAGCAACCATCAACCACCAACATTTCTACAAAATTTTTGGCCTCTACCATATTCTGATCAATGATTCCTGCATAACAGTCACGAGCTTTTCTCTCTTCCTCCTTGATGGAATCAAGGCATTCCCTTAACATTGCCTGTTGATTACCTGATCTGGAGAGGAGGCCTCGTAAATACTTGAGTTTGATTTTCTCTGTTACTTTCAAGTTTGGTTGGTCATGGTGAAAAGGCCCAAAGGAAAAACAATTGGGACTATAGGCTTCTTTTTTGTGCCTGGCGAGTATGCTTGGTGTTCTAAAGATACAATGATCAGCTGATAAAGAAAGTTGATGGCTATTGATCTTATTCTCCATGGAAGATGCCACCAATTCAATATCAATCACAGCGGCGTCATATCTTCCACCCTGTGCCATATTACTGATCTTGATCTTGCTTTTGCTAATTTTTTTTTCTTTCCTATGTGTAGCTGCAATTCCTTCAATATATATTGTGTTTCATTAAAAAAAATGAGGATAGGAAACTAAATAAGATGTAAAGAAAGAATGTTGCGGTAATTATGCTGAGATTTATGTGTCTGAGTACTAATTAATTTCCTAACTATAAACATATCCTAAAATTGGAAGAAACAACCATTAAGATAATTTTTGGGCTTTTATTTTTATAATTGTAAAATGTTGGTCAAATGGTCTGGCTTAATTAGAATTGCATTAATTTGTATCTTTTTTGAAGTCAATAGCAATGGTTTAAATTAACCACTACCTTCAATAAAATACTGAGTAAGCATAATATAAATAAGGTTTCTGCCTGCCAACTTCAAATGCTTATATATACTTACAGGATCACCTAGTTGCTTTTCGATTATCTTCGAGTGCTTCTCTCCCCTTAAAACCTGCAAATTATAGTAAAAATAATTAAGAATTGATAGATCAGTCCAAGGAATAATTATGAAATTTTGCTGTCAGAAGAAACATAGTAAGAGAAGTAGATTACTAGAAATCATATGATCTCAGAAATAAGGGTTTACACCCCCGGAAGTGTTGAATGATCAGAATTATATCTCAAACTGATTTAAGTGGGTTCTTTCTTTCTTTCTTTTGTAAGATTTAAGTAGTTCTTTACTTACTCAAAGAATATATAGCATGCATTCTTTATCATTATCCAAAACCTTAATTTAACATTATCCAACATTCTTTATCATCATGATGCAAGTCTTTTGCAATCATTGGTAGGGAAGTTGATGTGTCATCTGAAATTTTAGAATAAAGGTAGAAAGAATTAAAAAATAAAAGGAACAAGTTATAAGAGAGCTTCTATCTCCCAGGGAATTCAATTCATGACCCTTTGCTTCAAGGTGAGAAAAGGTACTGAATTGATTAATTAATATTTATCCAACTTGACAAAACATGTGAAGTTGTAATGGTTCTTTTTCTGCAAGTGTTCTTAATTTTTCATTTTTTTGGGATGCACTTTTATATTTTTGAGCCATTGCTTTTCTAGATAGTCATTCCATATTCTATAACTGTCTTTTCTTAACCTGAAACGTTTTTCACGATTCAGGTATTTGTTAATGTCAATAGTTTGTTTCCCACCCTTAATCATGATTCATATATAATGGTTGTGATCAATTCAAGGTTCGAATTTCTCATTTCTCTTGACTTTGTTTAAAATCCAATGAGTCAGCCGACCAAAGAGAATCATACAGACATTCAAGATAGTTCAAATTGGTTCTATGTAAATCCAAGACAAAATGGGTTCATTTTTAGATTTTGTTTTGTCCTATTGTTGGGAGCTCTTGTTATGGAATATAGAAGAGGATGAAGCAATTGAATTCTGGAAAGCTTTTAATTTGATCTTAGAAACCTTTATGGGACTTCTGGAATGAATAAAAGTAATTACTTTGACAGAAAGAATATATAAAATTTTCTTGGTGACCAAAATTAAGAACAGGGTTGAATTATATGTCCAAATTAATTTTTTCAAAAATAAAAAGCAAAATCGTATGCTTTGTTAGTTATTATTATTTCATTATCCAAAGTTCAAAATCTCTTCAATTCTTGTCAATTAGTGACAGGGGAACATGAGCTTAGTTATTTGGGCATATAAGGAAGCGTTTGGATGCAGCATGTGCTTAGTTATTATACCTCTTCTCCTTTTGACTAATTAATATATGAAAACAAACAACTGAGTTAAATTAAAAAATAACTGCTTGATTTTTTGTTTCTAGAAAAGATAGACACATTTTTTGGGCCAAATGAAGGGACTATAAATCAACCTTTTGGGATGTAGGTTTGCCACACCGTGAGGAAAAACATGATAACAGCATAAATTTGAGCAGCAATAGCCCAGGGCTTGGTGAAATAGTTTTGTACATAGTAAGCACGCCATCTAGGCCACCACCATTTGCAATGACGATTCAGGTCATCACAAAGTTGAGAATAAAAGAATTCCTTGATATAAGTGTCATTGTAAAGCTTATTGAAAAATTGGGTTGAATCTTCAGGACTCAACCAGTTATCCAAAATTTCCCTCTTGCATAGTATTTCCATGTCATTAGTGGTGTCGATGAGGTTATCCAAGAGCTTGGCGTAGCAAGTGAAAATAGGTGGACAATTTGGCAAACATTGCTCGTACGCGATCAGGTTCCTTAAGATTGTTTCGGTCGTCTCTTGGATTAGCAATGATGGAATTTCGAGGGAACCGTCTCTAAATTTGATATCCAGGATGCTATGTGGTGCAACTTTCACGAATTTTACACCTGCCTCTTTGAGTCTAGTGACAGAAGGAATTGGTTGCCATCCAGATGTTGGATTGTTTTTTATTTCTTCGGATGGTAACACCAAGGATAACCTTAACAAATCAAGAATATGCTTGATATCTTTGCCGTTGAAGAGACTTGTTTCTATACCAGGTGGATAAGACGTGAACGTGTTAGCAAAGAAAAGAAGGGCCAGTTCAATTAGGGACTTGGTTTCAGAAGGGAGCTTGGTTAGTTCAAACAAGGTTTGAAGTACTAACCAGGGTATTTGGTTTTCTAGCAAAATCAAGTCATGGTGCAGAAATTGGAGCATACAAGACATGGAGAAAATTGGGTCATCCTGCTCTTTGGTGATCTCTTCAGCGTCCTTTCGGAATAGCTCAATAATGAAGACACCATCAAGCACCATTGTTTTTACGAATTCATCACCTGCATAATCATGTCCTGCATAGCAAGCACTAGCCTGTTTCTCAATCAACTTGACAGCATTAACCAAACCAGTTAAAATATTCTCCATGGCTTCGTCGGACATTGCCTCTGATCGATTTGTAACTACTCTGGACAGGAGACCTTTCAAGTACTTGATTTTGATTTTTTCTGTGGCTAACAATTTTTTTCTGCCATGATGCATTGGACCAAAGGAAAAGCAATTGGGGAGAAATGAGCTTTCTCTGTGCCTGAAGAGTATGCTTGGCGTTTTGAAGATGCAATAGCTTGGTGGCATGGACAGACGAGCATTCATCAATTCAACTTTCAGAGAAGATACCAGTGATTCAACATTAATTACAACAGTACTGTCATCTGCTCTTCCACTCTCTGCAGCCATTATTCTAATCTTGCTTTCTTTTCATCTGTTTTTTTTTTTTTTTCAATAATTGGGCAAAATTATTTTTGAGAATTTTCATTTTTAAAAAGCATAAAAAGATGTAGAGAATTTAGAATTTACTTGCACATAAAGAAAAGAATGTGTAAACGATTGGCCATTGATATCATCATATAAATTTCTTTGGGAACTTTTTATTAAACAACAATGTGATGGAAAATGTGAAATTTTAATGAAATTCAACAAAATCCACTTTCACTTTCTCTGTCACTCATCCAATGATTAATCATAACAGTAAACGATTTTAATTTTCTAAGTGGAGGAAAGTATTAATAAAATACACAATTCAAATGGCGCAAGCAGTAAAAAAACCACGTACCAAATTCAAAAGTAATTAGTTCAAGTGCCAGGCCAACACCTATAGCTGGGTTAAGTCTGTAGTTTCAATCTTGAATTGCTACCTGCTCTCTCAGCAACCTGCAAAAAATTAACAACTTTTACAGATCCAATAATTGGCAAAGACCGGATTTCGAATGGAAAGTTTGTGAATTACTCTAAAAATTCTCAAATTTTCTGGAACGAAGCTTTGATCTGAAGAAGCTAGTTACTTGTATCTATCATGATTTGTGGCCAGACTATTTTGGCTACTCGTTTAATTTATACAAACCACAAAGTCTGGAGAGAAGACACTACACAGCTTTTATTTTAATAAAATGGCAGCATAAAGCTGCAGAATGCACAGTGATTTGCTTTCATGCACACAGATTAAGAATTGATACATATATATGGAATGAGGAAGGAATCCCTTAAACCTGGGCTGGAAGGAACCCCTTGCTTGTTAATATTAGTACTCATCCCTTGCTTCAGGATATGAAAAGTGGTAAACATATATTTAACTATGTGTCTCTCAAGCTGGCAGACTGGCAGTCATTCGTTCAAATTCGGGATTTCAACTTTACAAAACACACACACACACACTATATATATATATATATATATATATATATATATATATATATGTGATCTGTTATGGCCTTCAATTCAGGGGCTTCCCATTTTAATATTCAATTTCATACTTTTCAAAGACTTAATCAGAGGTGTGGTATATATACGTTATTGTATCAATCTGTTTGCTTCCCCACTGTGTGTCAGAGAGAATGTTTTGTCCTCTGCTTGCAATTCTCATGATTCTTCCTTTCTTGCAGAGCAATCACTTGCATTGTTGGTGGGTGATCATTTGATACTCGATTTAATTTGTTAGCTCTTCATGGTTAATCTTCACAATTCAAGCAATGAGACATACATTTCATTATTAAGGTTAATGCACAGTTCTTTGATTTGGTAATTAATTTATGGCATAAGATATGTGATAGGCCGATGTTCATTCTTGAATCCAACAACTTAAACTTTCACATTTGACATAACACATAAATTATAACATCACATAGAAAGAAACCACCCAACAGTTATAGCCTTACAGGTTAGCTGAAAATTCTGATTACGTGCTTCAATTGAAGATTTATATTTTTATTAATTACATCCGTGCTATTCGGATGAAATGATAAAAACCATGATGTCAAAAAAAAAAAAAAAAAAACCAAGAAATAGCCCTTGTGAGTTTTTATTATGTATGATTACACGTGCTTGCACTTTTCTCTGAGTTGGAATGGGAAGTTCTTATCTAATAATGGAGAATACAGTTTGTAAAACGGTGAGAGTCAAAATAATAACGGCAAACCTTTGAGAACAAAGCCAAGGCTTGCCAAAAATATTATGCATAGTAGAAAGCACGCAATTTGGCCACCACCATGGCAATAACTAATTCACTTGGTTTCGGCAAAGTTCATAGATCAATTGGAATTCCTTAAATTAAAGTATCATTATAAAGCTTGTTGAAGAATTGTGTTGATCGTCTGGTTCAACCACGTTATCTATGATAATCTTTCTTTTGCATAGGATCTCATGTCGTTGGGTGGTGTCAATGAGGTTATCTAGGAGTTTAGCATAAGAGTGAGTTGCGGAGGGCAGATTCGATAACCATTGCTCGAAGCTGATGAGATTTCGGAAGAGGGCTTCTTCGTCTCCTTGAATCTAGCAAGAAGGGATTTGAAGGCACTATTGCTAATTTTATATCAATACTTTTGTGATTCACTTTCCTTGAAGTCAACTCCAGCCTCTTAAGTCTAGTGGCAGAAGGAATTGGTTGCCATCCTAATTTTGGCTCCTCGTACCATCTTCAGATGCTAGAACCAAAGACATTCTTAAGAGATCAAGAATATGTTTAATCTCTATATTGGTGAAAAGATTTAGGTCTATGGAAGGTGTATCTGATGAAAACATGTTGCCAAAGAAGTCAATGGCAAGTTGAGTTAAGGACTTGTTTTCATTAGAGCCTCTAGTCAGGTTGAACAAGCACTCAAGCACCAACCAAGGTAGCTGGTTTTCTAGCAAAATCAGATCATGATATAGAAACTGGAGCATACAAGACATGGTGAATATGGGATCATCTGGGTCTTGTTGTACCTCTTTAGCATCCTTGCGAAACAATTCAATAACAAAGCAACCATCAAGCACCAAAATTTTTACAAATTCTTCCTCGCTTAATTCAATTGCCCCACCATAACATTCACGAGCCTCCTGCTTGATCTCTTCGATAGCTTCCTCCAGCTCTGTCAATCGTGACATTGGATTTGGGGAACGGTGAATGAGGCCTTCAAGATACTTCAGTTTGATTTTTTGTGTGCTTTTCAAGTGTGTTTTGCCATAGTGCCAGGGCCCGATCGAGAATGCATCAGGAACATAAGCCCGTTTATTATGCCGAAAGAGTATGATTGGGGTTTTGAAGATGCAACACTTCCTAGACATGAAAAAATCATCGGATTCCATTGTTTCATAAGATGATATCAACTGTTGGACATCAAGTTGAATGTGTTCTTCCCCATCCCTTGTCATCATTCTCCTCACTAGAAAATAAAATCGAAATTAAGAAGAAAAAAAGAATTAATCATTTCTTTAAGTATGGTATTGGTGAGAAAATTAGTACACGAGCACATCTGTAACCTGGCTGATCTCTTTAGAAGAAAAAGAAAGAATAGCCAAAGTATTAAGCATAATAAACATTTTAATTTGAATGCTGCCTAAACAATACTCTAATGACAAAATATACTTAGCCATAAATTTCCACACATACCAGTTTGGCAGTTATTTTAAATGCAGCAACAATCTGGTTTCCACTTCTAATGTCAAATTCTATGCTTCCTTCAGCAGCCTGCAGTTGATGTTGATGTTAAGTTTACAACACCATCAAAAGTTTGTATGCTGTGTTTGAGGTTTGGAAAATGTGTGAAAATACATGGAAAGAGGGACAAGAGAAATTTTCTACATGTAGTAATACCCACCAAAATGGAAATCCACCTTGGAAAGTTGGAACCGAGGTCTCCAGAGTGGTAAATCTGCCTTAAAAAAGGTGTTGATGTGATTGACGGTTGCTTGTATTTCAGAACTAGTAAAAGTGGGAGAACAAAAGTAAAGCAAATCCTGAAGGGAAATCTTTCTTTACTTCCAGGATGGGGAAAGTGGAAAATTTTTGTAGTAAAGATACGTTCAAGACTGGGTCCCGTTTCATGATTCTTTTCTTCCAAGGTTGCAACTTCTTAGTATTCCTTTGAACCTCATTTTTCCTACTTTAATTGCATGAAACATTCTAATAATTAAATATAGAATTGGATTTTTGGGATATTTGAGAATTCACTTCTCCAACAAAGCAAAAATGCAAATCATGAAGCACAAGCAAACTGAGATAAACTGCTTTATCTGAGAAATGGCAGTTAAAAAATTTCCTGGCTGATGGTGCTCCCGCACATACCCTGTTTCTCTCAGCTGCTCCTGACTACAGGCTGACAGGTTTTGCTTTCTTTGCCTGGAATTTGGATTTCAGACTTTATTCTCTTTTACAACAGGAAACTACCGTGTACTTGGCTTATATTTAGAATGGATGGACTTTGAGAGATCGAATACATCAAAATTCAAGTGAGAAGAATATATATATATATATATATAAAGTGTTAATTTCAAAAATATTAATAGTGAACATCTAAATATCTTTATAAATTTTTAAATTAATAAATTTATCTTTAAATATATAATTTTTTATTAATTTATTTAAGTTTAATTTAAATCAACTAGAATTAAAAATAAATTTTATGTGAAATTAAATTATTTAAAATTTTAATTCCAAAAGTGTTAAAGGTAATTGAATAAAATATTCTTAGTAATTTTTTTTATAAATTATAGTTTAAATGAATTTTTTATTATTAGACTTTTTTAAAATTAAATTAAAAAAGTATTAAAAGTGATTAATTAAGATGCCTTTAATAAAATTTTAATTCCAAAAATGTTAAAAGTAATTAATTAAAATATCATTAGTAATTTTTATAAATTTTAATTTAAATCATTTTATTTTATTATTAAATTTTTTTATAAATAAAATGATTTTTCACACTAAAAAAAAATACAAATAGAATGATATCATAGTTTAGTGGACATAGAAATAAAATAATTATATGGAATTTGTTTATTTAATTGTTGTAAAATAATTGTATATTTAGTTTCTAATAAATAAATTCATTAAAGATAATCATAATTAAGACATTGAAACATATTTTGTTTTAATATATTAACTATATATGTATGTTAATGTTTTTATTATTTATATGTTTTATGAGTTGATTAGTTGATTATTGATAACATAATTAATCTTTTTAGTCTTTTAAAATAATTATTTAATATATCATTTTTATTGTTTAGTCTAACCTCTATAATTAATTTCTGTTTTGTATTTTTTTCCTCTAGAATTTTATAATGTTATTCATATGAATAAAAATTAATATCAAATCAAACGCAAATCAATTGCATCACATCTACCAATAATTAACACTATATGATTCATTGAAGATTTTAATTCGATTTTTCACCTGTAGAATTAGATGATTCAAGAAATGTTAAAATTATCAATAGTTTAGGAATGGGTTTCATCAAATTGCCATAAAAATTGTTCACCTTGTTTGAAATAATAATTGATTTAATTTTGTCTCAACTTTTATCTTAATATGCATATATATGATTAATTTATATCTCAATATTATTTAATATTTTTCAATTGTATTAAATTACTAGTTTTTTTTATTATCTAAGTGATTGAATGACCTTACATGAAGTATTCAAAGTAAACAATTATTAAGAGAAGTATAAATTAATTATTTTTTGTGAATTCTTTCGAGGTGTATAAAATATCATTGGAATGATTTTTTGAATATGTTTAGGCGCAAAAGTTATATTCATTCATAAAAATTTATGTTTTAATGTTAAAATGAAAATCATTATAAATTGTGCAGGTATTACATAACAAATTTGCTTATTCTTATGACATTGAAATTTCTTAGAAACAGAACAAGTACCACATATAGGAATTTATTTTATTTTTAAAATTATATATTTTAATATTTTATATAATAAAAATTTATGTGTAATAAAATTTTTTAAATAAAAAAAAATTAAGATTTCAATTGATAGAATGTACAATTACATTCAATTTATGAAAGCACTAATGAAAGATTATTCTAAGTAGAAAAATAAGGTGAAAGATTAATTGGTTATGCATAACTCTATCTTTTTCATATGATAAAAAAGATTAGTGCCATATGATATTTCAATAAAAAATATACAATTGTATTCATTTCAAATTTTTTTAAGATTCATATGAAACTCTTTTATTTAGAGAAATATTGTATACTCATTCATTTTTTTTTTTTATATTGGTTGAACAATGGTTACTATTGTATCAATATATATATATATATATTATACACGTTGACGAATGCATTAATGGCTTTCAAAGTGCTTACATATACGTGATAATTTTGTAAAAATAATAATATAATTTAGTCCTTTAAATTATGATCTCAATGGCAAAAGACGAAGTTAAAATTATGAATGTAAGAAAATTATTTGAAATATTAAAAGTAAAATGATAGAATTTAAAAGTGTAAGCTCACTTTCTAGAATTATAATATCAGGTGGTTAAAACATTTACAATGGGAAAAGTAAAAATTATAGTTCTATCTAATATCAATAGGAAACAATCAAAACAAATTAAAATAAATATTAAAATACACACAGAAAAGTCCTATGAAACCTGTTTGTTAGAGTCCAAGGATGATTAGCAATCAGTTTATTAGTGGGACTGGAAGAAGTACAGCTGCAGATGAAGATGAAGATTACACCTTAAGCTCTGGTTTGACAGAAATCCTACAGCTGTGGGATTGCTTGCAAATCCCCATATTTTGCATTGAAAATGATGGAAAATTGGTATACATGGACAGATCAATTCATGATATCATAACCCATGAGTATCGTGATTCACCCTATCATCTTATCCACAATTTAAAATTGTGGCTACCTACTTTTACAATTTACCTAATAATTATGACTTTTCGATTATCAAATAACCCACATGCAAACAACCTGGTCAAATTGTCCCTTTCATGTTTATTATAACATGAGTACATGACTCCACATGAAAATGTTATAAATTTGACTCAGGTTATTCTATTTTTATCCCCTTCAAGTTAGACAATTTTTTTTATCATTGAGATTGAAGTCTTTCTAAATTATAATCAATTTTAAAATGTGATATTCAATAAATTTAAATTTAAATTTTTTTAATTTTTAACTTATAATTTTTTTATAATTAATTCACAAGAAGTTAATTAGTTATGTGTAATCACAATATTTTAACAAAAAGATCATTTTAAATTAGGGTTGATATAATTACCTGAGAAGACATATATTGCATGGTAAAAGTGTCAAGAACACATGGGCTGCGAAGGGGACAAATGGTAAGACGATTCCAAATTCCGAAAGAAGCAAATGTGGAATAAGAACCACCAAAGTTGCCTATGGCTATAGTGCCCCAAAACAGACAAGTTTTATTGATCAATAGCATTAATAAACTTCTAATCAAAATAAAATATATTTCTCTTGTCTATATCCTTTTCCCTTGCTTTGTCTTTATCTGGCGATTTGAGCCTCACATTCACAGAAATTATCATATCTTGGAAGGAATTTCGAATATTAATCAATCAAGCAAGCTTTGAATCATGAATTATGGAGAAAATTCATAAGAGTGATTTTTATTTCTATTTTTTGATTTGTTTTTGGCTTGATTTTCAAGGTTAAATCATGTGATATTTGTCTCAATGATTCACTAAAATTCTTTGATTAATGGTTTAAACAAATCCCACTCTCAAGTCACAACACAGAATCTAATTACTTTTTTTTTCTTGGTTCTTAATCTTACAAGTTGTAGAAAATAGTAGGCAATATGTGTTTTCTTTCTCAGGCCCAAGACTGCAAAGCCACTTTTCTCCCCACCCAAAGGCGAAAGCCCCAATGACAAGAGAAACATTTAACAGGTTCAACATGCCTAAATTTGGGTTCTAATGTTTTCATTCATAGGCCCAATTTAGAAACTCCAGTTTCCTCCCCACCCAATCACCTAAACAAACAATAAGAAATGCCCAAACACTTAACTTTGCAAACCTCCTGCCCTTCGCCGGCGATGTAAATCAGCCCAAGATCTGTGAGAACTTTTGCAAACCTCTGGTAAAGGCATCAACAACCAGTCTGTGAATAATCTATTAAAGGATCCAAAGTAGCCACTGTTAGTTCTATTTTTGAGCTATTTCAAAATGTTCAGCAGTCCTTGTCTCTTAGCCTCTTGTCTCTCGATAATGGTAGCTAGTGGGATCTTGTACACGTGTAATAAAGAAACTCTATTGAAATAAAGAAGGCAGGTTTCTACTTTATAAGCTATGCAGCTATGGTTGTAACATATATACATATATATATGTACATATATATTGAGTACATGTATACACATATATACATATATATAAAAGAAGGAGAAGTATATATATATCACGACATCATGACTCTAAATTCATGAAAATTGAGGTCTCCATCACCATCAAGATCAAACAGAGCAATCATCAATTTGCATTCCTCTAAAGTCCTGGACTCACCTAATCTACTAAGCATCCTCTTCAAACTCTTTGGTGTGATACATCCACAACCATCCATCTCATACAGCTTGAAAGCCTCTTTCAAATCATTCAGTTTCTCTTCCTCTCCAACTTCTTCCATAAACCTAATGAAATCTTCTAACCCCAACAATCCATCTCCATCCGTATCCAAGGCCTGAACCACCTCCTCCGCCTCTACAAGAGACAGCTCCCCTCCTACCGCCTTCACACACTGTTGAAGCTTCGCCGGCGATATCTTCCCATCTCCATTCTCATCAAAATGATTAAATACCCTCTCATATTCATGGCTTTTGTTCATTATATGAATGAAAATGAAGCTATAAGAAACAAGATGGAGCTAGTGTCATGTGAGCACACTGTGACACTAGCTTCAGCTTCACAAAGCATAAGACTTGAATCCCAAAATATAGAGTTGCCAATTGCCATAAACACAAAACAAAAGCCGAAATTTTTGACTTTTCTCTATCAAAAGCGATAACGCTGAGAATTGGAAACTCCGTGGAAATGAAGCAAAGGTTTAACGTAACACCTCGTTCATGGAGATTTGGAGGATTGTTGTGATAATAAGTAAATGTTTAAATTTAAAATTTTGAGATATATTTTTTTTAAGATAAAATTATAAAATTTTTATATTAAAATAAATAATATCTCATAAATTTGAAGTAAATTTTTATAATCAATTGAATGAGAGTTAAGTATTTTATTCTAAGAGTCATATTTAAAATTTTTTAAAAATTAAATGTTACATGATAAGAGATATATTTAAAATTTTAATAATTGATGTAATTTTGATATTATAATTTTATATTTTATGTGTATTTTATGTTAGATTTAATGTCATATATATATAAAAATTAAACTCAAAATTTATAAGATATTTTTTTATAAAATAAAATAATAAAAATTTTGAATCAAAATAAATAATATGTTGGAGTTTGAACCCATTTAAAATAGAATCAGACAGCGTGCGTCCGCAGGGATGAGGTGACCAGCACGTAACTCGTCTTTGGGTTTTTTTTTTGGTTAAATTAAGAAGACTTTGAGCCTTCAAACTCCATGCACGGGCCATGCAGAGGGGACAATACAGAGTAAAGCCGGTAAAGACAATGGAATCAAGGGAACAAACGACCGCATTCATCAGATTCTTTTATAGGCATCGACCAAAACCGACGATTTCAACGGATTTAACGCCCAACCATCAAACCAGAACTGTCGCAAGAACCTAAATAAATAAAGACGTGTAATAACCAACAAAAGGGAGCGATAGGAAGCTTCTTTTTGTTGATTTATTATTATTATTTTGTTGACTTATATATGCTTTCAACAACCAATAATTGCTTAGTTATTTATATATGTATAAAACGATATGAGTCAAAGTTTAATAATTCATTAAAAGACAAACAATTAATTATTAAAAATTATAGAATTTGACACCTAATTAATATTCTAGTTACTAATTAAGAAATATTAATTTGTATGCTAGTACATTTTAAAAAAAATATGAAGCTACTAAAAAATTAAACATGCGAATTTAATTTTAACTTCACATTAAATATTCTAACATAATTAATTGTGAGTGATAAAATATTATTTTACCTATCAATAGATTACAATATTATAACTATTGTTGAATGCAATAATTAATTTTATTTATTTATTTTTAAGTGATTTATCAATAATTTTTAAAAACCAAAATTTGACCCGTTAAATATCCCAATTTTCATGTGGGATGTTTTAAGAGATTTTTTATATAATATATATGAAAGATTTAAACTTATATGTATATTTTTTTAGATAAAATTATGAGAGCTTGAGATCGAATGAATAATAATTTACAATTTGGATGCATCTCATATTTGATATTAAAATTGAAATTGTCTTTGATTTCCATGAATTTTTTTAATGTTAAAAAAGTAAAAGTTTGATGAAAATAATTTTGAAATATAGAAAATGAAAGTTTTAAGTGTTAAAAATAGTTTAAGGATAGTTCGAAAAGAAATATGGAAAAAAAAATTGAATAGGAAAGTTTTTTCTTTTTCACATTTATCTTTTAATTTGTTCATTTTTTCTCTTGAATTCAGTTAGTTTTACTTTCATTATAACAAATGATTTTTATTTATTTATTGTTTATTTCATTTTTAAAAAAATCACTTACTTAAATAAAGTTGATTCTTTATTTTTTATTTAACTAACAATTAAGTAAATATTTATCAAATCAATTTTTTTTGCATCTAACATTTAGCATAAAATTCGTCAATATTAATGATACCTTCTCTTCACAATAGTACTTTTAGGAATTATATTCTATGTTAATCAAAACAATACTTGGGTCAAACAGGCAAACGTAGATAAGGATTTTACAACATAGAAACATATATTAGTGATTTTTTTACACCCAAACAATTAATAAGAAGCACTTCAAAAATTAAAAGATATTAGGTAGTTCATCTGAATTTGACAGCAAATAAGTCCTAGTTGAAGCCTTGCCAGAAGGGTAAGGAATAAACATGATAATGCTATAAATTTGAGCAACAATAGCCCATGGCTTGGAGAAATAGTTATGAACATAAGCAGAGCGCCATTTGGGCCACCATTGTTGCGAATGATGATTTAGATTATTCGCAAAGTTCAGAATAATAGAACTCTTTCACATAAGTGTCATTGTAAAGCTTGTTGAAAAACTGTGTTGCATCCTCAGGGCTCAACCAGTTGTCAAAAATATCTTCCTTGCATAATATTTCCGTGTCATTGGTGGTGTCAATCAGATTGTCCATGATCTTGGCGTATGAAGTGAATATGGGTTTACAATTTGGTAAACATTGCTCGTAGCTGATGAGGTTTCGGAAGATGGTTTCTGTTGTCTCTTGAATCAGCAAAGATGGGATTTCAAGAACACCATTTTCTAAACTTCATATCCAAAATGCTATCCACAGTGACCTTAAACAAATTTCATCCCAGCCTCTTTGAGTCTAGTGGCAGAAGGGATTGGTTGCCATTCCAAGTTTTGTCGGTCGTTAACAATTCCCTTAACACCTTAACATTGCCTGTTGATTACCTGATCTGGAGAGGAGGCCTCGTAAATACTTGAGTTTGATTTTCTCTGTTACTTTCAAGTTTGGTTGGTCATGGTGAAAAGGCCCAAAGGAAAAACAATTGGGACTATAGGCTTCTTTTTTGTGCCTGGCGAGTATGCTTGGTGTTCTAAAGATACAATGATCAGCTGATAAAGAAAGTTGATGGCTATTGATCTTATTCTCCATGGAAGATGCCACCAATTCAATATCAATCGCAGCGGCGTCATATCTTCCACCCTGTGCCATATTACTGATCTTGATCTTGCTTTTGCTAATTTGTTTTTCTTTCCTATGTGTAGCTGCAATTCCTTCAATATATATTGTGTTTCATTAAAAAAAATGAGGATAGGAAACTAAATAAGATGTAAAGAAAGAATGTTGCGGTAATTATGCTGAGATTTATGTGTCTGAGTACTAATTAATTTCCTAACTATAAACATATCCTAAAATTGGAAGAAACAACCATTAAGATAATTTTTGGGCTTTTATTTTTATAATTGTAAAATGTTGGTCAAATGGTCTGGCTTAATTAGAATTGCATTAATTTGTATCTTTTTTGAAGTCAATAGCAATGGTTTAAATTAACCACTACCTTCAATAAAATACTGAGTAAGCATAATATAAATAAGGTTTCTGCCTGCCAACTTCAAATGCTTATATATACTTACAGGATCACCTAGTTGCTTTTCGATTATCTTCGAGTGCTTCTCTCCCCTTAAAACCTGCAAATTATAGTAAAAATAATTAAGAATTGATAGATCAGTCCAAGGAATAATTATGAAATTTTGCTGTCAGAAGAAACATAGTAAGAGAAGTAGATTACTAGAAATCATATGATCTCAGAAATAAGGGTTTACACCCCCGGAAGTGTTGAATGATCAGAATTATATCTCAAACTGATTTAAGTGGGTTCTTTCTTTCTTTCTTTTGTAAGATTTAAGTAGTTCTTTACTTACTCAAAGAATATATAGCATGCATTCTTTATCATTATCCAAAACCTTAATTTAACATTATCCAACATTCTTTATCATCATGATGCAAGTCTTTTGCAATCATTGGTAGGGAAGTTGATGTGTCATCTGAAATTTTAGAATAAAGGTAGAAAGAATTAAAAAATAAAAGGAACAAGTTATAAGAGAGCTTCTATCTCCCAGGGAATTCAATTCATGACCCTTTGCTTCAAGGTGAGAAAAGGTACTGAATTGATTAATTAATATTTATCCAACTTGACAAAACATGTGAAGTTGTAATGGTTCTTTTTCTGCAAGTGTTCTTAATTTTTCATTTTTTTGGGATGCACTTTTATATTTTTGAGCCATTGCTTTTCTAGATAGTCATTCCATATTCTATAACTGTCTTTTCTTAACCTGAAACGTTTTTCACGATTCAGGTATTTGTTAATGTCAATAGTTTGTTTCCCACCCTTAATCATGATTCATATATAATGGTTGTGATCAATTCAAGGTTCGAATTTCTCATTTCTCTTGACTTTGTTTAAAATCCAATGAGTCAGCCGACCAAAGAGAATCATACAGACATTCAAGATAGTTCAAATTGGTTCTATGTAAATCCAAGACAAAATGGGTTCATTTTTAGATTTTGTTTTGTCCTATTGTTGGGAGCTCTTGTTATGGAATATAGAAGAGGATGAAGCAATTGAATTCTGGAAAGCTTTTAATTTGATCTTAGAAACCTTTATGGGACTTCTGGAATGAATAAAAGTAATTACTTTGACAGAAAGAATATATAAAATTTTCTTGGTGACCAAAATTAAGAACAGGGTTGAATTATATGTCCAAATTAATTTTTTCAAAAATAAAAAGCAAAATCATATGCTTTGTTAGTTATTATTATTTCATTATCCAAAGTTCAAAATCTCTTCAATTCTTGTCAATTAGTGACAGGGGAACATGAGCTTAGTTATTTGGGCATATAAGGAAGCGTTTGGATGCAGCATGTGCTTAGTTATTATACCTCTTCTCCTTTTGACTAATTAATATATGAAAACAAACAACTGAGTTAAATTAAAAAAATAACTGCTTGATTTTTTGTTTCTAGAAAAGATAGACACATTTTTTGGGCCAAATGAAGGGACTATAAATCAACCTTTTGGGATGTAGGTTTGCCACACCGTGAGGAAAAACATGATAACAGCATAAATTTGAGCAGCAATAGCCCAGGGCTTGGTGAATAGTTTGTACATAGTAAGCACGCCATCTAGGCC